TTAAGCTTAATCCCCATAACTGTAACTAGAGGTATGTACAAAGTAAACGATTATTTTAGGTGACTAATTATTTACTGTTAAACAAATGCTGTTTTGTTTAAATGTAACTGATTCTTGATATTGTTATCGCTCTATTGGAAATTAAATTATCGTCACATTATTCACAGTTAGTAATTTGTAACTTGGTGTGGACATGTTGTTTCTACGCGTTGATCATACCTTATTATGCGACCCAAGCAGTCATTTTTACCAAAATCTCTTTATCTGCAGTTGTAAATACTAGAAAATTTTATATATTTCTGCAGAAAGATGAAGTATACACTGTTAAAGATTAATGGTTGAAATTTCAAGTGCATTGCAACGGTTGTGGGACAAATGAGTAATATATTAATACTAGTGACCTCGTTTTTTATTGTGGACAGTTTATCAGTGTACACGGCTACGTGGCATGGATGTCGTTTGTCTGGCAGCGTATATTATATGATCATCACTGCCATCATTGGCCTTTGTGGATTATTGCTCTTCACCCATCAGCCAATCGCAATCTACCACTAGACTACCAGTACCGATGCCAGCCAAGGACATGCCGGTCTTCGGTTTTTCAAGGTCAATATTGGTCTTATGGTCACTGGCATGGGCTTTGCCTTGGGTTCTATCATACATGGTGGCCTGGCTCTAAGATTGTACAGTCGGTATCAGTGTGGATATTACGAAGATGGTATACCATCGGGCGCAGACGCCATGACCTTTGGAATCATCTTCCTTTCGTGGAATTAATCTCCATTATCCGTGCTGTCGCGGTTCTTAAAGCGGCAGCAGCAAGCGGCACTGCGCCGGTTACTCCCGCTGCAGGTCAACCAATAGTTGTCGGAGGTTATCATCCACCGTCGTCGATGGGGCAGTCAATGATGTCACCGGGAATGATGCCGCCATATCCATCCAGTCCTCAGACTAGTGGTCCTTTTATGCCCACCTCCGCTCCTTTAAATTATACACACAGTTCGGATTTTCCCATTCGAATTACGGATCACGAAATACATGTATACAGCACGACGCACCACCGGCGTATTCAGAAGCTATCAAATACTGACGATTATGATTGCATTAATGATTGTGATAAACGTTAATCTTACTGTTTCCTCACCAAATGTATACTACAAGGTCGCCCTGAAACTCTTATACTATGATTACTGGTCGTCCCTGATAAACACCTGTAAGCAATGCTTTTTCAGCAACTTGGACCTCTTACGTTCTGGATAGTGTACGAGCCATTCTCCCCTTTTAATCCTTTTTTTAGTGCTATCGGTATCTAGATACTCACCATCAGCACGTGTCCAAGTTCAGTGTCACAACACGCGCAAGCTAACAGATTACGGCTGAAACCCGTTACAGGTAAAAACCAAAAGACTCATACTTTGTATTTAGACAGGCATCAAAGAAGCTCGAGTAATATTCTTCTTGGAAGATGGAAGTACACATCCAGCATCCTCATGAGTTTCAGATTCCAGCATTACAAACATTCAAGACTTTGTTCGCGGCTTGTTCTAGCCTTTCAGTCAGAGAATAGTATTGTGAAACCCGCGTTTCGACCTTGTCGTGTTCCCGGTATCATTCGGAATTGTCCTTCTTTCACTGGGCTTGCAGCTATACTTACAGAGGTAAGCTTCTGAATTTCTTTGGCAGCCTGTAGAGCCGGCTTTGCAGCCTGGTCGGCAGAGAAGAAACGCAATCACTGATGCAGAAGAATAAAAACTGGTAGGAATTCCGAATTACTAGGTTCGGCCGATGCGCGAGAACCTTAAGCCATTTCACTATAACTATCAATAGCCAGCACGCTGAAATTTAATAAAATAACGGAAAAGAACAGGCCAGATTCTCTCACATTTATTTATTTAATGAAAGCAATGAATTAGAGCAAAACAGCGGGATTCTCCGGCCGATGAAACCACAAACACACACAGTGAGTCAGCTTTACGATTTCACGACGTCGGAATAGGCTGGTGGAACATCCTGTCCATTGTAATCGTATGAAAAAGGCAACTGCGGGATATTTGTTCTTCCATCCAAATTTCTGAACCTGCAGATTGTGGTCGCTTTGGCGTATATATAGAACAGATATGAGACATTTGTGGATAATGTGATGGGCGCTACATTCCGTGTCCTGTTCTCGTCCTGGAGTAACCCATCGCGGCGCCCGCCAGTAGATACCAGTGGCATGGCAGCAGATAGTGTCGCTTTTTTTTGACCGGCGTCTTAGAATATCTTAAATGGCGCTGACGAAAAACAGTGGAAAAAGAAAAATTGCCCCGATGCTGATAATTATAAGAGATGAATGATACGATGCAGCCTTGAAGGGATTATGACCCGATGCGCGCGGACGTTGAACCAGTCTGAAAAGCCATTAACAATTTATCAGCAAGCGCACATAGTAGTGTTAATAAAACTCATACTTATTTATATTTGTATTTAATGAAAACAATGAACTAAAGCGAAATAACTGGATTCTGCGATGAGATTACGATAAGTTACGATGATTAGGCTTTATGATTGACAACATCGGAATAGGATGGTGGAACATCCCGTCGATTAAAATCACGTGCACTTGGCAAGTGCGGAATACCTATTCTGCTATCCAAATTTTCTGGACCGGTAGATGATGGTATGTTTGGCTTAAGTATAATACTGATATGCGGCATTTGCGGATAATGTGGTGGTGCAACATTTTGAGCCATGTTTGCGTCGTGGAGTAGCTCACCGGTGCGGCGATTAGTCAACTCTAGCGTCATGTCAGCGGTCGGTGACGTTTCAGGCTCACCGGCGTGCTTAATATCGTAAATGGCGGAGAAGAAAAACAATGGCTCCGAAAGAATGAAAAATGTCCCGGTACTGAGTCCAAGGAAACCTGACATTTCGGCCATGCTGTTGGTGGTAACTTGATCGGCCAGCACGACGATAGCGTGGATGAGACAAGCCACAGTCAGAAAGCTACTGATTCCCAAGAAGACAGCGAAAATTTTGTAGAAGAATAATCCTGGTGGCACAGCCGATGAATTTGATTGGAGATCGGGTGTGGAGTTACAGTTGGTAGGGTCTTCATTGGAAGAATTTCGTTTTGTCAGTGCCCAGGCAGCTAGTGCAATGGCACTGTAGATGGTGACCCAAGTGGCTGTAACAAGCCCAGGAATTGCTTCAACCATTCCATCATTGTTGGAAAAAACTAAATTAAATTCGGCAGACAATTAATAGTCAGTCAAAACACAACCGGATTACATAATCATGTGGATGTGGATAGAGTTTGCTGCACTCACTGAAACATACGTCAATGGTTTCACTATTAACTATTAAGCATGCGCAAGGCAACTGTCGGTGGCCTGCAATAACGCTTATATCTGTACAGTATTCAAATTGTAGGCTTATCGGCAATGACATGTTGTGTTTTAGTGTTTGCCGACAATGACACAGTGATTTTTAATGACACGGTGAGATCATAGTGTTACACATAGCGCGATAAGTAATCTCCACTGAGTAGCACACTTTATGTACCTACCTACACGTGAATCGGTTACTACCTTGTGTATAATGGGATATTAAAGCGCTAATAATTTTATTATGTCGCTACCAAATTTTGCGGCATCGAGAAAAGACAACTGCTAACATGGAGAAAAGTCGCATGCAGTACGCATGGTGTTCATACACCTCTTGTTGGGCATATCGTACGTAATCATAGTGTTACAATACGATCATGGCACACATTCTTTGTAGCACTACTATAATTGCTAATTGTACTGTTAAGTTTAATTGAGGCAAAATTAGACAAAACAGTTCCCTCCACTTAATGTTAATGACTGCCGGACCTTTATAATGAAAAAGCCCAGTGCGCCACATTACCGGCGGACGGCGATTACACCTTGAAGTTCTGCATGGATCGAAGAGTATGAGTCAAATTTGTTTGATCACGACTTTGTGTACTGTATGCTCAATATTACGTGTAAAGATAGTACATAGTACTACATACGTATAATGCTCTGGCACAATCTTTACGCTGTTACAGTATATTGCACCTTTGGTTGAAAATCAGCTACCCCGTCGGCTGAGTAAAATTTTGTTAGCTAAATGAGTAATCTTATAATGATCGTCTAAATCGCATGGTAAATACGTATAATGAACAAACCTTCAAGTCCACTATCAACATCGTATCCCCGAAAACGCAATCACTACGTGACTACGTCTATTTGTTTCCGTCAATGGTTGATGATAACGGTATCAGGTGTTTATCGTGCGACTGTAAGCGCTCACCACCCGGTCCGCTTTCTTTACAGTCATTAATTAAAGACTATAGTTTTGCTAATTACACACAGAACATTTTTTTTCTGCTCTTTAAAGGGCTTTTCGTTTCTGTAATCGTATTCTCCGTTGTTTTATTTTGCAGTTTCCTACTCGCGCCGTGCGCATTACTTAAAATGGTGTATATTATACCACAAGGTTCTTATTACCGCTTGGCGGCATTTTTTGCCATACCACATTTGTTTCTGGGGATATTTAGCCTAATTCCCATAATTGTAACCGGAGGTACGTACGCAACGCTGCGAACTGTTCAACCGGGTGATGTTTTGCCACAGATAATAATTTATGAAATTTCTGCGTTATTGTTTGTATGGGTAATTTTTTCGTAAAAAATAATTCTTCGTACAAAAACTTTCTTCGTTGAAAATTTAATGATGCTTTCATATACGAGTATTTAAGGCAGCGAGTTGTTGAAAATATGTAGATGTTAGTGAGATTAGCTGGCACAAATTAAAGCAATAAATTTTTGAAAAATGAATAAGTAAATAAGCTTGCTTTCCCTGCGGACAGTGATGAATGGATACGTCGTTTGGATGTCCATTGTTCTGGTAGTGTATATCATCATCACTGGCATCATTGGCATGTGTGGATTATGCTTCGTCCAGAATAACAGTCCACCCAATCTTAGTCAGCCTACCGATTCCGCGCAAGCCGGAGATGCCGGTCTGAAGTTTTTCAACCTCACTGTTGGCCTCATGGTCGTTGGAATAGGCATTGCCCTGGGCTCCATCATCCATGGCGGCGTGAGTCTGGCATCACTGCCGTATTACTATGGCTCATCTTCGGGTGCAGTGGCCATTTCCTTTGGATTCTTTTTTATTTTTGTGGAATTAATTTCCATTGTCCGTGCTGTCGCGGTTGTCAAAGCGGCAACTGCGGGTGGCAGTGCGCCGGTTATTCCCGCTGCGGGTCAACCCGGTCAACCAATTGTGATAGGAGGTTATCATCCATCGTCAACGGGACAGTCGATGGCGCCGCCTGGAATGATGCCGCCGTATTCACCGAATCCTCAAATAAATGGTCAGTACATGCCCACCTCCGCCACTTTGAATTATCCACATAATGCTGGATTTTACGATTCGAACTACGGATCAGAAAATATGCAGCATGATGCACCGCCAGCGTATTCAGAAGCTGTCAAATACTGATATGTAGCGTTTGTGAAAATTGTAATCTTATCATTTTGCTCACGAATTGTTTATTATTCGGCTATGACAATTGTCCATATCTGATAAACATTTCCAAAGTTAGTTTCTTCTACAAGTTTGAAATGTTTACTCTTGTGTTAATTATCACTTTTTTCTGCCAGTTGACAAGTCTACGAGTATCTGCTGTAGATGACCTTACCTGCAGCATCTCTAAACCTCTTTGACCTTTGGGGACGGCAGCGAAGGAATATACTCGTACAGTAGGGTCACAGATGCAAGAGAAAATAACGATTGTACTGTAATATTGTTGTTATGAACGAGTTCGCTTTTAAGAACGGTCACGGAGCATGTTTGTTGGTCTCATATGGCAATTTTTTAACCTTTTTTCCGTTCCTTGATACGTTGCTGACCGGTTCAGCATAATTAATTAATTTGGCAAATTTTCTTATGATTCGTAAAGTTTACGCGCGGTCACAACTGGACACCCTGCTGTTATTACACAGAATGTTGTTTAGAAATCTCTCTTTCGTTTCTTGTAAACACTGTGTTGAGTCGGTGATGTTTTTGTCAGATACTACAGTCAGCGCATCTTCGGTGTGCCTCGAAAAACTTGACTATATTTTTGTAGCGATTCATAGCTAAACCTTAAAGATGCATGTAGACCTAACAGCAAAGGCTTTCAAAGGCGATTAGGTTCAGAGCTTAAGGGAATCAAACAATATTATTCTTTCGGCTGTTATTGTGTTTGGCGGGAACTTTTAAAATACCGTTTTATGATTTTTGAGTACTTAGGCAGAGACTCAGCACCAACACCAGTGCTGCCGGCTGGTCCGGTGTACAACATACCCAAATTTTTTACAGTTCTCGGAGATTTCAAGTGCACATGTATAGTGTAAACTGTAAAGTATTAAACTTTCCAGTGTGACTTTTCTTGGAAAAGTTTACACGATTTTCCAGGAAAGCCGCACGGAGGGGTACTGTAAACTGCAGATGGGAGATAAACGGACAGAGTGCGTATTAGAAACCCTTGGAGATTCTTACATGATTCTGGTCAGGTGCACCTAATTACTTTGTATGTTTGAAATGGGAAATGGGTGTACTAATTATGTTTGACATGGGTTCCAGACAGTCATATCGTAACGGGTACTAAAAGTAAAAAGCCGTCATATCAATGCAGATTATTACGGTGGCCTGTCGATTTGGTAGAAGTGTGGGCCTCAACCGTATTTGGGCAGTCACATGGCTTATACCAGGTGACTTCCCAAATGCGGTTCATGGACATGAGGATGTGTCCAAATTAAAGGGGCTATGGATAACCTATGGACCTATGGATAACCAACCGTATGATGTACAATTCATGGCGCATGACAACAATGTGTTTTTTTGAGGACCTCCACTAACTGATAAAGATATCCCTGCAAGCGAGTAGCTTCGAATGTCTTCGAGATTGAAATCACGGTCGAAAAAGGTATCTGTAAAGTAATTGTATTATGCAGTTACGGTGGAAAGCACAACAAAATACGCACGCAAACTACGGCATAAAAAAATCATTGCGGAGCTCACGAGCTCCAGTTTGGAATGCCAAGATCATCGGGCTGATTCTGTCTCGATACCAGCGAAAGATAAACCTGTCCAATAATATTTTATTCGCGCCAGTATAATTATTTCTGTTGTGTCGCGAAAATTCTATCATGATCACAAGATACACGAACTGCTACCAGTTACCCCTACCTCTGCTGTGCTGCTGGTGCATGATAACTGTACCAAAAAAAAGCAGGCTTACGGTGCACGGCAATTAACTACGAGTGAATGTCCTGGAAATGATTGGTTGTTTAAAGGTAGGTTATGGAGCCATCATTCTGCAGAATCCAATGAGCCAAACCAACCAGATTTATGAAATTCATACGGGATGTGTGTGGTCACTGGTCAAGAAGAAGCGCGACTATTTTTGATTACTGCATCTCGATTTCGCAACAGCCTACAAGCAAATTAGATTGCCTCGAAAATACTTTAATCTTTTTTCTTTATAAAAACCACATTTTCACACATCGGTTTTCATGAACCATCCAAACATTGTAAAACGCTTCAGTATTAATCATAGATTGAAGGATATCTGTATTGCCTGTGCAAACATTGACAAACAATGTTTGCATAGGGACTTCAGATATGCATATGGTCACTTAGTACTAAAACAAAAAGAATATTCGTAACAAAAACACTTCCTCAGTGCTATCCTGGTCAGGGATTGTACCCGTCACACAGATTGCGTTTCTTCTCTGTATGTTTTACTGTTGAAACATTGCGCATATGGTGGGAATAAACTCCAAATCGCAGTTTTCTGTAAGGTCACCGGAGCCGGAGCCGTGTACATATTATTGGTTTAAGATTAAGAGAAGATGGCTTCATTTGAAATTCCTGGCTTAATTCTCCTCTGTTTTCTGGCTGTAAAGAAAAATGCAAGTGGGTCACAAACGCAAGACATGTTGAAAAGTAGACGAGTTACTGTGTTCCCCAAAGTAGTCGGCTTGAAGAGCCAATAATAGAATTGCCCAGGTATCCAGGTTAACAAAACGATCAGCACCATAAAAAAGAACACCAAAAACTTGCTTGATGTCCTTGGCATCGGTCCGTGCCCCAAAAAGCAGTAAGATTTATTTCCTTGGGGAACTACATGAAAACCAATGGTGATTTAACACACTGCAACAGATAGATCTTTGGATTCAATTTTGAAAAAAAGACTATACCTCCTGATGTAGTATTTGATGACGGAGTGATAACGGTCTTGCAATTTATCAGCCTGGCAGCATGTTTCCTTGACTGCCATCTTTTCCACACGACATACGGAAAACTTGCCAGAATAACCCAGGGCCACGGAGTAACCCATGGACATATCATCCATTCCCGTAAATGGCACCGTTTCGGACCTGCGCTAAGGTTGTGCTTCCTTCCCACGCCCGGCTTTTGTCCTTCACGATTTCCGCTTGCATGGTTGACGGACAACTGCGCTTAATGTCTCTGGAGCATGGAGCTACTGAGACCAAACTGCGAGATTTTATGCGGTTGGTGATGCATTTGTTAAAGTTACACAGTTTACAATTACACGGATCTGGATGCCAGTCTTCTTTATCCGATCGCTTTCGGTTCGGTTTCGTGCATGCTGTATCTATTAGAAAGTAATCTAAACACTACGAATACGGAACCGAATACGAACACGGATTGAAATGGTGTTCGTAACCGCATCCGAGATCTGACAATAAATTCGGACCGAAACAGATGTCGAAACGGTTTGGTACCGATGATTTCGGCCATTTACACTTCGGTTACGCTTATTCGGCCACCACTCACATTCGACCACATTATGTATATTCAGGCAAAATTCCACCAGTGTTAATTATTATCAATAATTAAAAAATTTGCAAACTTGCATTTACAAAGAAGATTAAAAGAATGCGTCGATGCATTGTTGCCAACTTTTATCTGTTTCTATAAATTTGATCAATACTTACTTTATTAGGAAAGTAGGCAAGAAATAAAGCTGAGTATTATCTATAACCTAAGCGTATTTATGGTTGCGTAATGACGCGTTGCGTTGCGTTGTGTCTACCTGATAACAGATCATTTATCAGTTCACATTCAGAAAAGAAACAAACTTTGTTGGAACAGAACACAGATTACGCCACGTTCACTTGCAGCATCACCTCACCATTAGCCTCTCATAATTCAAAATTAATGTAACAGAAGAAAACCAAAACGTATGACCAAAGAAACCAAAGATACCTAAAAAACCTAAAAAAAAACAAATAGTTTCTCTTTTAAAAAAACTAGAAAGTCTCAGGTCTAGCTGTGCATGTATCGTCCGTATTGTTGTGGCGACCTCGGGGACCCGGGTTTTCTTGTAAATTGTAAGTAAGCAGCTTACAATTTACAACAAACACTAAGTAACAACTTGACACAAGGAAAATAAAAGCTAAAATGTCAAGTAGCCAAAATAACCGTGGCCGAAAAGAGGGCGTACCGAAGTGAGCAAGGCGAATTGTATGTTACCGAAGTGATAACAAGTGCCCGAAACGTAGCACGGCCGAAGTGGTCAGGCAAAAACTGCTTCAGACCGGAAGCGCTCAACCGCCCAAGTCGGCGACTGCCAGCTAACTAGCTGCACTCGATCCAACTGCTTTTAGAATTTTCCTATTGGTCGGTAGAGCTCGATGCATACGCCTGTACGACTCGTACAAGTTGCATTTTTTAACGTAATTTCAATCGCGATACCTTATGTCAATCAAAAATTTGTTTTTAAATTGTGAAAAGAGTATTCAAAAACTTTTTTAGCTCATAAAAAAGAGGAATGTTTTCTCTACTTAAAATCCAAAGCAAACGGAATTCCATCAAGACAGGCAGAATCGACAGCTATCCGGAGACACGCTACGATTCAAAGCTTGAATTTCGTGCTTTACGGAAGGTTTACGAAACGAATAGGGCTATGACGTATGCAAAAGAGGCGGGGATTCGTATTCGGAACCGCATTCGTAGTCTTCAGATTGCTTTCTATTAATTGACCGCATTAATTGCCGTTCAGTGCAGACTGTAACGATAGTTACGATGCCACTATCACCGTAAATCTGCCATCTGTCAAGTAAAAGCCTTCATGAAACGCTTGTAAGTGATTGCACTTTCTCCTACAATACTGCATAAACGTTGAATATGGTTATCGGTAATATCGCTCGTGGCACAACATCGCACAAAATAACAAGTTAGTCTCTAATCATACTGTTTACATACTTGTATATATTGTAGAAACCTAAAAGAAGAACAAAACAGCCATTTGAAAACACTCCACTATGCCATGGACACAGGACAATATGTACACTAGAAATCTCGATCATGATACTACGGGTCGATTCTTTAGTCCATGGGTATTGTACTCTTCATATCCGACGGTACTTCCATGAACACCCACTGAAATGCGCAGTACTCTTAGTTGTAGCTGTCGCGGTTTGGCTTAATTACTGTACCCATTAACTGAAAAACTCAAACGATTCGTAACGGCAGCATCCGTACACAGATTCCACACTAATAATCCGGGGAGTGCGTTATCTTACTTGTATGTTACAAATTACGCACAAATTACAAATTACGTTGTATGTTATCTACGCGCAAATTATAAATTACGTTGTATGTTATCTTACTTGTATGTTACAATTATCTTTACAAGTAGGCCGGGCCAGCTAATAGAAAGTGCGAAAACATCTTAGTTGTATGTATTCATGCGTGATACATACAAGTATTAAACAGCGCAAATCGACTAATAATAATCATCATCAGTAGTCATACTCTGGAGTCCTTAAAACTCTGAAGCAGAACAAAAATTCATGGCGATCATGACAGGAAATAACACAAAACAACCACTAAATATGTACAAGTGCATCCTACTGAAAACTGGCACTACGTATCGTATAAACGTATCGTACCGTACAAAGACATTTTCTTGCATTTGTAGGTGATATGTGATTAAGCGTGGCTGCAGTTGCACTGTTGCAGCGTCTGCAAGGATGCGCCCCGTAACTTGAGTAACTTCCGTTTTCCTTACAACGACCCCTGTCAGTGTTCCCTGCCCAGTATGCGGCCGGCAGGCGACCGTAAGCGGTAAGCGGCTGTGCATTTTTTTAGCACAGGAAATATGACACTTGAGTGAAACTGCACCTGCAGATCACCGTTGCAACTGACTGGCCACATGTACTCGTATTAAAGCAACTTTATTACACCACTTTCGACCCATGGAACAACTGGCCGATTCCCCCTTTTCTCTATACGACGATCTATTGACTCGTATTCATCTGCAACCATCCCCTTTCCAACTGCACGCTATCCATACTCATAACCGTAGCAAAATTAAGTTGTCCTTATTGGAGAAGCAACAGCAAAGTACGAACACAGGAATACAGTATTATAGCAAGAAACGTCAGAACGTGAAATAATAAGAACGTTAAACCGCAAAACGTGATAAAATAAAAACGACAGAACGTGAGAATATCAGATTGTCAGAACGTGAAAACTTTCAACGTAAGTTTTCACGTAAGAACGTAAGAACGTCAGAACGGTTGAACGTGAGGACGTCAGAACATCAGAACGTCAGAAAGAGAAAAATTAAAAACGTCCGAACGTCAAATGTGAAAAATTGAGAACGTCGGAAATTCAGAACGTCAGAAATTAAAAACGTTCGAACGTCATTACGTCTTATAAAATGCAGTTACGAATGCGTATATACGATTGCAATCAATAGTCCTAACAAAATTGTTTTCCGTACGTACTTCTAGCTTTTTTATATATTAATTTTTATAGTGACCTTTCCAAAATAAAGCCAGTACTTCCAGTACTTATCGTTAAGTGCCGAGCGCGGATGCACGAGGCCGCCTTGTACTAATCATTATTATAGATGACAACAACAGTGTCAAAATAAATTTGTGCGAAACTACCACAGTATTATTACGTACTATTGTTGTTATTGTTGCATAAGTATACAGCGTAGTTGACTGTAATAAGAATAATATTAATCGTACTGATAGTGGTGGCTATCCCCATGGATACGCCTATTATCAGTAACATGGAATGCTTGTACAGTTATAATAGAATCTGATGTTGTTACAGTTGTTACAGTACTATTCAGTAAAGAATAATCATATGGATTGCGTAATATTTAAACTATTTAAATTTTAACATTTCCAAATTTTATATTGGATTATTAAATATGTTTATTAAGGATTATTACCAAAAGAACACCATAATTATGTTCTTCTTGTTCTTGTTGGTAGCTACACATGTTCTTGTAGACGTTTTTACGTTAGCTGGACCAACAGAAACAGCGAAGCCAGTGAAACTCCGGCAAAAAAATGCCGAGATACAGACAGCATTGCAACGTTGATATCAGGCAATTGGTAAGTACAGTACTACTACAAACGACAGACAAACGTACAATTGCGTCGTACAAAACACTGTGCCTGCTGTGGCGTATGTACGTAAGTATAGTACTTTGCGGTTAAAAAATTACAAAAACATTGATATTAATCGATGCATTTCGGGGTGGTGTGTGATTTAGCGTGGCTGCAGCTGAGCTCGTTGAGCGTGTGCCTGGGATGCCTGCCGCTGCCGCTGTCCCTTATATGGCCGCAGCCCAGCGTGCCATCCGCGCGCAGCCGTAAGTGGCGTGATTCGTGTAGAGGGTACTCCTATTATCTATCTTATTTGCAGTGGAGGACATGATCGCGGAGGCGATGCTGAGCAGCCGGCAGGACGACCGCCTGACTCTGGCGTTGGCCCCGGATGAGCGCCTCCAGCAGGGGGAACTGCGGCGCCCCCGCCTGGGCAAGGACGCGACGTTCAGCTGTGAGGCGCCGCCCGGGGGCGATTGGCGCTCGCTGACCTGGCTGCACCGCGGACGCACCGTCTTCGAAGGAGGCCACGCCCCGCCGGAAGACCCTGCGCAGCGCTATAACATCAGCCGGGTGGGTGACCGCCGCCTGCAGCTGGTGGTCCTCAACGTCACCGCCTACTCGGGCGGGCCGATCCTTTGCGTGGATGCCACGCCCACTGCGAGCAGCTACACCGGCCAGCCGCGCGTTCTGCGCCGCTTCACGCTCCTCCCACTGATTACCCGCGCCAGCGAAGTCTTCGCGCCGCTGCCCGAGGGCGGGGCGCGCCTGACCCGCGTAGGCGGCAGCGTGACCATCCCCTGCCGCGTCCGTTTACCACTCCCAGACGGAGTCCTGCGCAACCTGGATAACCATGTTTTCTGGCGCTGGATGGGCCGTCTGTACCGGCCGCCCACGGAGCTGCCGTACGGTGCGCTGCCTTCCTCGCAGGAACCGCCCATCTTCACGGTGAATTGCCACCGGAAACCAGCGGTACCCAGTAATCTTCCCGGACAGTTTATCGACTACGCACTAAAAGTGGGAAATCTCCCAGCCACCGCTGCCACCGAGCTGCAGTGCTTCTTCCGACCGCATGAAGGCGTCCATGAGTGGGTCTTTCAAACCGCTACGATCACTGTGACCAACCAATAGCTGCTCAGTTTATTATAGCACCGAAAGTTGGTGTTCGGATATCAAGTCTGCTGTCTGCGCAATTATATATCTCTGCACCGATCAATAAATAACTAAGAAAATTACCGCCACGATCTGTTTCTAAAAAAACGCATTAGCGGGATCAGACGAATCAATTCCATAAATCGGGTTCGCTCTCTACTCGTAATGATGTTTAAGCGCGCCACTGTGATAAACGAATGGGCGACATAAACTAAATTAATCGGGTCTGCTTCCGCGATATGTTTCTCTCCCAAGGCGCTTTTCCTTTGGTTTCCTTAGATTATACTGGATTCAGAAAAGTTTGCTCTTGTCGGAGTACTTCAAAATTTTGAACTCGGTTCACCTGTTCTTGAATTATTTGCGTTATAAACATTATAAACAACCGATGCCGAAAACACTTAAGCCACACCACGAAGCAGCTGCACTAAGGTGAATAACTGCAGTCATGCAAACATGTGCGGTTGCAGCACTTCTTTATCCGTAGTCCCGAGTAACTTATTCAGTAGAACATTTCACTAGCATTATAGCGAGGTAAATCAGCTTCTGTTATTGGTGAGGTGGAAAATGCGGTTTGTTTTAATCGGAACTGATGATTTGTAAAATCTGGGTATATATTGTTATCTCGTTTTTGTTAATAAAAATACGCACACTCGGCTGCCAGATTGGCAAAGTCACTGCGTGGTTTGCGGCAAAAAGCTTTTGTTTAAAATAAAAAGAAAGGCAGGCTGATACACTCATCATCACGCTCACGAAACTATCAGCCTGCGCTTCCTGCACAACTACACCCTCGAAAAAATAGAATTTCTGAAGACGTCCAGTTACGAAAAGAAGTAAGTACCAATTCTGTATTCATTAGTCAGGTTAGACTTCTAAAGAAATTTTTATGGTAGCCGATTATAAATTGGACCTTTCATTAAGTTTCATATAACTTAAAGAATACTTCAGCTTGATCCCAGTTTACGGCAGCACTGACGCAGACTGCAGAGTGACGCACTGTATGATGTGTGTAATCGTACGCCGCTTAACGGACGGGAATTGTATGGATCACTCCTATTCAACCGTAATAACTATACCTACATTGTACATGTGCGTATTGTACTGGAGTCTGGGTATACTTTTGCTGTGCGTAGTCTTTCCGGTCTGTTCATCTTCTTACGCGATGTGTGTTTTCTTAATTTGCCATGGTAGTGACCAAAAACCAATTTATGTTGGTATGCATTGTTATCTGTCAATGTACTGCATATTGTAAGTGGAAGTATCGCACTTGAAATAGCACGTGTTCCCATCAAACTGTTTTAGGTGCTGTTTATCGTACTGCGAAGCTCCTATTTCGACTTCTTCAATAAAACTTTCTTGACAAATGCAAAATTTTTATGAAATCCGTATATTGTACTTACTAAGCTTTACAAATCCAGCAGTGCCTGCGCGATGCAGTACTGAAGAATGCAGAAAGAAGTGCAATCGTATTAAATCCAATACGGGCGAACTTTTCTGGAAATTTTATATTGTGAAAGCAGTCATTATAAATTGAAAATTAGTTAAAGGGCAAGTCAGCAGTGGTAACAAGTAATACAGCACCCTTGCCTCGGAACATAATTTTTCAGTAGCATTACCAGAAGCATAGAAAAGGATAATCCTTTTCTATGCCAGAAGTTTGAGAATATGTACTCGTACAATACATTACATTGACAATACATAGTACAGTTTGTTTTAAATACTTAAATGGTTTTTGGCCGCGCCCACTGGACCACTGTCGGTGAAATTACTTTTTTTGTAAATACCATTACCAAAGCTGTCTTTTAATAAATGAAATTTTTCTGAGGGGAAAGACGGTGACCGGGCCCTGGTCAGTATGAAAGCAGTAATTATTCGTGCATGCAGAAGGTTGTGGTCGAAGATTATAATACTTATGTAAGTGAGTAATGTATCGGTTTTGTTACTTATTACAAATTAATTTTCAGACTTATTAATTATGTAAGCAATGCACAGCCAGACTATACACACAAATTCAAAAAAATACAGTCGAACCGGAAGGGATCAGTTAAGACCGTAACCGACCATTATCAACAGCCTGGCGGTATACAACACGCGCATATCCCCGAGTTTTCCTTTCGGCCAGAGTTTTAACGACTATGCTGTGATTGCTTATCGTGGCTAGCGTCTGCAGTACAAGTACTAACTAGCATACAGTACGGTTCATATACACATTTTTCCGGTAGTAAAATTAATGAGCCATTACTTAATTAATGACTTTCGCGTTAATGCGTAAGTACATGTTAAGCTCGACATGTACAGATTCACAGCACGTATTACTGCTTAAACATAATTTAACGTTAATATAATTACCGACTAATCTGTAAGTAATCATATACTATACTGGTATAGTTGCAAGACTATGCTAATGTTAATAAATTCCTTACTGGTTTACAAATTAAAAAGACTGTGACAATAAGTAAGCGAATAGCTAATACTGCGCTACAAGCACGGCATAATAGATACACTACGTGTATCGCAGCGCAGCCCATTCAACCGCTCGCAAATGCTGACCGCACGCGTTAATAAGGAAAGCAAACAAAGCTGTCGCATAGCCGAATTGCACTTATGCGCCGTCGGCTGCGTGCACTCTGCGCGACTGCCCGATGCCCAGCACTGCAACACCAAAACAGCCTTGGTTCTAGATTGTGAGCGCATACTCTGTGTAGTTATATAACAAATGCGCTAAGGTGATTTGTAAGCGCTAAGGTGATTTGCTTTTGTTGTGATTACTATACTACAATTCAGTTGCTACTTCGCTATACGTATATTCAAAGCGATCAAGACATATTATTATATTTCTATCTAGATACATATTGCACAATTTTAGAAGTACAGTACTTCATCATTTATTTATACTGTGTTTGTATGTTCAAACTGCTTGATGCCGCACAATGTTGTACCCGCACTGGGCGGCATCGTGAGCAGTGTCGTCCAGCCGCCAGCGCGCATCGACCGTCCATAAATGCACACAGCAATTTGGCCGTGCGGCAGCTATGTTTACCTACTTCGTTAAGGATTGGAGCGTACATATGACTGCTTGTTGAAAGAGGGCAGAGAGAACATTGCGGTGCTCTTTACGTATTATGCCGTGCTACAAGTACGGTACTTGTGTACTGGATCCGGAGATACAAAGGCGCATCGTATCCACGGGACCACGAGAATACCCACCAGTACATTTTTATTAGAAGCTGAGATGATTCGTTTGTCCATTGCCGTTGCTCTAGGTGTGCGAGAGGAATGAATGAACATTCCTGAATGAACCGTAAGAGAGGAATGTTCATTCATTCCTCTCGCACACCTAGAGCAACGGCAATGGTTTGTCGCGAGGAAAATCCGCGATGCCATTGGCGAGCCAAGTTCCACGGCTTATTTGGAACAGCATTTATTTCTGACAGTTGTTAGAAGAAACGCAGCTGTAGTATGTATTGGGAAGAGTGAATACACGGGGAAAATTTTCTTACTTATCATTACAACAATGATCATGGTTGTTTCTTTAATTTTTTAACGTTCAGGTTTCTATAATTTTATTTAGTGTGTACCAGCGCTGGCTTTTTATTTTAAGAAGTGGCCATTGCCAAATGAAATATCAATGAATACCAGAAGTACTTCGAAGTAGTAATAATACAATTAATTTGATAATAACGTTATTATTATCATGTTGTGTGCGAAATTTTCAAATTGATTTAATGGCGTTATTATTTACATGAATATGCGCACGTACAGTGCAGACTAAAAAGAGCAGTAAGTACTTACTGTATGTGTGCTCTGACTACTACTGTAGTAGGTCACGTATTTATTTAATTATTATTATTACCGGCAGTTATGATACTATAGGTACGCATCTACGAAAATACCGTGGAAAACCTTTAAGCATCAAATGTAGCAGCGACTGCCGATGCAACAAGCGTTGCCAACACATTCGCTTTAAAGCATTACTGCAGAAGAAATTTGTTCGACTATTTTTGTTGTCTTGACGCAGCTATGGATTTATCAATTTGCTTGTTGGAGTAGGTTTCAAATAAACGGCGTGTTTCAAAAACACATTTTGAATTTAGAGCCCTGGCGTTTTCAAAAACAGGTTATCACAATTAAGCAAATAAGCAATACGCTCATGTGACTCTCGTATAAGTATTCAAGTTACGATCATACCGAATACTGATACACTCTCACAGGCCTTTAAATTTTCCCGGAAATTAAAAGTAATACTAAAGCAGGTATGCGCTTTTTCCCGGTGCAGTATAAATTAATAATATATACCAAAATGCAGAGTACGTAGAATTCAAATGAGTTTTAGCACAGCAGTAAATACTTCTATACGTAATCTCTAAGTAAAACATATTCGTAACTTGTAAGCACTCGAAATTAATCACATAATTTGCAAAACGCCCAAAATATATCGCCATATTTCTGGAAACTAATATTTTCTTTTCAGCTGAGAGAATTCATATCTAAAAGAACCGGCTATACTTCTGTGCAAAATATATGATTTGCTCATACTTCTATAATTATTACACAATTCCACAGACAAATTTTGTATGTCGGATGTATTTCGCCAGATATTCGAAGTGTGGATGAGGAAGTCTCTCTCACCATTATTTTTTGCCCGCCGAAAACCGAATCATCGCTTGCCCTTAAAAATGCCGTTCCAAGACCTCCAATCTAATGTTGGTAGCTGCCACGACCGCAGGGTCGAACTGATTTGAAGTGGTAAGTACTCGAAGATCGTTACCTGTACGGGTACTGACTACTGCCGTATTTCGTATTGTATCGATATACTGCATCATGCATATGCATGTGCAGTATCTGTACATAAAAAGTTGATGATACAATGCAATAAATATTATGTACTTTATTTAATACACTTTTCTGTACGAATAAACCATAACGCATTTTTATTATATAGGTACAGACAACTAAGACAATTCAACAAACAAAAATAACGAAAACAATATAGTTGACAAAGTCAATAACAATTCTGGGCAAGATGATCGAAATAACAATTCAAAGGGCCGATTGGGATTATAATCAAAGCGTTTCTTTATGTCACCATATCTGGAAATTTTAATTATAGTTGTAACTTTGTAGCTCGTAATTCTGTTGCAATAGTGGAAATAAAACTATAATAATATTGATTGCCCAGTTTGGCATGGCAGATCCTTTATAGCGCCCCATTATTTTCATGTTGTTTTGCACCAGCACTGTCCTTGCCGGTATTGACGGTGTTTTCTTGCGATCCGCTACCATTTCCCCCGGCTGGTGATTCGCCACTACCTCCACCTTCGACAGCACCGGGATTGCCGTTATGCACTGGCGGGACCGGCACATTGATCGGTGGCTGGTTGGGTTGGGCCGGCAGTCCAACGAACACAAATCCCGGTCCTGGAAACTGCTGACTGGGGATCACCGGAAATCGTCGGCCGAAATCCACGTTGTTGTACGGACCACCGAACGTGGGCGGGCGTTGTTGATTAAAATTTGGCGGCTGCTGATTGAAATTGGGGAATGAAGGGTTGGAGACGGGGTAACGGGGAATGAAATTTGGATTGTATTGATTTATGGACGGGTACATTTGTTGTTGCTGCATGCTATAGGCGTCTTGCTCACGGGGCGCCAAAACCCCTGAAAAATAAATAAAACTGAGCGTTTGCGTTCGGTTTGCGCTTTTATATATTGGGTAGTGTAATAAATGTTCGAATAATTCACTTCGAAAATATTGTAATTATCCAGTGTTAAAGATTTGAAGTTGTAACCTTTAAAGTTTTAATATTCGTATATACCGTACTGTCCATATCCAAAACCGCGTTAATTTGCTTATAAACTAATACATATTTTCGAAATTATCAACTTTTCATTAATAAGACTCGTAATATATCAAAATAACGCAGGTTTTATTAATAAGACTCGTAATACAGTATATCAAAATAACGCAGGTTTTTTCAGTTAACAACTTTTCATTAATAAGACTCGTAATAAATCACAATAACGCAGGTTTTTTCACGTAACCATTCAATTAAGATGTGACTAAAATTAAAAAGCCGATGCGTTAAAATAAGTACTGAGCACTTTTATTTAGCTCGCACTTACAGCTTGTTCCCGGGTATGATAAGGGCGATCCGAGGACAAGAGGAAGAAAAACCACCAAAAGCCCGGTAAAGATTTCACAATATCGGAGCATGATTTATTTAGTACTGAAAGTTCTGGGAATTTTCAATGTACAATAGATCTCTGTAAGGATTAACAGTAGAACCAGGTAAATGTTTTCGACAGTTTTAGTTTGGAAAAGCGATAATGCTTTGAATATTCCAAATAAACCGTATTATGCAGAATATACTCGTAATATACAGTAATCCGATATACGGAGTGCATGCAGCTTTGCAGGCTTGGTGATTATGATTTCACATCGACCGGCTTCACGGTTTTATATGGGATGGTTGTTATTGTTTCCTGATACAGTACTTATGTTTGCTCAATTAGGTTAAAACAAATGCCGGAAAGTGAATACCCTACAGTACAAAAATAGCGGAAAAAGTGCGGAAGCGCAAACATCACAGAGATAACTCATGATTAAAGCGTAGTCCGCAGTATAAATATGTAAAATGTCATATAATATCTGCTAATTGAAATTTATTTACTTACTAACGTAAAACTATAAAAAAATTGTTTTTGCGTACTGGGCACCTGGGCCTGCAGTAAATGTAACGAGTACAATAATAGCACTTTATTATATTGTTGCAGTTACAACTGCGGCCTTGACGCTGCAAGGGTGCGCACTGCATAGTGCACATGCCGGTACATAGACGGATAAACGGGGCGAACAGCAAACAAACACCGACAAGTTCAGCTTCCCTGTTTGTTTAAGGTATCGGTCCAGTGTTTCCTGATTGACCTAGTGTAAATATAATATTAACAATAACCTCACAAGACTCCGGATTATGTATAATACTATAAACAGGGTAATCAGTGGAATAATAGGATTGCATTAATTTAAGTACAAGTTCATCTGTTATATCTATATATAGATATAATATATGACTTATGAGTGTTTTGGCGCACAATTGCAGTTTCCGACTTTCCGTCGCATCACTCGCATGTGTCTGCTAGGAAACCGCTAACTGATTCCAGATTCTGTATATCTACATTCCGAAACAAAAAGAATAAAAACATATAGGCGTTAAATTTTCGTCATTTCAAGACGAATTTTCATAAACATTTTCATAATTACATGTACGTACATAATCGCGCAATACAAAAACCCGTACTTCCGGTACGGGTTTCTGTATTGCGCGATTCAGTTACTTAAAACTGGTTCCAATAGATTGCTGGAGTTTGAACTAGACCTGCGACCAGGCAGTGGTGACTCTGGTCACTGGTAGACCGCTAATGGAAATGGATTTAAATCATCTGGTGACTCACTTCACTTTGTGATTAATTGATTGTAATACTCAAGAAAGGCTTTCCAGTTTCCAGGTTTTGAGTTCTTTTGGTTGATTTCATGCGTACCATTTGTTTGGAAATTTGGATCACGATGATAACTTATTGATAAAATCTGTAAGCAATCATATTTTCACGCTAAAATGTGGCTATAGTGGTCCATTACAGTACCACTACTGGAAGATTATCGTTCTGGTTTACGATTTTCTGATTTTTATCCGTTTGTAATCAAATCAAATTATTCCCTTGGCCTTCTGCTTCGCAATATTTTGGAGCTCAACTGGAAACAATTAGTTGCATTTGCCCAGAATGTCTACGAAACGCATCCTTATGGTTCGTCCGGAAAATGTGGCTACATCTTCCAAGGGGAAAATAACAAAAACTGATCAAGAACCCAGCTCAGCTTACGAGCCATCCACATCGCAGGTAATTCCGCGCGTATTAACGTTTCCCTGTATTGTTTCACACAAGTCGGTAGTTTGCAAACGGACTGGTAAATATTCACAAAATTTCTTGCTGATGTGACCAAAAACGTTTAACTCATCATCTATCATAACAGTTTCTGTTAATGCTCATTGAAAACATGCATGAGAAGTCTGGTTGCTAACGAGATGCGCCGTATTTTAAATATCATCATCTGTTTGGCGCTTATTTGTTTGTCAGCATTTCTAAACTTTTTGTTGCTCTTGTTTTTGTAGCCGGTGCTGATCGGGAAAGCATACAAACGCAGCAAATCTGACAGTTCCTTGTCCGTGCAGAAGAAACTGAAGCAGATGCGAAAAAAGGACGACGCCAGTGTTAGCACTGCATTGCCATTTACCATTTATGAAGAAACGGAAACCCGCAAATCCGCGTCGTCGTCAATTGTAGGAGAAAGGGAAGCGGCGGATGCGGATGAACAGGACGAAAATTCCAATTCCTTGTCGGACAACGTTAATATCATATTGGAAGACGAAGAACAAAAGCCTGCTGTTGAGAATCGACAAGGTACGTAGCCTTTGGTTGGTTTGGTACAAAATACGGAAAGTGATGTTTAATGTGTTTGTTATGACTTATGAGCATTATTAAGTGAGAAATTTAACACTAAAATTTACTTATTTAATTTCACTTTAAAATGATAAAAAACGAGCAGCTTGCTGCTTGATTCTATATTTTTACTGTAATTCCTAATTTAATTGTTACGGGCTCATTTTCATTATTATTGTTGGCCTAAGTAAATTTAATGTTGGCTGTTGCGAAGCCAGTTGGATGTTAGGAAGAGTTTGTCGTACGAATGTCACGCCACGAATGTTGGACTTTTTCCTTTTTTAGAACTTCCCTACGATGTTCTCAAATCCATCGCCGAGGACCGTCGACTTGCCTTGGAGACAGCACTGATGGAAAATCAAATGGTATAATAACTATGCACTGCTTTGGTTGTTGTTGTTATTATTGGAATTTGAATGGCTTTGGTTAAAGTTGGGTACCGTAATGCAAGTATGTGTTAATTAATTAATGAGGTTTTCGCTGATTAATATTTAACTTCATTGTTAAAATTAATGATAAATGCAGCTACGCAGCCTCCGCTCACTGGGAGATAAGTGGAAGTATTTTTCATGTTGAAATTTTAGCGAGTGCATCAGGAGGATGCTTTTGCGAAGCCAGAACTATCTTATTTTTGCAGTTTTGAAGGCTGTTTGATGATGAGTACTTGTATTGTTGGTTTTTAAATTTTCTGCATATTTAAAACGCAGGTGCTGTCATTGTAGCTGTACGCCCAACTTGACAGTTTGACCAAAGAGAACGAGGTCCTTGCAGGGATGGCGGCGCAGGCTGACGAAATGGCACGGATACTCGCGGTAAGCACCGATTCCATGTTGTTACGACTAAATACAGTTATTATTAATAATTAAGTTTATAATTTCATTTTGTACTTCGCTGTCTTCGATAGCATTCGGTATTTTAGAAAATAAGCATTTTCTTCCATTCTTGTTCGCTGCTGCAATTCGTTGCTACAAACTATCATTCTGAATCAGCACGCTCAAGATATTCATAGCGGTTTGATTAATCTTGGTTCTTCGACTTCTCGTTGCTGTTTTGTCGAACTTCGATAAATACGTTTGTAAACTGTACGCGTCGACTGGCTCTCAGGCCTCGATTGGTACGAAGCGTTTCGCAGTAGTCAGTGTTTGCACGCTAACGTTTTTATAATCATTTTTCCGCTTTTGCGGATCTTTTTGCTGATATTAAACTGCTGTTAATTAAATTAATTAAATTTTTAAATGCTGTAATTATGGTATTTAGTACTATTTACTATTAACATTGTTGCAGGCGGATGCCTACCGAAGCGTCGGAGTGGATGTCGGTACACAAACCGAGCCTTTCCCTGTCCTTCCGCGAACATGAGCATGCCTCGCTTCCGGATGTTCCCCACATTGGCACCCCCATGGTTTATGGTTATGTAGTAGGAAAAAAACATACACAGAGGTTCTAACGTTTCGAACTGACCGCGCGAACATTGTGAGCCAAGTCTGTCGCAGCACGTGCATGTTTGTGCTCTTGTGTGGAATTGTGGGTAATTTCTGGTTACGATTAGATGAGATGTGTTTGTTGATAAGTCACTCAGAAATGATTATCAGTCCGTGTTTGGGGAGGGATTTAGCGGTCCAGTTGTGTTTTGAATGCTTGTATGCATTGTACGTAATGTACTGCATCAATTATCAATTACTTATAAAATTTCACCGTCATAAATTCCGAATACGCGTGTGAATCGTGAGAAGCGGATTTCGTTTACCTAAATTAATGTAAGTTTACGGATTACGGAAGCACTTTTGTTATATTACTTGAAGGGCTAATTGTTTGCAGTGTTGTAACGGGCTATGGTGATCTTAAGAGCTGATGCTCCTTTCACTGCCTGATTAGTACAAGTAAATTAATCAAGCGAACCGGCTTCATCGTGTCGACGCTACTTTAGCGATCAGTAGCTGATCACCGCATTTACGTCTAACCATAAGTTCTTCCTTTCGCATTGATTTTCCTTTGCCGGCCGAATCGACATCAACAATGGCTTTCATGGTATGTACTTGTGCATTAATTATGCGTCAGAATTTTCTGTTGTATTTGTAATTATTTTGAGAACTAATCGTGAAATCTAATGAAATTCATAATTTGTTCATATTATGTACGTACTACGGGTAGTAGAATTAACAATGACTACTTATTGCACATCGCTTGCAACGCCTCAGTTTTTGTTTTTAAAATTGTTACAACGCTACTTCCATTTCAGATTTTTTTCAATTTAAAAAAAGTAAAAATTATAAACCTTTCGAATTCAGTTAATTTTTCTAAACTGTTTGCAATTTTTTGTTGCTGGATAGAGGATTTTAAACGTTGTTTTCTGTTATTTAAATTCAAGTGATTTCCAAGACGTTTCAGCCGCATTGGCAGCAGAACTAATTATAAAATAATAATAAATCTTTTGCTTTTTGTATCTAGTTGTTCTCTTGACCAAAGTATCAAGCTTACGTAATATCAATTTTTTTCCCTGGCATGCGTCAACCGCGTTTTGCTTTGTAGGCGGATAGCTCGTGGCTATGTGTGAAGATCGTTCGCCTGATACAAACCGTGGCGTGGTTGTTAACCTACGTTCTGGAGAAAGGTCTGGTTATGTATGGGAAGCAGATTTATGAGAAACGCCGGAAAAATGTATCGGAGGTAAACAGGCCTTGGAATCGCAATGGCAACAGGAGACTGTATCCACCCGTTAAGATGAGATAGTGGATCTTTAACGCAGCTAGATGGATTTATACTTATTGATAAAATTAATGTTAAATGCGAACCAGATTACTGTAAAATATTCACTGTAGGCGGCAAGAATTTATGACATCGTATTTATGTAGAGTGATGGAATCATTCATCGTCGGCGCACCATTACGAATGCCGGTGAGAAACTGCGTATGGTCTTCCCGGAAACTTTATACGATGTAATGCTGTTTGGGAAACAGTTATCAGGTAAGCGAGTAAATCAAGATAAAAAACCAATAAATTATTAATAAAAATACTGACTGTATCGAAATATTAACTACATTATTCGTTAAAATAGTTTCGGTACAGAAATAAATTAAAAGCAAAACGAAAAGAACAATGAAGAGGTGATAGAAAAATTAATAAAATTAAAAAGAATTAACAACAAAATAAGAAGTAGATAAGTACATAGTTAACTAATAATTTGCCCATGAATAATAGGATACCAGCAAAATTTTTCATTGAAATGCTTTCAATCTTCTGGTGGTACGATTAATATTTTTGTTACAAGCTGCCGATGCGGTTGTAATTTGAGGGTGTAAACTTTGGGGGTGTAAACGGCATCGACAGCTTAATGTAACTAAACAACCAGTTGTGTACAAACACGCTTGCACTCAATGCACCTGGTGCTCAAATTCGGTAAATTACAAGCTAGGGTCAGTAGTCAGTACATTATTTCCCAGGGCATATGGCTGTGCAAGTTAATTATTTATCTTATCAGTACTGTATCTAATTATGACAGTAGAATAATAAAATAACACGGTCACAACTTGGAAATGTTATGCAGATAACGGTCCATGTGTTGGTTATCGGCCGAGTAAGGATGCTGCGTACGTCTACCTGAGCTATGAGCAGTTACTAAAACGCTCACGTGACTTTGGTGCCGGATTGTTGACACTCGGTGGCCATGTGGGTTCCGGTTCCCTGGTGGGGCTGTTTGCCAAGAACTGCGTGGAATGGACGATGGTGGAGTATGGCTGCCTGGCGTACGGGATGGTCACAGCGCCGTTGTATGATTCGCTGGGCAGTGAATCCTGCTTCCAGGTCACCGAATTTTGTAAGCAAAGGATTATAATTGATAAAATTGAATTGACTTTTAAATTTCCAACAATTTTTGTAATGTGAAATGTGCTACGTAAAATTATATTTTGGTCACTTGATTTATGCTGTGATTTATTTTTACTGTTGATTTAAGTTGGTAATTTGTGGCTGTTTTCTTTTAGATGAGATTCAGGTCATGGTCTGTGGTGGCGATTCCCATATTAAAACACTGACGGGCAACGGTCAACTGCCGGCTTCACTGCGCACCATTATCACCATCGATCCGCTACCGGAAGATCGTGTCGTGGAAATCGAAAGTCTTGGGGTCAAAGTTCTGACTGTAGCGGCGGTTGAGGTGAATTTGCATTTTTTATTGAATACTGGCCTATATATAGGAATAATATCGTATGTATGCGGTAGGAAATGGGGCGTGCGAATCCACGTCCGGTCAGCCCATCGAAGCCCGATGATTTGGCTACGTTGATTTTCACCAGCGGGACCACCGGAATGGCCAAAGGCGTGATGCTCACACACCGGGAGTTTGTGGCCTGCTTGAAATCGTTGATGACCACTTTCATGGTATAGACCTGCCGCAAAGTTTATTTTGAAACTTATTTTATTTATTTGGCTGTAAAACATTATTTTACATTTAATTTACTCGTATTTTCTTTAAATTTTTATTTTTATTTACTTGAAGTTTTGCTTTTTTTCACTTTTCGGCGTCACAGTTTATCCTCTATTTAATTTTGAAATTGCACAAAAATTAAACTATTTTTGCATGTAATGCATTCTGTTTTATTTTTTATACTGGAAAAGATTTTGAAAGTATTTACGCTAAATATCCGTAAGCAGCTCATCGAAATGCTCATTATTTCTATAGCCGATTCGGTTCAGTCCGGACGACACCGCTCTAGGTTTTCTTCCGCTTCCGCATATATTTGAGCGCATTGTAGAAAAGATTATCCACTTGCACGGCGGTAAAGTGGGTTACCTGAGTGGCGATATCACCAGCTTGTTCAAAGATGCCAAAGACGTCCAGCCGACCTTCTTCCCCTTCGCCCCGCGCCTAATGTGCCGCATCCACGACCAGATCGAGACCGATATCAACCGGTCAGCATGGCGTTATTTCGTGGCTAAAATAGCGTTAGCGTTCAAGAAACTCGAGATGCAGAGTGGTGTTTTCCGCAATAATTCTGTTTGGGATTGGCTGCTTTTTAAACGTTACCAAGCCATGCTGGGAGGGAAGATCAGAGTGGGCCTCACGGGATCGGCTGCCACGGACGGGGAAGTGCTGAACTTTACACGCGCTGTCTTTGGATGCTACGTATGTTTTTTAGAATAGATTTGGAAATTTTGCCGTTTTTTTGCACAACTTTTGGTAATAAATTTTTCTAGGTTTTCTTTTAAAATTTGGTTATGTTTTATACGAATCGTTTGCCAGCATAAATTTACGTTAAGCAAACAGATAATTTCAGAATAATTTCAGTTAAATAAATTGAATTTGGTTAATGTTTTAACGAAATGCAAACATTTACTTCGAAGTTCAAACAAACAAACAAATGAATTAGGAACAAAAATATTATTTCGTTTATTTTTTGCAGATTTTTGAAGCCTACGGCCAGTCGGAAGCCTGTGGCCCGATCACGTGCACTCCATACGGCGAAGTGTCCGCTGACCATGTCGGTGTACCGTTCTTCAATGTGGAAGTGAAATTAGTGGATGTGCCGGAAATGGGCTACTATGCTTCGGATGGAAAAGGCGAAATCTGCTCACGCTCCCCATGCAACATGCATGGCTACTTTAAAATGCCGGAGAAAACCGCGGAAACCATCGACAAAGACGGATGGCTCCATACCGGTGACATTGGAATGTGGCTGCCGGTAAACTTGCTTTATAGAACAAATCAATTCGTCTGACACTTAGCAGCAGTCAAAAAAGTTGAGCAAAATAATTTTAAAACTTTATGAACAGATTAGAGTATTTGTTTAATTAGTTGTACTTTACGAAAAATGTATTGTAGAATGGTAATCTCAAGATCTTCGACCGGAAAAAGCACGTCTTCAAGTTGAGTCAGGGCGAGTACTTGGCGCCGGAACGTCTGGAAAGCGCATTCAACCGTTCGAGTCTCATCACGAACATCTTTATCGATGGAGACAGCAAGTATCCCTTCTGTGTGGCGCTGGTGTACCCGAATTACGATGCTCTGGGTGGTCCGAAAGATAATCCAACACCGGAAGCTGTAAAGCAGGTTATCATGGATGAACTGATACGCATCGGCAATGAGTCAAAATTCAAATCCTACGAGATTCCCAAGAAGATCTTCATCCTGGACGAAGCGTTTTCGGTGGAGAACGGGTGCGTCACGCCCTCACAGAAGACGCAGCGGGATGGTGTCCGAACGCGATACCGGAATTTAATTGTTGGTTTGTATAAAGAAACGGATCGAGGAAAAACGGGATTAAGTGGACGACAATATAGTTAATAATTGTGACGGTTTTGTTGTGTGTCCAGCTAGACCTAGTAGCTAGTATTAAACTGGAGATTTGTTGGTGATATGTATATATCATGCATTTAATGAAAAAACGCAGCATTGCTTTACGATAATTTGTGGGACTGTGACGTATACCGTTTGAACTTTAACGTTAAATCCTTCTGAAATTGTTTTGACGCATTATGCACCTGTAGATGTTTAAGGGATTTGGCCCGGTACATAGCGCTAAAATCGTGTTCATTGACGGGAATATTGGCTTTCGCGCACCTTCAAACACTTTTTTGGGGTTGCTTTTTGACATTGTGTAGCCAAATGATTGGCGTACAAAGGCGTGAAATCCGTTTTCGCGCGCAACATCCGGTTGCGGAGTTATGAGGGTAACAAAATTCCAAAAAGTTTAAATGCATTCAGGTGTACCAAAAGTCTCGTTATGGACCGATCCCTTTCAAATTTTGCGCGTAAATGCACATGACCATGAAGATCGTTTTGACACGAATTCAGACTTCTACGATTTTTTTCAACTTTTAAAATGAATTTTAAAATTTTTGAAATTCATTTTAAAATTTGAAAAACATGCTAGAACAGTGGATCCGTGTCAAAACGATCTTCATGGTCATGTGCATTTACGCGCAAAATTTGAAAGGGATCGGTCCATAACGAGACTTTTGGTACACCTGAATGCATTTAAACTTTTTGGAATTTTGATATCCTCATAACTTCGCAACCGGATGTTGCGCGCGCAAACGGTTTTCTCACCTAGGTATACAATTCTTCTGGCTACAAAATACCATAAAGCAATGCAAAAAAGTGTTTGGGAGCGCGCACCAGCGAAAGTTCCAATGGATGTACACGAACTTGATGCTATGTACCGGGCCAAATCCCTTAAGACGCCTGTAGATGCTTAAAATTCTTTTGATGAAGAAAATTTTAAAAAAATATCGCCGTTTAGATTTCTTGTATCGCAGTTCGCGAGGCACCGGCACAATGTTGTCTCGCTTCGTTTAGACTTTGTGCTACATGACCGTGCATTCCTGTTTCCCGTCTACTTAGTTATCCGCTACTCCATCGGACTTCGGTATTTTACGGTGCGTGGCTATTGCACAACACGCTGTTGTTGACAAAAAAATCCACACATAAACTGACCTTTCTACTTATATGTTATTGCCGTTAAAGATGTGCCGGTTTAGTGCATCTGTTAGCGATTCCCCGATTATTGCGTATTGCACGGATTTGTAGTGCGTTCGGTGCGAGGTTTGCCGATGGATACATTGCGATAAGACCCGCGCGATAATTACATACTGAGTGAATGTCAGCCATATGTGAACTTCCATGTAATCTGCAAATGAGTTTGTTAGCAAAAACAATGGAAATATCGGTAGCTGGCAAATATACTTGAAGTTCAAGTTTGCAGAGGAATGCTATTTTTCCTTTAGGATAACGTGTGCGTGTCATATGATCCTCCCGGTTCCTGCTACAATTTCCGGCGAATTACAAGATTTGCGCCAATGCAACTAAATAAATTGAATTACAATTAGTATAATTTAATCCGGCGATTATTTCGGATTCGGACGGGCTTCGGGCCACTTTATTCCATCTTCTGTCGGAGAGTAAATTTTACTTTTACAAGTTTTCGGATTTGGACTTGCAACCGGCGAAAAAATGGTAAATGTGGAAGTAAGTGGTAGAAATAATAGTGTGTATACGTACTTCTATCTGGTTTATATCTTGGTTGGTTTATTAAATACTGCAAAAAAACCAACGAAACAATATTCAAATATTTCATGTGTACATCCCCTGATAGGCAAAAGCATCTTTTATGGTTACAACTTTATTCCTGGAAATTTGTCGACAAACGTTTAATGACCATAATAACCCCATAGGGCAGTTTAAAAAACTATTCCAGATACAGATAGTACATATAGTTTAGAGCGGAATCGGGATATTTCTACATGCATAGCGTCTTGTAGTCTGCTTTTTTTTCTAATCCCATATTGTTTTCCGCTGAACCCAGAAATTTAAATTGTGGCTATCCGCGAAAATTGCGGTCATCCTCCAGACTGCAGCCTGGATAATTACGTCGGCACTGGAAAAAGTCCTCTTTGGTGTGGGGGAGCACATTTACGGCAAGCGTCGGAAAAATTTGTCGGATTGCGAGGTGAGGAAGTTGTGTAAGCATAAACTCGACGAAATTGCACGACTATATTTTTTTCGGAAAACGATTATGCTTCCATAGATATTAAAAATTACAGAAGTCAGTATAACTACGAGTATAACTCGTATGTTACTCAATTAGCAAAATAATTATTAAAACTATGTATTAGAGCTATGTGAAATGCAATTTTTTGCATTATGCATTACATTATGTGGATTACCATCACTTCATAATTTCATGTGCATAATATCAAATACATGTATCATGAAATATGTATCAACACATGCGTTGCTCATGCACTGCATGATGCGATCAGCGCGGCAGTTCCGGTTGGAGAATAATTCCTTGTTGACTTATGTTTAGGACGATGGAATTATTCATCGTCGGCGTACAGTCACCAATTCTGACCAGAAATTACGGATGGTCTTTCCTGATACGGTTTTTGACGTGTTATATTTTGGAAAGCAGATGTCTGGTAAGTTAGTTGTTATGCATTTACAATAAGCTACAGACTAGACTGTACAGCATTACCATGTATCGTATCACCCAGCTTAATTAACTTTAAACTTGGAAATACAGTATCTTTCTTGAAGTCCATCTAATCAAAACAAATTTAGCTAAGCTACTGCATAAATAAATTTATTCCTGCTTCTATTATTGAACATTTCGTATACAGTAGACATATCACTATAGTCTATAGTTATTAAAATACCTCAAGCGCGAGATTGAAACCGCAATACCAGGCTCTTAGAACAGTGCGAATAATGCTTTCTTGATACACACCACTGCCAGTAAGTAAAACAGTGAATTTTGCATGCGTTTTGTAGCCAGGTAATTGTGCCAACCAGCTATATGAGAGCCCCACGTGTACCGGTAATAATTATGGCGTTAGATTTGACCGTCTTATCATCCCGCATAAGAGAATAGACAAACGGCTTTGTTTGCAGATAACGGTCCTTGTGTTGGCTACCGGCCCAGCAAGGATGCCGCATACGTGTATCTCTCCTATGAAGAACTGCTTCAACGGGCACGTGATTTCGGTGCGGGATTGTTGGCGTTGGGTGGTCGTACGGAGAATGACTGCCTGGTGGGATTGTTTGCCAAGACCTGTCTAGAGTGGACCGTGGCGGAGTATGGATGCCTGGCGTACGGTATGATCACCGCGCCGCTGTACGAATCACTGGGCAGCGACTCCTGCTTCCAGGTCGTCGAATTCTGTATGTGCCACGACTATAATCGTCTACTACTTCATCCCACTTCTGTTTACTATTAGTTTAAAAAATTTACAATAGCGCTAATTAAGAAGTGACAAAAGTTTACATGTGGTGTTGTGCAAATACGATAAAATTTAATACTGCATGATGCTTCCTAACATAGTGCTGTGTCCTACATTTTCGTCTTCTTCTACAAGTAGATGTATTGATAAAATCTAGCGTCGTTGTATACTGCCAATGGTACTAATCTGCTTTTCCGGCGCCCGCAGATGAGATCGAAATAATGTTTTGCGGTGGGGATACTCAAGTCAGAGCGCTGATGGGTAAAGGTCAGTTTCCTACCAATCTGCGTACCATTATCACCATCGAGCCACTGCCAGATAATCGCGTCATTGAAATCGAAAGCCTTGGCGTCAAAGTCCTAACCATGGCCGCCGTCGAGGTATTGTGAATTTGTGGTTATACAGATACTTACATTGTGTGGTCACTGGTCAGCTGTCCGTGCAAACAGCGTACCTGTTAGTTGTACAGGAAAAATAAGAAAATTATAAGAAATCAGACCACCTGGAAAGATGTCGATCGGTCACGCGTATCTGCAATAAAAAGAGCAATATATCAGAGACTGACTATAGTTTTACTATCCCATTGTCGTATGTAACAAATGTACCTACTTAATATAATTATCCAGGAGCTGGGACGATTGAATCCGCGACCAATCCAGCCGTCAAAACCGGATGAGCTTGCTACGCTCATCTTAACGAGCGGAACCACGGGAATGGCCAAAGGAGTGATGATTACACACCGAGAAATGATATTGTGCATGAAATCCCTTCTGTCTACGTTAGTAGTAAGTTGCATGAGTGCACTTTGAAGAAATTGTCCTAACCATAATACAAAAGCGTACACAAAATAGAAGTGCCCATCAAAAATTTAAATTTTAATTTAATCCAGTAGTATAATGCTTTATTAGTGCCAAGCTAGAATCAGTGTAGGAAGCATGTAATAATTCAGCTGCTTACAGTCACTGTAACATTTTCCAGCCACATCGGTTTACTCCCGATGATGCCGCTCTGGGTTTTCTACCGTTGCCCCATGTGTTTGAGCGCATGATCGAAAAGATCATTCTTATCCATGGCGGCCGAGTGGGTTACATCAGCGGAGATATGACAACGCTGTTCAAGGACGCTCGCGATGTCAAACCGACCTTTTTCCCCTTTGTTCCCCGTCTCATGACGCGCTTCTACGACCAAATCCAGACGGATCTCAGCCGGTCACCGTGGCGCTTTTTCCTGGCCAAGGTGGCGTTGGCCTTCAAGAAACTGGAGATGCAGCGCGGGGTGTTTCGAAATGACTCCATCTGGGATCGGCTGATTTTCAAACGCTTTCAGAATATGCTCGGCGGGAAGGTGCGAGCGGGTGTCACCGGGTCGGCCGCCACGGACGGAGAGATTCTGAATTTTGCACGGGCCGTTTTCGGGTGCTATGTACGTGTGTAAATACCGGTTTTAATTAGGGTTGAAATTATCCTTTAAAATATTTTAAATTTCAAACATCTTATCGAAATCAAGAAGAATTTTATTTTTGTTTCTTTGTAAGCCATGTTATTATGTTTGTTTATGCAAAGGTCAGCATCGTAAGCTAAGTAAACGAAGGCATATATCGAAATATGGAGGTCTGAGAACGTTAATTCAGAAAATTTTCGAAGGGGTCACCCACGTACGTATTTCAAGCATTTCAGCGCTCAAATGCCATAAAATAATAATTTTTTATTGCAAATTTTATTTCTTTTTAAAACATTTTAAAAATCGCTTGTGACTTATTGTGTACACTGCAATTACGTTCAGTTTTAATTTTTTTATAGATTTTTGAAGTATACGGCCAGTCGGAATGTTGTGGTCCCATCACGTGTACCCCGTACGGTGTGGTCTCAACCGACCATGTGGGAGTGCCCTTTTTCGGGGTGGAGGTCAAGTTGGTAGATGTACCGGAAATGGGATACTTTGCCGCGGACGGTAAAGGCGAAGTGTGTGCGCGATCCGATTTCACCATGGATGGATACTTTAAGATGCCGGAGAAAACAGCCGAGGCCATTGATAAGGACCGATGGCTACATACCGGCGACATTGGAATGTGGCTGCCGGTAACCGCGCATTTAATTTCATGCGCAGTACCTTAAAGAACTACATGAATAACTGCTTTTATTTATAGAACGGGAATCTCAAAATCTTTGACCGTAAAAAACACATCTTTAAGTTAAGTCAAGGCGAGTATCTGGCGCCGGAGCGTCTGGAGAGCATTTTCGCACGATCCAATCTGCTAATCAACGTTTTCGTCGATGGCGACAGTAAATACCCGTACTGTGTGGGCTTGATCTATCCGAATTACGACGCACTGGGTGGTCCCAAAGATAAGATTCCGGTGGATGTGGTGAACAAGACGATCATGGAGGAATTGCAGCGCGTGGGCAAAGAAGCCAAACTGAAGTCATACGAGATTCCTAGGAAAATCTGCATCTTAGACGAGCCGTTCACAGAGGAGAATGGTTGTGTGACGGGTTCACAGAAGACCCGGCGGGAGGGTGTACGAACGAGATACCGTGACAAGATCGCCGCGCTTTACAAGGAAACTGATGGGAAACAATCGAATGGCAACGGGAAAATTGTTTCGTAAAATATATTGTTTACCTAGTCTTGATACAGTTGCATACTGCACCCGCGTATCCGGGGTGGCTTTGACATACCTGAGATTGGAATAGTGTCTTTCTTCTGCGACTATATACTGTCGAATTTCTGTAGTCAGATGCGCACTCTGAGCTTTTGGATTTTGTCTTTTTGATATTCAGCTCACTGATTCGGTCGTTGCGCCACGTAGCAGTATTATTGCTGTATCACTTTTATGACAAAAATATTTAAGTACGATAAATATTAAATACAATGCAAAATTCGTTCTGCAGTATTTATTCAGAGGTTACTTTGTAACTCAGACGACGTCTCTCGTTTGAGCAGGGAGCGAAATGCCTGATATTAGTGATATATGAACTTTAAATTAATTTTTAGGTTTAAAGCTGTGGCTACTACGAGTACTTTCTCACATAACGATTTTAGCGGGTTTTCTTCGATCTAGCTAATTTCAGTTTGAGTTTAGCCGCCGGAAGTACAGTATATATTCACAAAAATTAATTTATTATACGGTTTGACGTACTAACGAAATGCCCTTACAGACCTTTCTAACACGAGTCTCCCGGCGCGAGAGCGCGAGTCGACACTTGTATTCATTGTCATTACTGCTAGGCTGCTACTGCATATCAGAAAGTTGCATGTGAGGGCTAACACGATCGAGACACTAGTCACGTTGCGCAGCGCGCTTCTGGTGGCAGTTGCTTGTCGCTCGTCGCTTTTATCCAGTCTGTGCTCTATCTACCAGAGATAGAGCGCAGACTGGATAAAAGCGACGAGCGACCAGCAACTGCCACCAGAAGCGCGTTTGCGCAACGTGACTACTTGTTCAGTGCCTCTGTGTGCGTCATTAGAAACTTTACGAGGAGGAGCTGTTAGAATGAGAGTGTGCGCCTCCCATAATATACACGTACGTAATACGCAGTAATTTCGGCTACGGTCAACAGCATGAAGGCGCGCTATTAAAACTGTTTACGGACCGGTTTACGACATTTCTAGTTGTTCACCTACTTTTACCGTAGCACATATTGTAGGAATTTAAAGCGCTGTACGTATAAAGTCTGGAATTTGAAAGATTGTAGGGTCCGATCCACCTGGAGAGTTTGCGGCCACACGTTGGGTCGTTTTTATCACGCAATACTGCGTAGCCTGTCGACGGAGGTGCACCGGCACTGGAACGCGCGTACAACTGCTTCCCACATACACTGTTTTCGCAATATGCCTGTATCTTTCCACCGGCCAATAAGTCAACTCATTATCCTCCAGAGGGGCGGTCACTCGGCGCAATCCATTGTTCTTGAGCGCACAAATGCATTGCGGATTTCAGTTTCACTATTTAATAGGCCCATTTGCTTTTAGTTCTTTTTCTTTGCTTTGCTGTTGCAGGTTGGCTAGGTTGCACTTTCTTACAAAGACTTGCGATTTTTGATACCCAGTTGGGAGTTTATAAAAATACCTAGTTGCCCTTTTGATCAAGCCCTTCTTTCCATCCTGATCATGTTTAAAATGATCTCTTTTACGCTGGAGGTAAGAATAAAACGTATAGTGCCATGCCTGTCTTCCATTACGTATTACCAACAGATTATATATATTCTATGTTTATCTATATTAATTAATATCGTAACTGGTTGGTTGATCTTCTTTTAGAAACTGCAGTCATCGCTGTCAACGTCATTAGTTCGCATGGTCCAAGTCACTACCTGGATAGTTACTACATGCGGTTTGGAGAAAGCCCTTTTATCCGTAATAGAGCGTATCTCCATAAGGAGCCGAAATAATTTGTCGGAGGTTAGTGTTTATACTGCTGTTGGAGCGCGATTTGAGTACTACAAATACATGTATTGACATCTGTGGCAGTTAAGAGAACATCATCATTCTGTGTGCACGTAAAATTTTCATACAAAGTAGACTGCAGTATGCAAAACCTGTTCGTGGTAAAATTGTGCTAGTATGTACTGTATTGAATGTATTCCACGGGCTCCGAAATCTTACAAAAGGTTTGTTTCTAAAAATTAGACAATAGTTCAACTCCAGTGACCTTTTTCGCTTCTCGTTCCAAAACAACGTATTGAAAAGAACACAGTAATAATATAAGCATGTACTCGTAATTACAGCGACTGAACCACCGGGTACAGTATATACAATACGACATTTTGTACTTTGTACCTACTCTGTACGGTAAAAGTGTGCACTACTGCAGAGTGACGGACTCGTTCATCGCCGCCGTACCACAAAGGATGCCCGCCATAAGTTGCGGATGGTGTTTCCCGAGAATCTCTTTGATATATTGCGATTTGGGAAAGAGCTATCAGGTAACTTCTTAAACGGCCTTTATTACCGTGCATGCAGATAAAAGAACGTTTTGATTTATTATTTTTTGACTTTTAAAATAGCATCCCATGCATAAACCAAAATTATTCACAAGCGAATTAGATAGCTCATTAATTGCCTATAACTCGGAAAGCAATATATTTACACATGCGTGTCAGAACAAAGAAAGGCAGCTAAACCAAGGAAAGATGCCGGTACATATAATAATAATTAATACACCGTGGAAAAATTGTACAGTTATCAACAACATAATTATTGCGGTAATAATCACTTACATTCCGGCCATGTATGTGCGGTAGTTTATTAGTTCATGGAAGTACAGATTACCACAGTTTTATGACTCATTCTAACAGTTGCTAGCAGTTTGGCCTTACAGTTTTCTTAAGGGATTTGGCCCGGTACATAGCACTAAATTCGTGTACATCCACGGGAATATTCGCTTTCGCGCACTTCCAAACACTTTTTTGGGTTGCTTTTTGACATTGTGTAGTCAAATGATTTGTATACGTAGGCGTGAAATCCGTTTTTGCGCGCAACATCCGGTTGCGGAATTATGAGGGTACGAAAATTCCAAAAAGTTTAAATGCATTCCGGTGTACCAAAAGTCTCATTATGGACCGATCCCTTTCAAATTTTGCACGTAAATGCACATAACCATGAAGATCGTTCTTACACGGATCCACACTTCCACGATTTTTTTCGTATTTTAAAATGAATTTTAAAATGTTTGAAATTCATTTTAAAATTTGAAAAATATGCTGGAACAGTGGATCGGTGTAAGAACGATCTTCATGGTTATGCGTATTTATGTGCAAAATTCGAAGGAGATCGGTCCATAATGAGACTTTTGGTACACCGGAATGCATTTAAACTTTTTGGAATTTTCGTACCCTCATAATTCCGCAACCGGATGTTGCGCGCAAAAACGGATTTCACGCCTACGTATACAAATCATTTGACTACACAATGTCAAAAAGCAACCCAAAAAAGTGTTTGGAAGTGCGCGAAAGCGAATATTCCCGTGGATGTACACGAATTTAGTGCTATGTACCGGGCCAAATCCCTTAACGATGCTGGTTAGAGCGATGTATTTCCTAGTACAGGAAGATTCTGCTCGCAGTTTTTATGACATCGCCGGCCGCCGTGGAACGTCTACGGTGGAATTGTGTTGGTTTCTTGATAAAACGCAATAACAGCGCGTGGTTTCGTTATCGGACATATTAAAACAAATTCTCGTAACACGTGCGATCGTTCTACAGTTTCATTGAAAATCAGGAGTAGAGCATACGGTTCACGCCACAGGAGGTCGTAAATATATACATATATCTACACTTCTATAAGTTCTATATATGCGTCGCTGGCGGTACTAAAAATGGATGTATGAAATTTACTGTTTCGGGTTGATCGGGTATTTATTTCGGGTATCTCGGCGACCATTAAATCCTAACTACTTGAAAGACGTAGAACGTGATCGTAGCATGCCGCGAGACTACGCGATTACGGTGCGCATTTCGCTCCGATCCAGCAATAAATGATTAAAAGTCGAATTATATTGCTAATGTTTTTCGAAAAATTCCTCGCCACCACCACAGATGTAACTTTCTTTGTGTGCTGCAGATAACGGCCCGTGTCTCGGTTATCGTCCCGCTAAGGATGCGCCGTATGTCTACCTGCACTACGACGAGGTCATCCAACGGGCACGCGATTTCGGTGCGGGATTACTGCAGCTGGGAAGCCGGATCGGTGATGACTGTCTGGTAGGATTGTTCGCCAAGACATCGGTGGAATGGACGGTGGCAGAGTATGGATGCCTGGCCTACGGGATGGTGACCGCGCCCTTGTACGAATCACTGGGCAGTGAAGCCTGTTTTCAAGTGACAGAATTCTGTATGTATCAGCTATCAAGGATTATCTCACATTATTGTAGCTTTAACACAGAAAATTAAATGTGCTCATATGTGTTAGAATTGGAAATGTATTACGTGTGCGTAATCAGTAACTGATCTATGAGTGTAACATCCACTCAGTACACCTATCCCTAATGATGATCAGACTTCTGGGTGAAGTGCTGACTAATGTATGTGTGTTATGTTACCGACTGTGCTATATAAGCAAGTGTTGTACAGAACATCTATGAACATCTTGTGGACATCACTGAATGAACAACTGCGGAAGTATCTGAGTTGGTTCGTTAGTACAGTTAGTACGGTAGTCAGTTATCACCTTCCTACAGACCGCTATTTAATTTTCAAGAGATTATGAGACCTGGTTTTGCTCTTGGATGGATCTGCAGGCTCAACCAGTATCTTGCGCGTATGGTGTGTTGTTATACGGTGGATGGCTGTGTTGATGAGATCGAAGGTGACGGAACTGAATAGCTCCAACTGCTCCGGATGCGAGTGCATGATGGAGAAGTGCTAACTGGTGAGGGAGAAAGTCAAGCGTAGAGGGTACGTGTCGGATGCCGGTGGAGCATCCGGATGACGAGGAGCGAAACCTCTGACAAGGCGATTGGCAGGAAGCCAATGCTTGCAAGTTTGCCCGCGTCGTGGTACGCCTCGTTCGTGGCATCATGGAGAATGATGGCCAGACCTGCCCCTCAGATGTCGGTGTTCCGGAAGAACTTGTAAAGAGTGAAGATCAGAGCGCCAAATTGGACGCAAGATCGAAAGAATTTGAGGGCTGTGTGTTCGGATGAGCCCACGAAGTGGATCGGCAGACGGATAGGATTACGAGCCAATTCGACGTTCGGATCGTTTGGGTCGGACGGACCAAAGAAACGGATACCAGACGCGTGCGAACAGTCTCGTGAGAATCCTACCAGTCAGGCCAGCGAACCGAGAAGAATTACGACGAGAGAAGTACGCTTCAGTACAGCGTAGTGTAGTCGTCGAGGAACCAACAGACGAACGTGAAGGTAAAGCGAGATTGCCGACAAGCGGATGGCATGCTGTTACCAGAAAACGTTGGAAGTACAAAGGTCAAATCCAGCAGCGGAGTGCTTGGACCGGAAGCCGGTGTGCTTGGATTGAACGATAGGCGCACTGAGTGAAGGGGGTGTTAGAATTGGAAATGTATTACGTGTGCGTAATCAGTAACTGATCTATGAGTGTACTATCTTCATAGCTGATCAGTGAGTGTAACATCCACTCAGTACACCTATCCCTAATGATGATCAGACTTCTGGGTGAAGTGCTGACTAATGTATGTGTGTTATGTTACCGACTGTGCTATATAAGCAAGTGTTGTACAGAACATCTATGAACATCTTGTGGACATCACTGAATGAACAACTGCGGAAGTATCTGAGTTGGTTCGTTAGTACAGTTAGTACGGTAGTCAGTTATCACCTTCCTACAGACCACTATTTAATTTTCAAGAATATGTACCTTGTCAAAAACACATTACATAAGTAGCAACCTGAGCTTATACATGTACGAGTATGTAGGTGCAGAAAAAGGTTTAATGGAAAAAGTTTATTGAAATTTTATAAGTAATTATCAAAGCACTACGTAATCTATTAACTCTGTCGAAATCCTCATAATCTTTTAATTTAGACTTTTACGTACAGTTTCATGCCAGTGTCTTTTGTGTTTTTGCACTCCCTGTATTGTTACGAAATATTACTAAGAACTCATTTTGATTTGCTTATAAATAAGTAGTACGAGTGATATAGGTGGTATTTTGCTATCATATTATGATTTGAGATCATGGTTGATGGTATCACAGTATCGTTACTTCCTTGTTTGGTTGCCATTTGCAGATGAGATTGAAATCATGGTCTGCGGCGGTTACTCGCAAGTGGTCGCACTGCTGGGCAACGGTCAGTTTCCCGCCACATTGCGCACCATTATCACCATTGAACCTCTGCCGGACAATCGGATTGCTGAGATCGAGGATCGTGGTGTCAAAGTCCTGAGCATGGCGGCAGTGGAGGTCTGTAGTTGGAGTTTTCATAATTTCTAATCATTTGTCACAATGAGGTGCAAGGAATGTAGAAAATGAATGTAATATCTGATTACAGGAATCAGGCCGTCAAAACCCTTGTCCCGTCCGTCCTTCCAAACCAGATAGTCTGGCTACACTGATTTTTACCAGTGGGACCACAGGAATGGCAAAAGGCGTTATGGTGACACACCGGCAGTTTATTCTGTGTTTAAAGTCGTTGCTGCAAAGCTTTATGGTAATTGGTAATGACGTCACATTTTTCGTATAAAGTTATTCAAAGCTTTCTCAAAAAATGCAAAGTAGAAACTCAAAATTTTTGTAGCCACTGAAATTTACACCGGCCGACACCGGTCTGGGTTTCCTGCCGTTACCGCACATTTTCGAGCGTCTAGTGGAAAAACTCTTGCATGTGCACGGCGGAAAAGTGGGATATATTAGCGGCGATATTACGTCACTGTTCAAAGATGCCAAGGCCGTCCAACCAACCGTGTTCCCGTTTGTCCCGCGACTCATGACCCGTATACACGATCAGGTTCAAGTGGATATGCGCCGATCGGTGTGGCGTTCCTTGCCGGCGCAGATCGGCTTAGCGTTCAAAAAGCTAGAAATGTATACCGGGATTTTTCGTAATGATTCCCTCTGGGATCGCCTGATTTTTCAACGTTATCAAAGTATGCTGGGAGGGAAAATTCGCGTAGGTGTGACCGGATCGGCGGCCACCGATGGGAAAATTCTGAATTTTATGCGTGCGGTTTTTGGATGCTATGTAAGTTCAAATACAGTATATAAATCACTGATTTAAAAATGTATTGTTTCATAATCGTTCATGTTAATATTCTAAAACATATAATTCGAAACCATAAAAATTTGACCAAAAAATATTAGATTTTCTTTCTTTTCTTTTACAACAAATTTATGGTATGAATTATTATCATCATTTTTCTTCATTTATTTATTGATTACTCGCATCGGCATGCGCAGTTTTACAGGTTTGCAGTAACCGTTTGCAGTTGATTGGCTTGTACGACCTTTACGGTTGCACGATCACATGACATCATCGTCCTCTTTGTAGGTATTCGAAGTGTATGGCCAGTCGGAATCCTGCGGACCAATAACGTGCACTCCGTACGGAGACATGTCCGCTGACCATGTTGGGGTGCCCTTTTATGATGTGGAGGTCAAATTGGTGGATGTACCGGAAATGGGTTATTATGCTGTTGAGGGGAAAGGCGAAGTTTGCTCACGTTCTGGATTTAATATGGCGGGCTACTTTAAAATGCCCGAGAAAACTGCCGAGGCTGTTGACAGCGATGGATGGCTTCATACCGGTGACATTGGAATGTGGTTACCGGTAAAAAAATTACATCGCAGTTATTTTCGTTATAGTATGCCATTACTTTTCATATTTTTACAGAACGGAAACCTGAAAATCTTCGACCGGAAGAAGCACGTTTTCAAATTATGCCAGGGCGAGTATCTGGCACCGGAACGTCTGGAAAGCGCTTTCAGTCGGTCAGATTCGATAACGAACATTTTCATCGATGGGGACAGTCGCTATCCCTACTGCGTCGCTTTGGTCTATCCCAACTACGAAGCATTCGCAAATGGCAAAGATAAAACACCGCTGGAGGTTGTGAAGAAGTACATTACGGACGAATTGCAGCGCATCGGGAAAGAAGCCAAGTTTAAATCCTATGAGATTCCGCAAAAGATTCACATCCTGACGGAAGCGTTTTCCGAGGAGAACGGCTGCGTGACGCCGTCGCAAAAGACGCGCCGCGAAGGGGTTCGCAGCAGATACCGCGAAGTCATTAGCGGAATGTACCTGAGCAGTTAGACTGTCCCTCTTAAGCGAAGTTGTCCAGAATGTAAAAAATGATTGTTGATTAGGCATGCTTCTTTGTACAGGCAAAAACCATTAGTTGTGACCATTTTAATTTTTTTGTTATTTCTGTTCTGTATACCGTACATACTACATATCGATGATTGAGTGGTTGTTGAAAAATCTTTTGCGGTGGTATTGTTGAGTAAATCTGTCGGCTGTTACGCATCTGTATTAAAGTTCTTTAGAACCTTTAAACTGAAAACTGCGCATGCAGTTTTTTGAAAAATATAATTTAAAAATATGCTTAATAATTTTTAAGTCTCAGTTGTTATTCTTTTTAACATGGGATGTAAGCTCTTACACCAGATTGAAAACAGTTCAAAATACCTGACGGTACGAGTATAGATTTGCTATATAGTATATACGTATATCAGATGAGCGGCATTGACTTCTGTTATACTTTATAGATATAAGCACGCTATCTGCATGCGACATACGACGAAACGCGATAGCATCTCCGCATGGAACGATTAATTTGTTATCATGTTACACGGTGTTGTTTACTATTAACTGGCAGAATGTTTACACACAAGCTGTGAAACTGTTGCAAAAAATTTCCTGCAGCTTAATACGCTACTCCTTGCGGCAAAGATTTTTTTATCACTGAAAACATCGGAATATTCTACGCCAACATTTGGGCTCGAGAGCTTACGAAAGCTTTCGAAATCTTATTAATTTTAAAAATAAAATGCTGTTTGTTTTTGTCTAAATAAGATGAAAATGCATTCGTCGCCGGATCTCTTCACTCAAATCGTCGGGTTTATATGGCGAATATTTACCAGAATTATTCTGAATGGGTCAGATTTTCTCGCCGGAATATTATGTTCTTCACGAATAAAAGCCAGTGATTTAATTGAGGTAAATCAAACGTAAATTGTGTAATCAACCGTGTATTTTTTATAACGTACTCTCTATCTGTACATAAGCTTATAACAAGCCAGTACAGCAGTTGTATGCGGCATTTGCTATGATTTCCACAGATTAACGGCGAAATCCGACGTCGTCGTCGTGATTCCGGTGAAGGCATTCACAATCAGGAAAAGTTTCCTACAAATCTCTTTGAGATCCTTACAGTGGGAAAAGAAGCATCTGGTATAATAGGCAAAGTTTGCAAACGACATGCTAATTTATTTCGTTAAAGAAAGTTTATCAGGTTAACGGTTGCCTTGTAATACAGATAACGGACCATGCGTCGGTTATCGACCCAGCAAACACGAGAAATTCGTATATCTCTCCTACGAAGAACTCATCCAACGCTCTACTAACTTTGGAGCCGGCTTGCTGCAACTGGGAGCGCGCAGCAATGATGACTTTCTCGTTGGTATTTTCGCTTAAACATCCATGGAATGGACGCTGGCGGAATACGGCTGTCTGGCGTATGGCCTGGTTACGGCGCCGCTCTTCGATTCCCTTGGATACGAAGCCTGCGCGCAGTTGATAGAATTCTGTAAGTTTTTTTTTTAAAATAATTGATTTCTAATCATGAAATAGATTAATAATGAAAGCACAACAAAAACAAACTCGATTTGGGACAAAAAAGAGGGGACAGCCGGGAATTGAACCCGGGACCTCCTGTACCCGAAACAGAAATCATACCCCTAGACTACTGTCCCATTACTACCTAGTGCAAAATTATACTTGCGTTGCCATTGCAATCTGTTCCAACCACTGCCACATAAAATACCAGCTATTATTATAAATAATTCTAAGTTTGCTAACTATAGTTAGCTGTTAATTAATTGCAGCTGCAGTAAAATCAAAGTCAATGTATTAATTTATAATTATTAAACATTACTGGAAATTGTAACCAGCATTACGTTTTTGCTGGCATGTTTGCAAACTAACCCTACTCAGACTGTAATCAACACCATCTGTGTTTTCCGCGTACAGGTGGGATCGAAGTGGTGGTTTGCGACGGCGACGATCATGTGGACGCCTTATTAGGTCATGGTCAACTTCCCAAGACACTGCGCACCATTATCACCGTCGATCAACTTCCAGTGGAAAGAGTGATCGACTTGGACAATCACGGGGTCAAATTCTTCACTATGGACGATGTTGAAGTACAGACGTAAACTACTAATCTTACTTTACCAGTTAATTGTGGAGTTTGTACGTACAGTGCTGTGAAAGTGTGAGTCCGTAAGCATAAGAAAATTAATTGTACTAGGAAAATCAATTATTTAATAATATTACATATAAGAAAAATCTAATATTACAAGTAAATAGTGGAAGATTACTTTTAAGGATATGCTGCAATTTTGTGGAATCACTGACAAACAGTGAACATTGTTGCTCGATATAAATGTATAAATTTACAAATGCTTCCTAGAATTAAACGCCTGGGCAGAAATGATGTTTTATCCTTGCGTAATTTTTCTGTGAGCTGTTGCACTGAATTTTATCTTTTTGACATTAATTTAAACATTTTTGGTGGCATGTAGAAATTAGGACGTTCCAATCCAGTTCCAGTATGTCCGTCGGAACCGGATCAGCTGGCCACTTTGTTGTTCACCAGCGGAACCACTGGAATGGCCAAAGCGGTCATGATTACGCACCGACAGTTCGTCCTCTTCTTAAAATCCATGACGCAAAGCATGCTGGTAAAAAACTAAGTGCCGAAATTCTGGAAAATGTTATTACGCTTAGCATAATGCATAATAACAACAAAAGTATACTCAATATCTACACTGTAGCCCGCAACCCGGATTTGAAATTTAAACTGCCGAGTCGAAAATCAATATCAGTTTGGCAGACATAACATTTAATTATTAATATTTTCATATTATAATACGCTTTGCTCGTTCTGCGGTTAAGATTATATCCTATCATGTGTGTAGCTTATTTCGTAAATCAATATATTTTTATTTTCATAAGCATATTTTTCGTAAATCTTGTTACAAAATAAATACTTTTTATGGTAGTACTGACAAAATTCCTTATCTAAACTGTGTACCCGTTCACAATGAAAGATCACTTTGTTTAGCCGGCCAAAATGACCCCGGAAGATTCTACGCTCGGTTTTCTTCCACTGGCACACATTGCCGAACGGTTCATTGAGAAACTGATACATGTACATGGCGGTAAAGTTGGTTACATCAGCGGCGATATACGTAATCCCAAAGTCCTGTATGCCGATGCCAAGGAAGTGCAGCCGACATATTTCTTCTTCGTGCCCCGCATCATGACCCGCATCCATAACGAAATTCAGGCGGATCTTAACCGAAATATATTTAAGCGCATAGCGGCCGCCCTCGGAATACTGTGTAAAACCGTTGAGATGCAGTGGGGAATATTTCGCAATGACTCTTTCTGGGACCGATGGCTTTTCCATAAATACCAGGCGATGCTTGGCGGAAAGGTCAGAATTAGTCAGACGGGATCGGCGCCAACTGATGGGAAAGTCTTGAACTTTATGCGAGCGGCCTTTGGATGTTACGTACGTTGCCAAACGTTACAGCACTTCTTCTGGACAGTTTACTATTGTTCTTTAATTCAGGTGGCGGAAAATTACGGACAAACAGAATCTTGTGGACCGTTTACGGGAACAGTGTACGGAGACCTTGCCGCCGATCAAGTTGGCATTCCGTTTCCGGATACGGAAATCAAGTTGGTGGATGTGCCGAAGATGGGATACCGCGCGGCTGATGGAAAAGGAGAACTGTGCGCTCGTGCCGACTTTCTGATGAAAGGGTATTTCAAGATGGAAGACAAGACCGCCAAAACCATTGATCAAGACGGATGGCTGCACACCGGTGATATTGGCATGTGGTTGCCGGTGAGACTTTTATGTTTACAAAGTACATTACGGCATTTACGATAATTGTACGATTATCGCTGTTTCTTTGCATTTATAAATTCGCCATACGCATTGCTGCCTATTGGGTTTTTCTAAACAGAGACTGTACATTTTTTTAGTGGGCAGTTGGCACCGAAACCGAAACAGGAATTTTCCAGTTAATGCGGAGCCAAAATCGGAAACATTCGCGAAAATAAATTTTACTGAACATTTTTAAAACATTTCACGACTATGTATACGTACGAGTACTGTATTTTATTGCTAAGCTTCCAGCTAATAAATTTGGTATTTTGCTTTAAAATTTTTTTGGCGAAGGCGCCCGATCCATATCGTGGGAACGGAGCATATAGCAGATTATAAAAATTATTTATTTGTGCAACATTTATTTATTGCACCTGTACAGCGTTTCTGTAAATGACATTCTCAGCGTTTCTGAAATTTCTAAATCTGGAGTATGATACTTCGAATTGTTGGTCGCCACCGGCTTGCAAAATTCTTTTACTGGGTGCTGGTTAACACAATAACTACCGGTGTCGTCTGCGGAGCATAGGTCGATAAGATTAAAGCAGATGACGCACTCAGAATTCGGTTAACATTAATGCACGACAGTTTTACGAAGATGTAATACTACATTATTGTTCTAGCTTCATATCTGTACTTCGAAGCACAGATAAAATATTCCCCATAAATAGTACTTTGTTCATGTACTGATTTTTAATCAGTAAAACGAATAGTTCTAATTACAGGATGGAAACCTGCGCATCTTCGACCGGAAGAAGCACGTGTTCAAATTAAGCCAAGGCGAATACTTAGCGCCAGAACGCTTAGAAGGCGCCTTTTCTCGCTCTGATCTAATCAGCAATATTTTCATCGATGGCGACAGCAAATATCCTTACTGTGTCGCCTTGATATATCCCAAATATGATGCCATGAAGGCGGGAAAAATCAAGTCCGAAAATAAGCAGGCAACGGAAGCTGTTAAAAAGCAACTTATAGACGAACTGACCCGTATCGGGCACGACCGGCATATGAAGTCATACGAAATTCCCAAAAAGATACACATTCTGGACGAAGGATTTTCCATGGAGAATGGTTGTTTGACCCCGTCTAATAAAACTAAAAGAGAGCATATACGCACCAAATTTAAGAAAGAAATAGCACAGCTCTACGCCGGCGACTAAGCTTTTTGGTAAATGTGCTCAATGTTTCTAAAGTATTACATATGGTATTACATATTGTTTAAATAGTTAAAGTTTTTCGCCTGCAGCATCATCTTTCCTCGATATTCTTCAACGCCAAATTATTCTTCGGCGAAGGTGTCTAGAAACTATTTGTTCAATGTTATATGTTAGTGTTATATTATTAAAACTGGAAGATGATAAGCACAATAAAATATTATTTAATTAATGAATGAGTGCTGTACTAGAGTTCCTGACTTTGATTCCGCAATGCGATTAAAAACAAATAAATCGCAAAAAAAAACAAAGTAAAGAATTTTTTTGGAAGCAGAAAAAGGTGAGTTGATGTTGCTGCGTAGTATATGCTATAGTCTGTCAACAGTGTTTCGTAAAGACGAGGAAGTGGTGCCGCCAAACTACGATAACCATGCTACTGTAGGTGAAGAAAACATTCCGTGACCTGCTGTACAGGGATCTTAAACAATACCTACAGCTGTTGCATAAGTGGAAAAAAGCAAAATATTTACATATGTATAAATTTGAGTATATGGACGCTGTAATTTCAAAAAGCACAGATTTTTAGAATTATTCTAATTCACACTGAATGGCCAAAAAATTGTAATGTTATATGTTGCACATGCTGGTAAAACACCGTTATTTTTGCATGAAAATCCTCTATATGTCCGCATATCCGCTGGATTAAAGCATTTTTAATATTGCAAAGATAAATTGTAGTACATAATTGGACAAAAAAACGCATCGTGGTTGAATTTAAAACCGGTAGAATTTTTTTGACATTTTTAACCCGGCATTAAATGATGGAATTTTTTGAATATTTTACTACGCCCTTTATAAACAAGGCAAAATACATTTTTGTCTTGTGCACTGCTTTATCATAATTATCTACACACTTATTATATGTAGAACAAGTGCGGAATATTGGTCTTTTTCGAGACAAACAACACTTATTTAAGGGTGATTGTGATCCATACGTCTGTCGTATGAGTAAAGGTTTAAATAAATGTACCGATATTACTATGATTCATAGGTTTGTTATTGATGGAGGTAATAGTTATTACGGATTAGTTTTGCTGGTTGCTGTACGTCTTGCAGTCTGTATGTACAAATTGCAATAACACTGGTAACACCGATAATTCATATTGTTTTTTATGATCAGATCTAAAAACCAATCAATAACAATAAACAGAAGAAAAGACAAGAATCGAACAAAGCGTCACAAAACAGAAAAACGTGATTCAGTTTCTATCACAGCCTCAGGCTGGTTAATACTGAAATAGACATGTTTTGAACTTTATTTCGGCTTAATCGCAACCAAATATTGATACGCTGAGTATAAATTCGCCCGATAGTTTACGCAGTTAAGTTATTGATCGGTTGTTTTTGGAAAAGTTATTGAAATACCCTGTCCACCATTGAGAAAAAGTTATAACTAGGATGCATGGTTTCAATGCAAAAAAAGGTATATAAGCCGTACTCAGTACTTTTGCTAACACAGTATAACTCATTCAAGCTGCATCTTTTTCTTTCTGGAGTATCAAGCGTAAACATTCACCATGAAATTTCTGTCGATCTGGAACTGGATTATGTTAGTGGTCACGGTTTTGGCGGCGGTAAGCCCAGTGGAATTTTGTTTCCCTTTAATACCTTTTACTTTAGATCAGGAAACAGTCTCTTATATATTTCCATTAACATAACAGCTTGACAAACTATTACAAATATATACTTCTATAAATGTATATATAAATAACATTTCGAATATTACTGCAATCTTGGTAGCGGTGCAAGGAGAAGGCACGATAATTATTACGCATTAACTTGTTGTGCAACAGCTATCTATCTGTACCTGTATTTTAAAAATGTTAGCACGGCGCACACTATACTCAGTTGACTAGTTTTTGCAATAATCTCAACCAAAATCTCTGTCTGTCCTTGACTGGTGACCTAATATCCAATAGAAATACACTGTACACTTATTCTGCTAAGTCGTCCTTTTTTTGTAGATCTCCGCCATGGGAGAAGCCAAAACATGTTTCAGTTTCGGCTACTGCATCTGCGATAACCATAAGGTCTGCTGATTGTAAGAGCAGCAATGATTGCATCAACATGCATCTGTACACCGCGAATCTTGCAAATTTCTAAACTCGGAAATCGACAATTTTTGCACACATCGGAATGTGCGTGTAAATAATAAATACCCAAATCAAAATGTAATTTTCTATAACCTGATAGTACATGTACATAATGCAGTTCCACGCAGTTTTTTGTGATGCCGGCTTTAATAAGACCCGAGCACAATGTAATACTGTACTCGTATGTTTTAAGTGTGAATAAAGGTACAATACGTGTACAAGTACGGTGCACGAATACAGTAACATTGAGCATTGTGCCATTACAGATATTCTCGAATCTCGCCACTGGTCAATACATAGCGCTATACTATTTCTGCGTTTACACGTTTCCGCGATATAAGCATTGTGAGCTGATTTTGCAGTAAAGATAAGTCTGTAGACTATAACAAACTGGCTCTAAAGTTCACACTACACTTATCGTGCAGGACAATGTCAATCGTAAACCAATTATATCATACCGGCAGTTTTCACCACGAGGTGTCCGGTCAAAATATGCTCACACTATACGCGGAAAAAGGATATTTATATACATTGGCAGCGGGAATCGGATAATTCCGTGTTCGGTTGGTTATTTTGACGACCGTGAAGTGTATGGAAGTAACACGAAACTCTTGAAATTAATCTGGTAGCAAATCTCTTGGTTAATCGTTTGTTTATAAGCACTTGATCGTGCAAAACGTAATTTATTTTGTTTCTGGTTTTAAGAATAAACATTGCCAATGAGTCTGTTTAAAAATGATTTTATCATATCTTTACCATATCCTCAAGTCTCTTATTTATATCGCAACCAATATTTTGGAAAAATGGGTTTACCGATTGGAGGCAGCAATTTTGTCGCGCAAAAAGAACAATTTACTCGAGGTAAGCAAGTCATTAGACCTAGTCCAGGCGCAATTATAAATTCCATATTTCTTTCCAGTTACTCGTAAATCTGTACTACAATATTCGTTATAAGTTTATAAGCTATGTAGAGAACCACACTATGGTTAATATGCTTAACAGCAATACTTGCATATTAAACTGGAACGTCATGCGTAAAAGTTGATAACTAATGGTAAGGACAAGAATTTATTGCTCAATGCCGAAATATACATGTCAGTCTTTACAGATTGATGGACAAATTCGTCGACGCCGCAGTCCTTCGCAAGTTGAAGAGCATTTACGGATGGTGTTCCCGGAAAATCTGTATGATGTATTGTTATTCGGCAAACAGCTATCAGGTAAGACTTTCAAAAGATGCCCAAAAACCTAAACTTTTAAATTGTTGCATTATGCGAATAATTAAGTATTAGTTTTGGAAACACAATATTTTTTGCATGTTCAAATATAAGAAGGACGTTCGAATTTTTGCATACTGTGATTTTATTTGAAAAAAATGAGATATTTATTTTTGCTACCGTGTGAAATAGTTTGCGGTTTGATCAGATAACGGACCGTGCATCGGCTATCGTCCAACGAAAGATGCCCCGTATGTCTACCTATCGTATGACGACGCAATTCAACGTGCGACCGCTTTCGGCTCAGGACTGCTGGAACTCGGCGGACGGACACACGGTGATTTCTTCGTGGGAATATTTGCCAAAACTTCACTAGAGTGGACCGTGGCCGAGTATGGATGTCTGGCGTACGGGATGGTCACAGCGCCCTTGTACGACTCTTTGGGACACGAGACATGCCTGCAGATGATCGAATTCTGTGAGTACACATTCAAAACAATGTTATGCGCCTAAATAACTTGTTGATCTGGCTTCTCTAAACTTGTATAATTATAGATGGCATTGAGATGTTGTTGTGTGATGGAGATACCCAACTGAAAGCACTACTGGGTGATAGCGGCCAGTTTCCGGTGACCTTACGTACAATTATTACCATCGAGTCACTACCACAAGAAAGGGTCGATGAAATCAAACAGCACGGCGTGGATATGTTCACCATGGATCAAGTCGAGGTATAGCTAGGCAACTCAATTAAATTAATTTATTGTTCGTATTTAAAATTATTGCTAACTTTATTCGTTTCTCACTGCACGTATGCGGCTTACTGTCAACAGAGATATGCGACACACGACTTAATTGTCATGGCCTTTTTTTTAAATTGTAGGAACTGGGCCGGGCAAATTTGCGCCCAGTGCAACCCGGTCAGCCCGATGACATGGCTACACTGATATTCACCAGCGGCACGACGGGCGTGGCAAAGGGCGTCATGATCACGCACCGAGAGTTTCTCGAAAATATCCGACACCTGTTGCAGTCCTTTTTGGTGAGTACATGCCGGAAAATTAAAGGCCTTATATCCGCTTTGACTAAAGTTGACCTTTCTGAGATCCATATCGATAGTGCAGGATTGACGATTGATATCAATAAATATTATCCATTACAAATTAAGAGTGAAAATTTTCAAAGTGAAGTATGAAACCTTCTATTTCACGATATCATTCAATACGAATATTGCTTCAACTGTTGCAGCCCCTGCGCTTGGGTCCAGACGACTGTATGCTGGGTTTCCTCCCGTTAGCCCACATCTTCGAGCGCTTCGTCGAGAAAATTATTCACCTACATGGCGGCCGTGTCGGTTACATCAGCGAAAATGTCAACAAATCGCTGTTCCAGGACGCCCGGGATGTCCAACCGACGGTATTTGTCTTCGTGCCGCGCCTCATGACGCGCTTGTATGACCAAATTCAACTGGATATCTCTGGCTTTCTGCGCAAGATTGTGGTGGCCAAATTGGGATTGATCATCAAGCGCTGGGATATGCAGCGCGGTGTTTCCAGGACGGATTCCATGTGGGATCGTTTGTTGTTCAAAGAGTACCAAAAGCTACTGGGTGGACACATAAGGATTGGCATGATCGGCGCAGCGCCCACCGATGGGAAGATTCTGAATTTCATGAGGGGAGTTTTTGGAGCTTATGTAAGTACATAGTACATACTTATACTTAATACAGTGTTGCAAAATTTTAATTAATTTTAAATTTTAGTTATGGTTTGAACTGTTTATTAATTTGTTTAATTACTTTCTTTTAATGGGCTTTCAATAAAGAGTTTTTCACCTGGACGCGGGATAGATAACATAATACTACTGTAGTAATGTTATGCCAATTTAAAAGGAAGCCTTTAGCCGTATATTTATTTGTTACGTAGCGTTAATGCTGTCTAAATTGTATTCACTGATACACAGTATTACAGTTGTGGCTATAATACCCATTCGTTAAATTCATTCGTAGATTTTCGAAGTGTACGGACAAACGGAAGCCACCGGTGTCATAACAACGACGACATTCGGCGATATGTCCACTGACCATGTGGGCATACCCATGAGCGGTGTGGAGATGAAATTGGCTGATGTTCCGGAATTAGGCTATTACGCCAAGGATGGCAAAGGGGAAGTGTGCTGTCGTGCGGATTTCATTATGAGCGGCTACTTTAACATGCCGGAGAAGACCGCGGAAACCGTGGATAAGGAAGCATGGTTACACACTGGAGACATCGGGATGTGGCTTCCGGTAAAAATAAGTTTCTTATTAACTGGTGTACGTACTTTAGGAATATCTACGAAGCCTAAAGTAATGGCAATACAAATGAGTACATATCTTAAATGATTTTGCTTTCGACCACTGAATAAATTTGAAAAATCAAAAAAATTCCAGGCCTGATACTGAGGAGCTAAAACGTGTATAAATACTGAAAATCAACAAAAAATTATTTGAATTATCATTAAATTATTGTTATTAAGATTTACGAACATTATATCAGTTTAAATTGTGTAAATATTCTGGTTGTATAAATGTACGCGTATTTGTACCAGTAATCTTCCATTTCAGAATGGAAATTTGAAAATTTTTGATCGGAAAAAGCACATATTCAAGTTGAGTCAGGGCGAATATCTAGCGCCCGATCGCTTGGAAAGCATCTACCTTCGCTCCGAGCTAATCGTTAACATATTCATTGACGGGAACGGTCAGTTTCCTTTCTGCGTCGCCTTGGTCTATCCCAATTACGACGCCCTGGATGCCGCCGAGAGCGACGGTTGCGCTGACCCCTCCGACGCCGACATTAAGCAGCGCATCATCGACGAGTTGACCCGGGTGGCCAAGGAAGCTCAATTGCGCTCCTACGAAATACCAAAGAACATCCATCTTCTGGATGAACCGTTCTCCGTGGAAAACGGCTGTATTACTCCGTCGCAGAAAACGCAACGGGATTCCGTGCGTGTACGCTACAGAGATCAAATTGCGGCACTGTATACCGCCATGGAGAGAAAAAACTCGGCTACCGTACAACGGGAGCGATAAACTCTGTGACGCAAAACTGCTTACGTTATTTGTTATATGAAGGAGTACTCCGACGTATATTGATTCATATTGCTCATAATAATGTATTGTACTTGTTTATTGTTTGTTTTTGTAAGTACTGTATTTATGTATATAATTTTTGTTCATGTCCTGAATGTTTGCCGCTATGAATTTACTGCTCATTAAAGAGTACTTATCTGTAAATTAATAGTTTCCAACGCTGTACGAGTATACTTAATTGTGCACGATCACTTTACGAAAAGTAATAGCAATCAATATAATCAACGAAACAAAAAACTACTTTTACCGCTAAGAAACTATACTTTATAAAATTGTTTAATTTTTACCACGTTTTGCTAGCCGCGGGTTTAAGTTTCGGGACGTGCCACCAAACGTTCACAGCGGTACGGCATGGGGCTTTTAAATCAGGAAGGGTCACTAACTGATGAAATGCAGCAGCTTCCCCATCGCGCTTAACTGATGGATAAGGTGAAGTGGGTAGAGAGTGATGCTAAGGTTGAGATCTTGCAAAGATCAACATTTCCGGGCGTGATCATCGCTGGGAAGGGTTAAAGTAAGTAGCCCGACCAAAAATATTATGTACCTAACGTGCAGTATTATGTGCATGACTCTCATGGTTACCGAATTTATCAGACAATTCGTTTATGCGCCGCCTAAAAAGGCGTGCTAAATTGCCAATTAAAATTATCGGCAAAAAGGTGGACAGATGTCTGTTTCAGCGTTCTGGCGTAATTGGAATCTTTTGCCCTGAAAACCGCAACACCACTCTACTGGTAGAGATCAGCGGTAAACGGCTCGTCTACAGTCCTTGTAACTCTCGTTGCACATTTATCCTATGGTAACGGTGCGCGCATGCGTCCCGATCCATCAAACCGACATCCGTTCTGACTTCTGGGCATCTTGTTTCAAAATATTTTCGAAACTGTCCACAGATTTGAATTTTCAGTTTTTATCTGTGGGGCTGTGAAGCTTACGTTTACTAAACTTGCATTGTATTATTTATAATTACGGTTGTTTGAAAACGTCTGTAATAGTATCTGCATTTAATTTTCTACATTCTTTATGACACCAATTCCTTATAATATACCGTTCCTGTGTTGTCGGCAACCCAAATGAACACCAGAAACACTAGACTTCGAGCGCCGTTAGCCACTCGACGTACCCATCGCCAGGATACCAACGCTGCTAAGAACCAGGTAAACAAAAAACCGGCTGGCCTCAGTAAGACCGCCGGCCAGCGAAATGGAAGCAGTACAGCCGCAAATAAGCTGCGCAAGGAGGTTCTCAAGTTATTTGCCAAGAACCAGACCATCGACGAGATCATGCGGAATGCCAATGTCACGCGAGAATTTGTACGGAAAGTGGTGCAGGAAGCCGGGAAGAGTTTCCCGCAGCGGAACAACTCCATTGGGCGCCGGCGCTCAACACGGCGCCGTACCACCGACATCCAGAAGGAATTGATTGTCGAACTGTTCAATAACGGGCATACCATGGAGCGGATAATGTACATTGCTAATGTTGGGCGTAATGCCGTACGGAACGTGGTAAGGCAGGCAGGAGGAAGTTTCAGACCGGGAACAGGAGGATCACCATCGGGCCAAATCGTCGAGTGGTTATCAAGAAAAGAAATGTCTACGCGAATACACAGGGTACTGTACCAACCACCGCAGTGCCGCAGAAAACCAGTAAGGTCACCCATAGACGGTATCCTGCACGAAACCGTGCTCCGCCGAAGCGTAATAATGCGCCGTCAAAAGTGGTTAAAAAATCCTAATTATAACCTGGTAAAAATTCCACGATATTCTGCCTTTTTCTAATTTTTATGTCAGTATTTTTTTAAAATTTTTATTCAGATTTTTTGCTTGCTGTTATCGATAGAACTTGAGAAGCGCTGATTACTGATTTTTAGTGTAATAACCTTTGAATCTCCACGCGGGATCAACAAAAAGTTTTTGTTTGTTTTGTTCTTGCAGGAACGTTCGATTTTCTCTTTGTCCTGATCTTAAGTAGCGCATGCACCAATAAAGGTCAAAGCTTGCGATGACAGTATTTGTGGAGCAAAAGTCATTTCCCGGAATTATCATAGTGAAATTAGTGACATCATCATAAAAAATTGATGACCTGCTAAATATACTCGTATATATACTTATCCATGCACACAACCCGCACTGTTACATATTGCGTTGTTTGGTGTTTAATAATCAAATGCAATACAGGCAAACAGGGCAACGAGAACATTAGGCGGAATTTTGTAACGAGCTTTCCAAAGCCTTTGTGCTACAGATCTGTACGAGTATCAGACGATGTATCCAAACCGATTCGGTTAATGTTAAATCAAGGAGAAATCTCAAGTCTACTTTTTTCGGAAAAATACAATTTAACTAACGTGAAACTTTTTAATCTACAGAGTACTGTTTATAGTAGACGTGCGCAAAAGTGTATTTTGGCTTTATAAATTTTAAATATTTACTGCCACAATTCACTGCATACATACGCACATCGCGTTAATTAAAAAAATTATCACAAATACGCAACGTAAGATTTTATCGACAAGTATACTAAGCTTAAGGTCAACGGGCACTTGGCGAACTGAGTGTGAGCATTCTAGTCTTCTAAAATGGATGCACAAATTGCAAAATTCATTTTAGATTGCTAGATTGTTCTGGTTGGGCCATGTACAATGCGGATACGCTAATACACGACAGCGCGAAGTACTAGTAACGCTACAGCAAACTTCATGTACTGAAACATGTTCCCGCTAGTACATGCGCAATTGCGCATTGCCATTATTGACCTTTACACCGCTAAATTAACGTACATTGTGCGTAACTGTTAAAGATATCAATGCTGATACCGGCTTGATACGGCACTTTGCGTTTACATTATGAATCATTGAAATTCATTCGTATAACTAATGCGTTATCGCAAATATAACAAACAGTTTGATAGCGCAAAATACGCTCGTTATACAAGTGTATTGTCAATTCAGTCGTTTAAATTTCCGGAGCTTACATAATCTCGTAAAGGCAGTGAGAACGCCTCGCCAGTCTGCGCCTGGACAATTCTTCCGGTTCCTCGTATCCTAATTTATAACACTCGTACCCATACGTCTTGCACTAATTTTGTAGTTAGCTGATCTCTTAACAACACCGATCGCGAGTTTTAAAAATCTGATTTTTAAAAAATGGGTTTGCCGGGCGATCCTACTGCTCCCCCGCCACCGTACCCTGCGGAAAACGGTTTGAACCTTAATCAACCGCAAATGTCGGCGCCGGGAGCCGGTGGATTGGTGTCCGTGGACTTCATTCCCAATTTGACGAAGCCTGGCGGGATTTTCACGTGGGCGGAGTATGAACCATTTCCGGTGATTCTGCAGCGAGCGAATGAGTGGCTCAGTAAAAACCCAATCCTGATGTTGAGAACATGCGAGACGGTGGAATTCAACACGCAGTCCAGTGGGGCAGTGGTGAACTCCATTGAGTCGGTGTATCAGCTGTACGGAGAAGGAGCGAACCGCTACGTCCGCGGATTGCGATTATGGATGCAGCCGCGTAAGTTGTTGAATTCCAATTTTTGTCGGCGAAGTTTTTTTCTTGTGTTTTGAAACGGAAAGGTAAATTAAAAAGTTTTCAGCCCTAACGGTATCTTTTACAAAATCTAAAACTGAAAAATTATGTTGACTATCATTGTCATTTACTCATGATCACGGTATACAGAGTGTGTGCAGTTTAGAATTACGTATACTCGAATAGAGTGTAGAGTAGAGTGGTAGAGTGTGTTCATAATATTTTTGTGATTGCTGTTTTTAACGATGTCGTTGTGATTCAAAACTTTTGATATTGGTAACGGGTTTATTCGCACCACCGACAAAAAAACTAGAGTAGAAATTTGACAAATTCTAGCGTAAAATATAGAAATTAAGGATAAGCGTTTATATTTGGCGCTAATCTTTTGCATTATTTGATAATCTACCTCGATCATTATTCAGTAGCGTGTGACCTTGGCCGATTGACAAAGGAGGCACCCATACTGATAAGAAATACTTATCTATATTTACAGAATTGCGTTAAATTAAGCAATCACTATTTTATGTACAGACAAATTCTATCTTATCGTTTTGTACCGGACAACTGTCGTTAGGACAAATGCAGATTTTGAACAATGAGTTCTATTCACAACCTTATACTGCAAGTAGTAATATCACAACTTTCGACAGGAGCGCCGTTTTTTTTGCCGCAGTAGGAATGCAGTGTCCTTTACAGAATGATGAAAAAATGTTTTACGAAAAGCAACGCAGTTGACGTTTTGATGTTGTCATTTCAGGCACGGATGGCTCGTCGGCCATTCAGCAGATCGGCTACTACAACATCATGCCCAGCGTCCGTGTGGGCGTGTTCAGCGTGGACACCGCTGAACGTCTGGACACCCTCATAGCGCAGGCCAACACCCTGTTCGCCACTAACCCCATTCAAGGCAGCATCCGCACCATCGAGACGGTACCACTGCGTGTCGGCGCCAACGGCGTCGATCCGGACTGCACGGCATGGACCGAACGCGGTTCGACCAGCGAGACCTTTATCTATATGCTGCGTATCTTCTACGAAACCGGTCCACCGCAGTACGAATCCATCGGGATTGCGGATTTCGTGCCAGGCGTACTGAGCGAAGGCGGGCTGATGGGTCGACCGGTCTTGGAACGGTTTCCGCAAGTGCTGTCCAAGGCGCATCAATGGTTGTTGAGCCAGACACCGCATCTGCGCGTGGCGAATGTCCAGACGCTGTACTACAAACAGCGGTGGACCACGCATATGGATACGCTGCGGATGACATATACGGAGAATGATTTGCATTCGTATTATGTGCGCTATTTGCGAGTGGCTTATGCATTGACAAACCCCAATATGCCGCCTCAAAATACTGGCGGTCCGATACGGTTAAATTCTAAATTGTTTACGCCGGGCATGCTAGAGCCACCGGGATGCTGCTCCGTTGGAAAATTCGAAAACCAAATTCAGGTAAATTAAATAACATTAAAACTTAAAACTAATGCTAGTATTTTTTTTAGAATTGGTTATCTACACAATCCAATTAATTAGTTGCGGTTGAACTATCGGTATAGGTGCGCAAACCAGTTTTTTAGCATAAACTTTTACAACTGAAACAGATTAAAAATTTCGTTATTTAATACAGAAATTACGTTTTCGAAAACAAAAACCATGTGAGCCAGTTCTAAACCACGACTGATCTGAAGGGGCTGCGTGAGAGCAGCTCCCTGGCTGCTAATAAACTATGCGCCAGGTCGTGACAGGCAGTTTTTCTCGAAATTTTCTAATTAGCGAGATCTGAAAACTATGGGGAAGCCGAACGTACAGAGTAGTATAGATCTTTCTCTTGATAAATGATTTAGGATCTGCACAATCAGTGCGTGCACATGTACTGTAATTCTTTAAGACTATTGGGGATGTTTTCATATGCACTCACGTTTTTAATAATAAATCCTAAAACTAGATGTTAAAAGTGGCAGATGATGCCGAGAAAAACACCGCTGGCCATACAGTCTTTGCTCTAACCTGCGCATAACGCTTGATCACATCCTCTCAGCATTCGCTGTTTTTTTTTACTACAGTACACCAACCGTCGCGTGCCGTTGCAAAAATTTCTGTTACAACTTTTCCAAATATTCCAACACCGCGAAAACTTGTTTTTTCGTTTTGACCAAGAAAATTAATTTTCTATTTTGAAACTTTTGACATAGAATTTTCTTTCTTTTTTTGACCAAACAAATCCCCTCCCATCTTTTCGACCGCTAAAATTCCCTTCCTTTAGTTTCCCTCCCATCTTTTCGACCGTTCAAAATCCCTCCCTTTAATTTTCCCTTCCTCGTTTTGACCAAAGAAAATCCCTCCCTTTAATTTTCCCTCCCTCTTTTTGACCCTGGCCTTGCCGGTTTGCTAAGCTTACGCATACACATACATTTAGTAGCCACACGCTACAGTACATCACAATATTATATCTATATACGTATAAGTACAGAATACATATAGACCCTGTAAATGCAGATTGTTGTACACATTTACGCCCCATTTGTGCACTTTATTCACTTCACAAAACTTTTATTTGTCACGAAATGTCTGCTTATTAAAGAACCGGCCTTGAAACGATTTCCTTACTGTTTGCGATTACCTCTGTTTTTAGCGGAAGCGCCAGTTGCATATTTTTCCAGTCAGTTGTAATATTTAGGCTCTCTGCTACCGATATTTAGGTATTTTTATTGCGTGCAACAGACAACAGTACATAGCAGTTTCTGTGGCTACTACTCACAATACGAGTACAGAAAAGAAGTACTGCACAGTATGTAACGTACTTATCTGAACGGATTTGTAAATCGTTAATAGCGAACAGAAAAAGTTTCAGAATAGAACGTAATAATGCTTTTAACCGGTAGTGTTTAACTGGTTTGTCTTAAATTTATGAGCATCATGTGGCTGCAAACTGTATTAATGTGAAAAGTTTAAAAATTTCGTTGTCAGGTTCGAGAGCGTATGGCCGGATGGATGCGCGCAACAGGTGCAAAGGTCATCTCCGTGGAAACGGTTCCCATGCGGATTTTCAGCGGCGCAGAGAACACCGAAGGTTTTGATACAATGCACACGTGGAATAAAGTCGTGTCACACACGCACCAGCACGGCGGTGCTGGTCACCATCATCACGGCGGACACCATCACCACCATGGTGGACATCATCATCATCATGTCAATCATCATCATCACAACGCTCACCATCACCACCATACTACGGGAATTCACCATAATACGGGGATTCATCACGGACCCACCCACACTCACACGACATATTCCAAAGGCACGGAGAATTATCTGATACTCTATCGTGTATACCTGGATGGAGTCTATCCGGAGCCGATGGGATACGCGGAAACCGGCACCAACATCGAGATGTACATGCAGCAGAACGCTAACGCATGTACAATTTTGTAAAGATTACGGGCAGAATATATAGCATGTTTATTTTTGTTCTTGACAGTGATTTTAAATACAGTATCATTTATATGTGAGTAACGAGCTTCTTTTTTTCCTTTTTTAAAGCCGAGAATGCTGTTTTCGGTGAAAATGTGGGAAAGCTCTAAGAATTGCACATCATAAAAATTTGTGTCAATGTCACCATTTTTAATGCTTTTTTAGCCCTTTAATTTGTAGGGGAATTATTCTTGCACGAGCACAGAATAAATTTGTATTATTTGTGCCGAACTATGTTAATTTTTTAGAAAGATGTGGCAGAGTTGCTGACAAAATTTAATCAGTACGTCGTACATGGAAAATGGAGTTACTTTCATAACGATTTAATGTGCGCACATAAACGTAATATTATCCTCACATATTAAACATATGCAAGCGTTTTACGTTATCATATTTGTACGTTAAACATTAAATAAGAATTTTATTTACTTACAAGATCTTCGGATAGATAGCATCAGGAATACCATATTATTCGGCAGTTATAATAAACTGAATTATCCATCCTATTTACCGCATCGATGGTAGTAAGTTCTGTATTTAATTATTATACAGTTTAGGTTTTGCCTTGTTCGACTTTTGCTCTCCAATGCAGAACCCAGTATATCGAGCTAAACGATAACAGTTTATGCACGAAAGAAATTGATTTTGTACATAAAACGGGACGATAGTACTCGTATAATACATTTCCGGCCCAGTCCAATCCATCGATGAACAAAGGTATTGACCGGCGGACAAGAAACTGAGCGAAAGCCAAGCATTTCCTGTGCACTGTGAAAAATCAATATTCCCTTTTGCGTTTCGATCCTGATGGTATTGACTTGCTGGGCTGTGTTATAAAGTGAGAACACTCATTCTGTACTACAGATATACGCCTGCACAGTATATAAATATAGGCGATATTTTCGGCACCCATATTATTCGAAATTACTGGCTATTTTGTTGCAGTTTCTCCGATCAGCAGCGGTAAACCTTCTATAATTAAAAGTTTATCACATCTTCTGGCACAAACCCCTATCGAAATCAAAAATGGTGAAGATCACGAATGTGTCAATCAGGTCAGCGCTGGAGAACAAGCAATGGCGCTATCTGGAAGTACTTTTGGAAGCAATTATTGTACTAACCTATGCTACGGATTTATCGCATTTTATGCTGCGGACCTCCTTTCCTTCGTTGCGCGAGACACGAGCGGACGTCACGACGGAAATGCAAAACTGGAACTCGTTTTCCTGGCTACATTCAGGAAGCTGGAGTGGGGTAATTACGGACGCTAATTTTAAATCAAGTCATACCACTTATGTAGAAAGCTTTATATCTACATACAAAGTAGAACGGAATTCTCCCTTATCCAATCTGTACGCGCATGTGTGTCAAGCTTTATTTCAAATGAAATTAAGTTGCAGCTGACGGTGTAAAATGCAGTTACATAGGTATACAATTTTCTGCGCATTATTCTTAATTAGAAAGACCTTTACGCTGCAGTACGTACAAATTGGTACAATGTAATAATATTGACATGAGTGGTAAGAATAATAGTAATACTGGTGCGGAAATGCAAAAGTGTGACAATGTGATTAATCGAAATTTTTTCTTCGATTATTTGGATGAGTTAAAGTTATGCTAAAGTTAAGTTATGCACATGAAGTAGAAAATTAAGTCTAAATCCTTTTCGTACGGTAAGAAGCAGGTCGGAATCTTGTTAATTTCCCTGGCTTAATCTGTGATACGAGTATGGTAGGTTGTACTGACTGCTGACTAATGCTGTTTCAGAGCGTGGAATGCTTTTGGGTCGCCATGTTATCGGAATGGATGCCGATCGATATCGACCAACAATATCCCACATGCAGCAACTGCACCATTACCACTGACAACAGCACTACCGACGAGGATGCAGCAGCTGCCTGTCTTCCCCGTTTTACTCCCTGCACACAAACCGAATGCAACCAGCAGGGCCTAGTGGGTCAAGGGGCGGCGCTTATCCTATCTTTGGCAGCGGCTACTTTGTGCATCAGCGTCATCTGCAGTCTATCGGTCAACTACAAACACTGGATGCGTCCCTTGTTGCCGGAGCATGAGGTGGAGAATGAAACTGACCCGCCGGAAGACAAAGTCAACTGGAGCGAGTTGAGCAAATGTAACTGGCTGATCGTTATCTGGCATGTGGCGATGGCGGTCATTTTAACCATCGCTATTCCTTACCTGGTGGTGTTCCTCATACCACCACTGGCTATTGTGCTTTTCGGGCTGACTACCGGCAACACCACGGCGCCGGTTCTACCGGCATATTTAGTGTCAGTGTTCCTGTTAATCACGTACAGCATGTTGTCCCTGTTCCGTGTTATTAATCCGCCCTCGCGAGCCGTTCTGGTGTTCCGCTGCATGGGAGATCCGTAAGTGAAGCGGCTCAAATGGTTTTAAAAAATTAAATTACAGAACATAGCCCCATAACTTTAAAGAACTGGAACTGAAAGCGTAGAAAGCTGCATTAATGTTTGAACCGTTACAAAAGTGTCTGATGATAATTAGTGGCGACTAATGACAAGTTTAACGTTTGGGAAGATTGCTACATTGCTTTACGTTTCTACAAACGCGTTTTTAGCAATGTAAAATAATTTCTTCGAGAGTTTAAAAAATGAATTCCAGTTGATTGCTTTATTATGTAGCTATTCGAAGCCTCCAATGGGTTCCATAGACGATGGATGTTCTGCTCTGGAAACCCAAGAGCGTTGCCGGCAGAGACGTCGTGCTGCAGTTGTGCGCATGGGATGCCTGATGTTCTTACTGGCCACCTGTGGAACAATGCTTTTCACCGCGTATCCGCATTTTGATACCGTCATTGACTATGTCTCCACGTTTCCGCTCTGTGGTTTCCTGCGCGATGAAATTCCGGTACACATGACTTTATTTACCGTTTTAGATTTCATAAGCATGCTGATCTTGAGCACCGCTTGTCGACCTTTAACCTACAATGTTTCTTGTTACCTAACTGGGAGATCTGGTTTTTTTTCTAGAAAATGACACTGAGCAACGCACGACTCTCCTACTGGGTGGATCTGTCCGCATGGCACAGCGACAGCAACTGGGACTTCCTCTTTCCCAACGGTGTACCGGAAGTGCCATCAGATGCCGCTATCGTCGGCACTATTGGACTGATCTTAAGTGGAGCGTGCTTTGCGCTGGTTGTGGTTTCTGTCATCTACATTATCGTCTCTGCGATGGTCATGCTGGTTATTCTGTTCTGGGTCGCTGTGAAGGACTGCTGTGAAAACTGTCACGAATCGTTGGAAGCCGATGGCGAGAAGCCAAACGCCCCAGCCCCAGCGCTAGCACAGCCGGCGACCGCTGCTAACAAGAAACCCAACTGGTCTAGTCGATTCAAGATTATGGGTATGGGGTTGGTCTACATCGCCTGGGTCGTCGTGTTCCACCTGACTGCAAAGCTGCTGTTCGCGGAACGAGCTTATCTTCCCCTCTACATGGGGTGGTTGGGGTTTCTCTTGGTCATGCTGGGCGACACGGTCGTCTTCTTGGTTCGCCTGTCAAAATACGAATCCGCAATGGCAGAGCAAGTGACACTCGTGTCCCAACAATTGCAAGAATGATGTTGTGCACGCGTACGGATGCGGAGACGTTCCTCCTACACTCTCATTCTAAACTTCAGTTACAGTGGCCGTTATATAAAACTGGAGAGTAAAAAACCCCGTTATACTGTAATTAAGGAAATGATGCTAATATTGACACAGCCCGTGACAGCCGTCACGGCGCGACATGCTTTAGCACTACTGTAGAGAAGCTCTGCACGAAGTCGAAGATGATCGTAATGTACGGTATATGTTCAGTCTTAATGACACTGGGTAAGCTAGATTCGGAATTCGACGAGGTTTATGCAGCTACAGAGTACTCGTAGATATTGCACGTCACACTTTTTCGTATGGAATATGTTGTCGTATTTGCTTGTTTTACGTGAAACGTTTCTGTGTCGTGTATTGTACAGAAAATTATCGTAATCGTTATCTTTGTTTGGCATTTACTTATTTATTCCAGCTGTTCATGTATAATAAGTAATAGTTAATAACTGAACGTGTCATGAAATGCGCTTGCTATAAGCCGTAATAAACATGGAACGTATGCGCTAATACAACTCCAGATCTGATTTTGGAACAAAGCGTGGGTGGCTGTGACTTGGGATTTGCTTGCTGTTGCATAAGAACATAATCATTTTAATGTAATTTCCAAAAATAAAGTTCATTGAATATACCGACGGTACCATTAAGACCATAATTGTCGCACTGCAAAGAAGGCTACGTAGCAGTTAAATACGATATTTTTGCGGCAAAGTGTAAATTTGCTTGAACTGGGCCAATTTCATGGTTCGCATTTCTTAACGCAAAAATAAAAATTAATACCTTGAATCTTTAAATGTCTTAATTTTTACCGTCTTTCTCTTAGTACAAGGTCCAAAAGTCTAGATCACTCCATCCTTTGGATATTACTTATAACATTGCATATATAGAAATCAGGTAAACCGCAGTCGGCTAGTTATAGCGCAATGCATACAATTCCTTCAATGACATTCGGTGGCATTTTTCTTTTGTTCAATGTACAAGTATACGATATACTGTAGTACTATATACTATATAAGAGTATATATAGTGTGTGTAATACTGTGTACACGTACTGTAAGTTCTGGCACTGTCCATTCATGAAATGGTAAAACCAATTTTTGCCGTTACTGCATTCTTTTATACTATATTTGTTTTTCTCCAATCTTTTTTACATCACCTTCCCCGTACAATGGCTTTTGCTAGTATCAGTATTAGGCAAATTAAACGCGTTTAGAAAGTGCAGTACTACTCTAGCAACTAGCGACTTTTAACAACTGCTATTAAACTCTTTCTTTATCGCCGTTTGGTGCTTTAGCGTGAATGTGCACGTGCTTTAGCATTTTTGTTTTTGCTTGTATTGTACAGTTGTACGCACTCTTGCAAATTTAGAACAAAGTTACGTAAATGCCGCACTAGTACATTCTCATGCACGGTTTTCAACCGGTTCTTACGTACGTTGTCGTACAACAGAAAACTATACCGGCATATCAAAGATTATTATTGATCGGGACAACAACCGGCAACTGGAACTCTGCCTGTGCATACAGCGTGTTAGGATCAATCGAGTGCTGCGGACGCACATTTTCATGATCAAGGTCGGGGTCCGTCCGAACTACATGCCGTGAATCACGCGTACTGTACGTCATGTGCCGAGTCTGGCAAGCCTGGCTACAGCCGTGCTGGCATATTTAACCGTAACTACATGTGTGCATGTTGCGAGCTTTTCAGACTAAGTTCGTTCTTCCCAGTCTATCAGCCGTTGGTTGCAGGGACCGCCTGCGATGCATGCATAGCCATCAAGCCAGTGTATCCTGTGCGGAAGTGGAACCACACGAGTTGCAATTTAGGGCGTCCCAGAAGAGTCAGATCACAAGCAATTTTATACCATATAAAAAGTTTTTTTTTAAATCTGAAATTTCAGAGTGCTACCAAAACAATTTAAAAATGGCGCGCTGTTCTTACGGATGTATGCGAAACGTGTTAAAGAATGACAGATGGGGATTTATGGAGATAATCCTGGAGACGCTTGTGGTAATATTCTTTACGACGGATTTATCGCACTTCTTACTACGCACCACCGTATCATCCTTACGCCGCTATTATTATTCACGAGCGGATATCGGTACAGAAATGCAACGCTGGAACTTGATTACCGTGCCTGTTTATAGCCTCCAATCGGTAATTACAATATTATGTACTTTAATTGTTTCCTTCGGAATTAGTAACTACTAACTGCTGTGCTCGTACCAAAAAACAGCAGTCTTAATTGCAAAGACCTCATTTTTGCAGAATCCGGAAGCGTACGATTGTTACTGGATTTCATCACTGGCTGAACACTGGCTGCCGATCAACATATCCATAAAATATCCAACATGCTGCAAAACGTTCTATCACAACATGACGGATATTGTCTGTGCGAACTATTCCGAAGCGATCATACCGTATGTCTCCAAGAGTTCGTATAATAAGTACCATGTGAACGATTGTGGAGGATGGTGTGCCACGGCGATCCTCCTAGCCTATGTCACGTTGTCTCTGTGTGCGTGCACCGGTGTAAGCTTGGCCGGTAACTATTACTATGGTCACTGGACGCAACCGGTACTGTATCCGCGACCGACCCAAGATGGCGCCACCCTGGACAACCAGAGTCGCCCGGGTAATTTACTGTTCACTTGGGTCGGGGCCATTTTACTGGGAGTGATAACCCTGGTATTGATTGTCTGCATCCCGGTGATGCTGGTGGTATTCTTTATACCATGGTTGGGATATGTCATTTTCGGTCATGCGGGAGTTTTACCAGTGTGCGTGTTCACTGTGGTGCTGTTAGCCGTATACTCTCATCTGTGCTTATTCGGGGTTATCCGACCGCCTTCCCGGTTTCGCCTCGTTTTTAGCTTCCTAATGAAAAACAGGTAAATTATTTTTCCAAGTTGACCATGTGCCCCGAATTTTCTGCGTGCACAGTAAATTTCATAAGCGCTAAGAAATTTCGTAAAATTCTGTAGCTATGAATGGCTCCGTGTTCCTCGGAAAGATCTCGGCGACAATAATTTGACGGACTATAAATGGTGTGCTATTGCTCGCCTCGGTTGTGTATTTTTCCTGTTGGCCTTATGCGGAATCATTATCTTCCCTGCATATCCTCAATTTAACACGGCTGTCAACCTGGTGTACTCTTATCCATACTACAATACACTGGACAATTCAACACTGGTAATTTTCGGGATTTATTTTTAAACCGTTCTTTATGAATTGCTTGCTGCTTACATTCTTGATAAATTAAAAGTGCATGTGGCTCATAGGAGTAATTGCGTTCAGGACTTTTAATGCAGCAGCATTTACGACAATTTTTAGGTGTTAGGACTAAATCAAGCACGCCTCGCTGATTGGGTGAATCCACTTTCCTTATACAGCAAATCAGCTATCAGCTATCTGTACTGGGATCACACTTCCACGGATATAGGTGTTTTCTTTATTATTGGCCAAATCGGACTTGTTGTGAGCCTTGTCTGTTTTCTTATCGCCATCGTCTTCATCGTCGGAATTCTGCCGGGACTGCTTATCTTCTTACTGTACAGCGCGTGTAAGGATTGCTCTGGTGGTCAATCAAGCCATGACAAAACTGTACGAACGGTGTGGCAGAACCGGTGCCGCATTGCAGCTATGGCGTTCTTCTATACCGCGACACAAATTGTTTTTCACTTGGCTGTTACATTCGCCGGACCGGAACAAGCCTTTCTTCCCCTGTATCTGCTGTGGATTGCAATGCTGGCCGGTGATGTTGTGCGGGAAGTCAAGCTCATTATTCAGCTATCCCGGCGCGGCCCTAGCTTTTCCGACCACGAACATGTAGCACTGTCGTGAAGTGGATGTATAATGTAATCGACGAGATCACTATGTGCCACCGACATTTGTCAATCAACTGAATCTCGTCACGCATCGCTAGCAAGGGATATTGCGATTGCACTGCGACACAGGTCTGAAATTCCAGAAGCCGCTTCGCGAGGAGAATGCTAACAATGCTGCATGTGTTTTGGTATAAAAAGCATTTTTTTAATTATAGCATCGTAAGAATACGATATCTGTTATGTGATGTACGGTATCTTGTAAGAGCGCTTCTGATGATAGTAACTTCCGCAGTGTTTTGATCTTTTTGGTAATTTTTCGGCAGTGCAAATCTCATATTGCTCACTACAGAGTAATTTTGTTTTGTTGGAGTAGTTTCCTTGTTTTATGGTTCGTTTTCCATGGTTGTTGAAGTTGTTCTTATCTTGTTTTGTCTGATAATTTTTTCTGGATGGCGTAGGCCAAAAAATTGCTACTTTAGTGAGTCTGTAAGTAATCACATTTTGCGATAAAGAACCCATTAATTTTGTACTAAACATACTTGCATATGACAAAACAAACTCGTATCTTTCAAAATATTTAATTACGTTACCAGTTTCTTGATGTTTTGGACTGTGCCGGAACAAAAGCTGCGGGCACAGTGCCCACCACAAAAATCTAGAACAAAGTTACGTAGGAGCCGCGCTCGACTGCTCATGTATTCTGGTGTTCCACCAGTTTATTTATGTACTGTACCCTGTCTTACAGCACAAAAATAATTTAATGACTTTACAAGCCATACGCGTCCGCACAATACTGATGCGTGAGCATTTGCCGGCTTGTGCAATTCCGAAGTACTTAGTACTGTGGCTGCCTAGCGTACGGGTGAATTGATCGCAACAGCAACCGGCAGCTGGAACTCTGCACGGTCTGTACTCGCTTCGCCGTAGAATCAAGCAACCGCAAAGCGCGCAGGTTTTCATGAATCAAGGTTAGTGTTCGTTTGAACTGCCGATACTGTACAATACATGCCGTGAATCACACGTACGTTATGTGCCATGTCTGGCGTTGCAAGCTTGGCTGCCGGCATCCGCTAACTAAATAACATGCTTTGCGAGCTTCTTAAACAACTGTTCTTCTCAGTCTACCATCTGCTGGTTTCAAAACAGCGGCTGTATGGCATGGGAGCGATTGTCAAAAGCATCCTGAGCGGAGTGCAACAACACGAGTCTGCAATTTAGGGCGTCCTAGAAGAGCACACCCAGCCTGCAACAGACCGCAAAATTATTCTCGTAATTACTGTAATTGTCCAACAACCTTATGCTTTGTTGAAAGTTTGCAGTGCTACCCAACAACACGAAAATGGTCCGCTGTTCTTATGGCTGCATTCGTAACGTATTAAAGAATGACAGATGGTCATATCTGGAGATTATCCTGGAGGCTGTTGTGATCATATACTTTACTACGGATTTATCACACTTCTTATTGCGCAGCTCCGTTTCGTCTATGCGCCGTTACTATTCCTCACGAGCGGGTATCGGAACAGAGATGCAACGCTGGAACTGGCTCACCGTGCCCACATATAGCTTGCAATCGGTAACACCTGCGTGATTATTAATTTGTTATCTGCAGTGGTCATTTCGATTCATATTGCAGCAGAGCCATAAGTGGGTATGTTACCGTATGTGTAAAGACGCGAAGATATCTTTTGCAGAATCCCGAAGCATACGATTGTTATTGGATTTCGTCACTGGCCGAAAACTGGCTGCCGATCGACATCGCCACAAAGTACCCAACATGCTGCAACTCGTACTATCACAGCATGACCAATGTCGTCTGCGCGAATTATTCCGAAGCGATGATACCGTATGTTCACAGGAAGGCGTTTAATAAGTACCATGTAAACGACTGCGGGGCATGGTGTGCCACGGCAATTATCCTAGCCTATGTCACGTTGTCACTGTGTGTGTGCACCGGGATCAGTTTGGCCAGTAACTATTACTATGGTCACTGGACAAATCCAGTACTGCATTCACGAGCAACTCGAGGTGGCGCCACTCTTGACAGCTACCCGGACAATTTGCTGCTTAGCTGGATCGCGGCCATTCTATTGGGTTTGGTAGCGCTGGTGCTGATTGTCTGTATTCCGGTGATGCTGGTTATGTTCTTCCTGCCATGGCTGGGTTATGTCATTTTCGGTCATGCAGGAGTTCTGCCGGTGTGCGTGTTCACTGTGATGCTGTTAGCCATATACTCACATCTGTGCTTATTCCGCGTTATCCGACTACCTTCCAGGTTCCGTATCGTGTTCAGTTTCTTAATGAGGAATAGGTAAGAGAAATCTATTCCTTCAGTACGTAAAGTTCTATTCTGAAACGATATACTTTGTGTGTACCATAGGTATCTGTATGCAATTAATTTTTGTAGTTACGAATGGTTCCGTGTTCCCCGGCAAGATATAAGCGACAGTGTTGTGGTACACCAGAAATGGAGTTCTGTTGCACGCCTCGTCTGCACGCTCTTCCTGTTAGCGTTGTGTGGAATCATCATTTTTCCGGCATATCCTCTTTTTCACAAAGCAATCAACCTTGTGTACGCGTATCCGTATTACAACACGCTGGAAAGTTCTACGCTGGTAAGCAATTCATTGTCGTCCTTATTTGATGCACTTTAAATATCTTTTAATAGCTAATTACAGACAACGAGCATATTTAACTAATGCGTATATTAATAAAACGCTTATAATACGCAAATTAAGCGTATTTAATTTATTATTTGATTGTTTACTATATGTTTAATGATAAAAACGTAATAAAGATGACTTGTGCATAAAATAATCACAAACGGAATTGTGATTGCACATTTAATTTGCAGTTATTTTCAGGTGTTAGGATTAAATCAAGCAAGACTATCCTATTGGGTGGATCCCCTTTCCCTGTACAGCAAATCAGCGATTAGATATTTGTATTGGAATCATACTCCAACGGAGATAAATGTGTTTTATTATATTGTGGGCCTCGTTGGACTTGTAATGAGCGGCGTGTGTTTTGTTATTGCCATCGTCTCCATCGCCGCGATTCTGCCGGGACTGCTTGTTTTCTTACTCTACCGTGCATGCAAAGATTGCTCTGGCAGTCAATCAAGCTATGGCAAAAGTGTAAGAACGACGTGGCATAACCGGTGCCGAATCGCGGCCATGGCGTTCTTCTATACCGCGACACAAATCGTTTTTCACTTGACGGTGACATTTGCCGCGCCGGAACAAGCGTTTCTTCCCTTGTATTTGTTGTGGATGGCATTGCTGATCAGTCTGGTTGTGTTTGAAATCAAATGTATAATTCAGTCATCTCGGGAGAGCCCAAGATTTTCCGCCCACGAAAATATTGCACTGACTTAAAGTCGGTGCTTGATGCATTCAACGAGGTCATCGTTTGCCACGCAATACCATGATATTACCGTGATTGTAGTCAAGGAATATGGTGTTCCCATTGTTAGCGGTGGATGTTTCGACTTTACCGGCAAAAGATGTCGCAGGTCGCTCAGCAAGGATAAAGTTAATAATGCTGTAGACAATCTGCTAAAAACCTTTTATTCTAAAACCAAACTAACAGTTTAAATATATTGATTGCAAAATACAAGAATTAATTATCGCAAAGTAACCATGTCGTTGCATTTGCGATGGAGTCAGTTGGTTGCTTTTGGGTCGTTTCCTAAAATCGAGTTCGGAGTTTTATATATACAGCATCAATTTCATTTTGCTTACTACAGAGGAGAGTTTTTGTTGTTTGTGGATGCCTTCTGCTGTGCGGGGCGTTTTACTATGGTTGTTAAAGATGCTTTGTTTGCTTTCTTTGTCATTTGCCTACGAAATCAACACAAAGCATTGAGTTTCATGATGCAGTGTCTGTAGAAATATACGAAAAAGTACTGTATAATAATATGCATTCGTACACCCACTCACCACGGTCTATTTGATTTGGAATTACTTACAAATCACAATATTTACGTACTGGATGCTGCCGCACTATCCGCACAGAAATATTAAGTATTGCGTTAAAGTTGCTAGTTTTACCGTGTTAACAGTAGTAAGTTGTGTTACGGTTGTGTACGGTATATATCCATATATAACTGTCGCTGTCTATCGTATTATGCCAGGTTTGCATCATTAAGGTCTCACAAAACCAAATTAACAAAATTAAATTATCTTTTTATGGTTTTAATTAAATTAAATTATGGTTTTAATTTGCGCTCCTTTGGGTACAGACGCGCTTTAGGACTGAGATTTCTGACAAGCTCGAAGCTTTATTTTACAATAATTGTTTGTCTACTTAACGTCACTCCACTACAATAGAAAGCCACTATTCTTGTGCTCTCCGTATTTTTACAGCAAGAAAAGGGATTAATTTCTACTAGATCAGCAACTAGACGTAAACCGCTCATCGCGCTGATCAATTTGTTTTGTACGCAACCGGCACAACATTGGTACCGCATACAACCAAGAAAAACGAGTGCAGTTTTCTCGGCATGGCATCATCGATATCCATAGTGCATAGTACTGCATACTCCCATCCCGATCGATACCGGGCCGTCTATTTTTAGAACGTAGTGCGTAAATCCAGCTGAACATGAGGAGCATATGACATATGTGTCGCAGCTGTTACGGGGATTAAAGTTCGTATTATACGAGTACAGTACTTTCCGTGCGACAGCAGTTTTTCTTTTACACTTCAGAGGAAAAATTACAATTCGAAAAGCCTGTTACCAGATAAGAAATAATTCAAAATGGTCACCTTCAAGGAGTGCGCCCAGTGCGACATACTGAATTCAAAATGGGCCTATATGGAGATACTGTTCCAGTCCATTGTGGTTCTAACGTATTCCTCGGAATTATCGCATTTCTTGTTGCGTGTGGCATTTCCTTGGCTGCGTGAAACCAGAGCGGATATTCGGACAGAACTACCTCACTGGATCAGGCTGATGAATCTCACTTCGGTAAACATTCCAGCAATTTTAGAATACCTTCTTAGTTCCTACCGAATCCTATGGTACTATTACTGTAATACCTTCAATTTTCACGCCGTATACAGCAGCTTACGGCGTATTATAAGGTTTGTACGGTAGATAAGAATTTACCATGGTTAAAATGTTTAGATTTTCAACTATTTTTTAATAGCTTATAACTGTCGAATTCTAAAGTGCCAAATTTTCTCCCTAAATCTTTTTGCAGTACTGTGCTTATTACTATGCATATTGATGGCAGAAATGATAACCTTTAAAACTTTTAATCATATTATTGTTAACAATATCGCCTACTCTTGGCCAGGACGATGCTTGCTATTGGGTGAACATCTTGCGCCAAAAACTGCCAACCAACACAACCGGCGGTCAGTACACAGTATGCATCGACCACTCCGATAGTATCTCCAACCAACCACAGAGCAGCTACGGCTGGTTGCGCGTTTTCGAAGTGACGGTGGCCATTTTCGCATTCTTCGTCTTGTCGCTATTGGTCAGCATCATCTGCAGTCTAATCGCCAACTACCGACACTGGATGCAGCCGTTATTGTCACCATACGACAAAAAGTTCTCGACATTGTATAAGCGATACTATCGAACGGACAAGCCTTCCCGATTACAAATGCTCCTTGTGGTCGCTGCCTTTATTGTCTTGATAACAGCAACAGGGGTGATTGTTCTTTGTGTCCCGATTGCCATTCTGGGCATTGCCGCTTATCTGGGACATTCAGTCAGCGGAGACTGGGGAACCATACCGGCATCCATAGTAACGCTGATAGTGTGCATTGTATACTGTAATCTCTGCCTCCTCCGCTTTCGCCCATATTCACTTATTCAAGGACTGGCTATCTTTATAAAAAACAGGCAAGCTGGGATAATGCATTATGACCTTTGTGTCAGTACCTGACGCGTACGTGCATGTAATCATCGAAATTGTTTATAGGATCGTGCAGGATTTTATCATCTTAAAGAAATGTGACGCTTGTCCGACCAGTCTTTCGGTAGCGATCGGGGGACAAGAATATCACCGGAAACGACGCAAGCAGAGTGCTACACGCATTGGATGTCTATTGTTGTTGTTGGTTATTAGTGGAACTGTGCTGTTCCTCGAGTACCCGGAATTTTATACGGCCATGAATGTTTTGTTCCCGGTCGCGACTCCCAGTCTTCCGGATGATGGAGCCAAGGTAATTATTAACAATAAGTAATCACTGGCGACTGGCGATTATGGTCGACATTTTATGGACGTACACCTAGATATAGCAATTCCTGATACGGCCATATATATAGCAGTATAAACTTATGCTCATATAATTAAGTTTTAATGTAATCTTAGTGTTAAAGATTCATGCAAAATGAAACCTTGTTGTTAAAGATTCGTGAGGCTCCGTACTTTCGCTGCACACTTTGCTCTTGCGTGCGTTACACTCTAACGTATGCTAACAGCAAGCAATAAGCAAATTAATGCATTAGTTTCGTTGACTGTACGGTTTGTAGTTTGTACCTACAATACATAACAATATCCTCGCAATATTTACACACTGCGCCTATTTGCAGATGCTGAGTATAAATCGAGCCAGGCTGTCCTACTGGGTGGACCCGCATACCATGTACACTAAGCCAAAATTTTTATCGTTCTTCCCAAACGGCGTGGAATGCATTTCGCATGCGGAGGAAATTGTTGGAAAAACGGGTTTATACATTAGCGCAGCATTCTTTGCCATGATTCCCGTTGCCCTAGTTATCATAATTTTCATCATCTGTCCTGGCATTATTTTGTTCATGCTGTACGCGGCCGTACGCAGTATGTGCGTGAGTCCCAGGCCTGATGGCACGAAGGAGCGGCCTATCCTGGATGGGCTAACGGAATTTGACGAATGGCGTGACCGGTGCAAGATAGCCTGCATGCTAGCAATCTACATCGCCTGGATGGTCACCCTCGACCGTTTGGTTGCACTGGTTGCATCTGAGAAGGTTTTCCTCCTGATGTACTTGATGTGGATGTTCGTATTAATTGGAGTCGCCGTATGGGAAGTTATCAGCTTGCTGAGGAAAGGTCAGGAGCATGCAACTGGTGATCCCACAGTTCCGTCTACCGAACCAGATAAACCGGAAGAAGACGTAACATCATACTGCAGATGTTACGAGTTAACACAGCCCGCAAGCGAGAAGGTTCATGTGACCATACATGATGGATTACTTCCTTGCGACTTTTGCGAAGCAGACTGTAGTACCATGAAGTCATGTGAACTTCGCAAATTTACAATTCGGCCGAAAAAAAGGTCCGATGCTATAGTACTCAACCAGTTTGGTATGCCTCTCTTGAGCTCTCCATAATCATTTTTATTAACTCACTAGTTCCATTTTTTCGCATCAGGAATGCGCGAAGTATTCATCAAGCTATTTCCGGTTTACTTATATATCTGTACATTTCGGTGTGCAGTTTTATGTCGGCGTGCCGTCATTAACGCCCCATAGCCAAAACAGACTACTCCATAATAATAACTATTATTTTATGCTTTTCAGTTTATAGCGCCATATAAAGGCAAGATTGATTTCCTTTTGCGCATTTTTTGGGCGAATATCAATTGTGTATTGCGGTCAATGTTCGGTACACCAGCGATAATTTTCCCAACTTTAGACCGGTCCGCGTTGTCGATCCCGCTTCGGCTTCATTTAGACTGTGTGCATTACATCTCTTCGTCGACCTATCTGTAGCGCCTTCCAAAACATCTACAACGAACAAAATGTACTCTGCTTGATACCATACGCATTTGACTTACAAGAATTCACACATGAGAGAAGATAAAGGCTTTTTGACAAACCATCAGGTTATGTTCTACCGTTTTGGCGAGGTCAACTTCTGTAGCAAAAATTATTCACCTAAATACGGTACCGCTCAATAAAGATTCTTATTACATACTTCTTACTTTGTAAATCAGTTTTAAAAATGACAGTATTACTAGCAAGTAGCTGATAACTGAGCAGCTACTAGCTACCGGGTAGTATTGCTCGTAATTTTATTAAATAGCAAGCAATATCATATCAACTACTAAACTACTAAACACTTTCAGTCGTCTCCTAGGTAGTCCTAGATGACTTCAAGAACGGTTCCAGTCTGCGATCTGTCCAGCCGCCTGAACGACAGTCACAAGGAAGTCGTTGCTTTACACGTTGTCGTTGCCCTTAACAGTTCACAGTTTTCTTGGTTCGATTTTCCCTTTTCCGCTTTATTTCCAGGACGAATATCTAAAAAATCGCAAGGCTGACTGAAGTGAGTGCATTTCAGTGATTTCATAAGCTAACTGCTAATCACCAGTTCCCGAAAAATCACTGTGTTCGTTATTTTTGATTGCATTAGTTTCAGCCTGTGAAGCATCCACAGTATAAACTACTGTCAGTTCTGTGTGTTTTCGCCTCGCAATGGATCCAGCGGAGTCCAAACCCGAGATGGAAATGGAAGCATCCAGCGAGCTCCAGGGTTCTTCTGGCGTGGGAAATTGTGGCGACCGTACCCGCCAGCTGGAGCAAATGAATCCCACACCGTTAGGTACTAGAAATATCGAACTCTGTAACTCACCAGGGAGGCTGAAAAGGTTGAGCGGATCACGGATGCGGCCGGCGGCCCGAAAACCGTAAAAACATATAATCACTGATGATTGATCCCTAACCTTACGTTAAAGGTTCCAAAGACGGCGCGTATGGTTTTAGACCTTAAGTATCTGAACAAGCCGCATGTGTTTAATGACTTAAATCATATACTGTAAGTTCTGCTGCAGCATATCTCATACCGACTATATCGGTATGAGATCGCTTAGAGCCATGCCCTTGCCTGAAAATCTAAATTCTACCAGTAAATCTACCTAAGAATTTTTATTTTGAATTTTTATTTTATTAACCAAAATCGGGTTGAATCTCACAGTTTCGGTGAGGCATCCGGATTGAATTTGAAGATTCTTTTATAGCCGAAAAATCCAGCCCTTCAGCTGACCGCGGAAAGCGCAGTGGGGGCAAATTCAAAGAACGGATGAGCCGCGAGGAGGAAGATCGGCTGAAATACACGGCCGTCCATACCCGTCCCGCTGCCGTGAAAGAAAAGAAAGGTGAAAGATTTTTCTAAGTGTGAATGCTTTTTAGGGGCAAGGCGCCGCTGACATTTTTGTTACTACAGTTCATAATATCTTGTTAGTAACAGGCAACAGCTACTCTGTGGACACAGAATCACCGCAGCATCTATTAAATTATTAATAAGCGTAATTACTACAGAGACCAGTAATTTATCTTTGTTGTCATGCGTTAACGATTGCATTGCAGGATGTATGGGCGATATTGTGCGGCTGCATTCCAACTATATCGAAGTGAAAGTCAGCAACAAAGGGGTTATTTACCAGTACCAGGTAGACTTCGAGCCACTGCCCGGAAACCGTTCTCAGCGCTTCGGGATAATCAACCGATGGGCAGACACGAAGCAGCTGCAGAAGCATGCTTTCATTTTCGATGGCGGCAGTATCCTGTATGTTGGTCCGTCATCTGCAGAACGGGTTTCTGAGGTTAGCCAGTATCAGTTTGAGTATTACAGGCATTACCGAGCGTACACTTTGTACCAAAATTCACGTGAGAGTAACGAGAGTTTAAAATTTGCGGAGTAGCAGCCTGTTAAACGAAATATAATCTTTAATTAATTTATAACAACTAGGGATTTTTATGGATTAAATTATTACAGATTAAACTTTAAGTCGATAGCATTTGATGGTTTCATGGAACCTTTGAAGGGTTTTTTTCTCGGCAGGGATGCGAAGACGCCGTTGAGTTTAACCAACAGCAATTTACTGTGCGCGTGTTTCGAACGGCCAACCTGGATGCCGACAATCCACAGGTGCTGGTGATTCTCAATTCCCAATTGAACAGGTAATAAATATATAAACAATTAAAGTCGAAGTAAAATAAGAGCGGCTGGAGATTTGCACGCAACATTTTACCAAAGCTGATTCGGCGTTGTTCCTTTTGCTGAAGCATGTACTTACAATTACAGAGTACTCGCACGTTCTACTTTAGCTAGCAAAGTCGTCTAACATTGAGGATACAAGAATCGAACTTTTTGCTGATAGTAAATGTTATCCCACAGTGCCGAAGTGGGATAGTCATACCACTTTTACATGCAATGCTCTATAATTGCAATTGTATCCCTGTGGCTTATCGGCTGCCACAGTACCGCAGCAGTTCGGTGATTGAAAACGCAGATTACGAAATTCCTTACGAGTACTGAAGTCCGAGCGTATATCGGCTGTATAGCTTACGTTCACCCTTCTTGCATACTTCATTTTACAGATTTCAAGAGGACGATTTGAAGATGGTGCGGATTCAGGACAGTTGTTTCGATCCAGCCGGGAGGCTGGTGCCGCAGGGTTATGAGCAACGGTAGAACATCTCAGCATCGACGCTGTTTAGCCCGATGACCTTAGCTAACTAGTAGTCTACGGTTGTTAGGTTGGAACTTTGGCCGGGATTTGAGACATCCATTGGAATTTTTGAGCAGAACAAAGTTCTCATGAGCGTTGACCAGCGCTTCCGCATTATTCGGTACAGTGTAAGATGAGGAATACTGCTGGTGAAGTCGTTGAACAAAATTATCGTAAATTAATTCCAGAAACGAAAATGCTTGTACCGCTCTGCGTATGGCGTATGACGTTGCCAAAAGGACTAAATCTGCGGACGGCCCGGAAGCAGTCAACAAGGAAGCGGCCAAAGTAATCATTGGAGAGATGGTCGAGACTGTGTAAGCTAATGTTAACCACATAATAAATTTTTCGTAATCGGCCATTTTTATAAATATTATTGCTGGTTTTTACATTGTCTCTTACTCCAACAACGGTACGTATTTTGTTTAACTTGTTGAAAAGTACGCGTACTTCTGTGAAAATTTGGGAAGGCTGATACAAGAATTTTATGAATGCGGTACCAATTATTTCATTTGCAATTGCAGATACAACCATATGGTATACCGCGTGCAGGCAGTGGAATGGAACAAGAATCCGGGTATGACGTTCGAAGCACGTGTGCGCGTGGGCGAAAATTGGGAGATAAAGAAGATTTCGTTTGGACAATACTTTCATCAGGTAGGCACTCAAATTTATTTTTATTAGACATTTTGACGCAAGTAAGTCTGGTTACACCCAGCCACAACTGCTGCTGCAAATTTAGAGGAGAGCACATTAATTTTAAATGTGATTACACTAATAACGGAAGCGAGTGCCGACATGTGTAACGTACAGCATCTTTCTAGCGTTATAATGTGCGCATTACCGATACCCACCAACCCTTACTGGTGGTGCGACCGGCCAATCGTGCTCTGCGTCGTAAAGGGACGGAGCAAATTCTGCTGGTGCCTGAGCTGTGTCGCCTAACCGGTTACACCGACCAGATGCGCGCGGATATCAATATGATGCGGGCTGTGTCCAGACACACCAAACTCGATCCTGCACGTCGGAAGGACGCCACAGAGAAGTTCATTCGTAAGATAACCGGGTAGGTGGTCGCATTATTTTCATGTACGACGTCGTCAGCGTATAATTTGGTTTGTTGGCTGTAGAAATGATAATATTCAGAAAGAGTTAAACTACTGGGATGTGCAGTACGGAAAGGAGCTGATGAAATTCTGCGGTCGTTGTTTGCCGCCACAAAAACTGTTTCAAAGTGGGAAGGAGGTCAGTCTGTTCTTTGGAACGATGAACAGATTACTAAATTATAAAATAATGAATAAAGTGGTATTCGAATTACTTTCGACGAATGCCAAATGATTGGTACTTGCATTGGTCTTATAATCGTGTGCAGCATACGAACGTATTTAGGTAAGTCCGGGAAGTTGCTGACCAGTGAGCAGTATAGAATACACATAAGTATTGATCTGCATTTTGTAGATCGAAAATAAAAATCCCCGCCATATCCGAAATTCAGTAACCTAAATAGTCTCCGCCTTCGTATAACATTTTTTTCATAATACTGTTCATAAAACCCGAAGAAAATTTAAGAAAAATAGGAGATATCTGTAAGTGTAGCAGTGGCCGGCAGCAGCATCACAGTGTTTAAACTGCGGGCAGTGCGAGTTTTATGTTGTTTTGAATTTGTTAAAATTTATAACCGTGCTCGCAGTTTTCCTATGACGCGCTTAAAGCGGACTGGAGCCAACCGGCGCGCAGTGCGCGGTTCCAAACACCCGTGCAACTGCCTGTTTGGTTGGTGCTGACCACCCAGCAAAACGTCGCCACCACGAAGCAGTTTGTCAACATGTTAATCCAGGTGGCTGGTCCCATGGGGATGCGCATCGACAGCCCCAGAGTGTAAGGCGACTTTCTCATGTTTTAGAAAATTCAGTGGTCTCGATGTGTAAAAATCCTGATACAGTTGCTACAGTTATTCCGTTGCTGTACAGGGAAGTGGTCGGCGATTCGCCGCAAGCGTACATCGAGAAGGTCCAGCGTATGCAACGACCAGAACTGAAATTGGTGTGATTACTGTGCCGTTATTCTTTCGTGCGAAGCTTTGATAATCTGTGTATTTATAGGTTTTGGCTGTGTTTTCTTCGAATTCAAAGGATCGATACGATGCGTTCAAAGAGACGCTGTGCTGCAATTTGCCCTGTACGTTGTAATGGTGCTCGAACTGATAACTCCGTCTGTAAATACTTGCTATTGGTCTACTGAAACTTATAGGCGCATCCCAGGTGGTTTTATCCAGGACTATTAACGGAGCTCCCAACAAGCTCATGAGCGTAGCCACCAAAGTGTGCATGCAGATTAATGCCAAACTGGGCGGTGACATTTGGACCATGCGCGTAAGCTAGCGGTGTCTTGTTAATTTTGTTGGATACTTCGGCACAAGTACCACGTAGTTCTGACAATTTGTTTGACTTTCCAAGACAATCTCAGTATTACTGAAATATGGTATCTCTGCTTATCTGTCCATTTTACTGAAATATTTATGGTTATCTATTCATTTTTAACACATTTCGGAGAAAAGATAGATAAAATCATAAATACTAAAGTACTATTGGCATTAAAATTTAATTTTATTTATATCTTTGCGGGTTCATGTCTTCTGGATCTCGCGTCTGATATTTTGTGGACAGATCACATTTTCAGTAATGATTCTTTTTTTGCATTAGTTTCCATTCGATGCACCAACCATGGTGATCGGCATCGACTGCCATCGCGACCGGCTAAACCAGAAGATTCTAGTGGCGGCTGCGGCGTCAGTGAATAACACACTTTCCAAATACTACAACTGCGCCGTATATGCCGATAATGATGAGGAGGTCTTGACCTGTATCCCGTTGCTGATCAAAGGTGCAAAGATCTGTTTACGTAATGATAGCTTAAGGTGCAACGAATTCTCTTGTTACAGAGTGTATGAGCCATTTTATGGACAAGTGTGCGAAGAATCTTGCGGGTGTATTCGTTTACCGCGATGGTAAGTGGAAGTTATGTTTGACTATTTCGCTGTTAATGCTTCGTTTTTATTGCGCTGTGAACTTACTTTGGAACAGATTTGAGCGAAAGCTTTTTAAGGCTTTCAAATTAACAGCTGTATGTATCGATAATAACTTAATCTTGATGGAAAACTTGAATATTTTCTAATATCACCGATACGTGACGGTTTTAGGCATCTCCGAAGGTCAGCTAAGAAATATCAAGGAAATTGAATTAGCCGCTGTGCGCAACATCACCGACGGTCTGTCGACGGATAGAAAGTTAGTATTTTTCTGCTACTTTTTTAGAAAACTCTCGGCATTGTGTCTTTTATCGTAGAATCAGGCTGACGTACATTCTGGTCAACAAACGCGAGAGCACGCGGTTCTTTAAGGACAATAACGGCGGCATCTACAATCCACTGCCCGGTACGGTCGTGGATGACGTGGTCACTCGGCCGTTTCGGTAAGATCAGCTGGTACTATTTTTCCTTTCGCGCATCTTTCATTAACGCGCAAATCAAGCGCTTATTGCACATCGGTTTTGCTACCCTGTATGTACAGTACATAATTCTGTCTCTGTACAGAAATGTTACAGCCTGTAAGTGTTGGCATTTTGTTGCAGTTACGATTTCTACATCGTTTCGCAAACGGTCCGCGAAGGCACCGTAGCGCCAACATATTATAACGTCATCGATGATGACTCGGGCATGCAACCGGCACATTTGCAGCAGATGACGTACATGCTGTGCCACATGTACTTTAACTGGCCGGTAAGTAAACACACTGAATGATCATTCCTGGTTGGAAAGTTATTCTCCTTTACTACTTTAGAGGCCAGCCAGGTCGTCAGAATTCTGACTGTATAAGGTCATTTCGGCTTGTTTGATTTGTTAATTCCTTCAAGATCGGAGCAAAAACTTGTTTTAAAATCATGTACCATTTGGGAAGGCCTTTATCAAAATGTAAAGTTCTCAGTTATTTAAACCTCGACGTATCTCCGCGTCATCTGTGTTGCAGGGAACCATTCGTGTGCCGGCTCCGGTACAATATGCGCGCAAGCACGCCCAACTGGTTGCGCTGAACCTTCATAAAAACGCTTCCGACCAGCTGCGTGAACAGATGTTCTATCTGTAATCGTTGTCATATAAGCTTCCATGTAAGCTGGTTGTTCTTGTTGAACGTTTTTTTGTTTTGCAACTTTCTGACTCTTGGAAGTCTTCAACAACGCTTTTGCGTAATACAATACTATGTATGTTATGTCGTCTTATTTTTTTACGGATTACAAGCATATCTTATGTATTTATATTTTGGAATGCCATTTTCGTAAAAGGTGTCGTTACTTTTTTTTAAGAAACTGTGTGTTGGCCGTTTTTGAGCATTCATCAAAGAGGTCGAAATCGGTAGAACCTCTATTAAACGATGACCACTGTAACGCAGTCATTTCTATGAGTTCCATTGCCGCTCATAGCCAGTGTATTGTATGTAAATTATTTATCTTTAGATAATTTTAGGAAATACACATACACGATAGATAGTACAATGGCTGCCTGTGATAAGGTAATTGTGAAACGTAGGTACAATCGGCGGTGTTATCGAGATATCTCGTCACATCTAACGGCAAATTGACGACTGTCTGCTATCTCGTTCTTTGTTAAAAATGCATACAACTGCAATACAATAAGCGTGAACGAAAGCATGACAACATCTGAAATGCTGTTGAAGTTTTACACAGCCTGAACAGGCAGATAAATTAAAACCATCGAAACCGCACTGCGCGTACTGGTAAACCATAATTTAATACCGTCTTTTCCGTTTTGTACATATTTTTCACTTCAGAATCAAAATGGGTTTACTCGGCGAAGTATCGTCCACTTCTATTGCCGGAGGTCTGGTCTCCGTTGATTTCGTTCCCGTTTGCACGAAAGCAGGCGGTATTTTGTCAGAGGCTGAGTTCGAATGCTTTCCGGTAATCTTACAACGGGCCAACGAATGGCTGAGCAAGAATCCCACACTGGAGTTGAAGACATGTGAGACGGTGGAATTCTCTACACAGTCCAGTGGTGCACTGGTGAACAACACGGAATCCGTCTATACCCTGTCCGGCGAAGGAGCTAATCGATATGTGCGAGCGTTGCGACTTTGGCTGCAACCACGTAATGTCCAAGCATCTTCGATTTATATTAAACTTTGATCATATAATTTTGCAAAAACTGTATTAACATATAATTAAAGCTACATAGTTTTAATGCGAAATACCATACAGTTACATACATGGATTTTTCTTAAGGTTTTAAACTGTAATTTTTGTACATAGCAGATATCGATAAAGAGTAGAAGAACGATAGAACGGTACTTACAGTATAATATAAGGCTGGCTTAATAACTTTGCTATATAGATATGTGTTATGTACATTGTACATAGTAGCGATGAGTCGAGTACATGACCGAGAAAGATGGACTTAATGGCGGCTTTAAGCCTGAGTACAACGCGGAATACGTAATTCAGTTTTTGCTTTGAAATAAGCCTGTGCAGTAAATAGATAATAAAAATACTGCATCGCAAACATACAGTATTTTTGCATAACTTGCATGATTGCTTGGTGTAATGATAGGAGCCGACGGTTCGTCCGCTGTCCAGCAGATCGGCTACTACAACATCATGCCCACAATCCAAATGGGTCGTGACGTCGACATCAACACCACCGAACGTCTGGACACCCTCATCGACCAGTCCAATGCCACCTTCGCCACCACGCCCATCCAGGGCAGTATCCTGACCATCGAGACCATCGCGCTGCGCGTCAGCCGCACCAAGGGCGTCGACCCCGACTGCACCGCATGGACGGAGCGCGGTGCCAAGAAAGAGAGCTTCATCTATATGTTGCGTCTCTTTTTCGAAACCGGTCCACCCCAGTACGAATCCATTGGGATCGCGGACTTCGTTCCGGGCGTGCTGAGTGAAGGCCGTCGCTCGGAACGGCCGCTACTGCAGCGGTTTCCCCATGTGCTGTCCAAAGCCCATCAGTGGCTGCTGACACAGTCGTCCGCCATGCGAGCGGTTAATGTGCAGACGTTGCTGTACAAACAGCGCTGGACATCGCACATGGACACGTTGCGCATGACGTACACGGAAGACGAGATGCAGTCGTATTATGTCAGGTATCTCCGGGTGGCCTATGTGATTGCGAATCCAAATGCGCCGCCGCGCCACGGTGGACCGATGAAGTTGAACTGTAAACTGTTCACACCGGGAATGCTGGAGCCGCCCAAGTGCTGCAACACGGCCGGCAAATTCGAAAACCAACTTCAGGTACACGTGCATAACAATTTACAGTTAATCAGAAATAAATATCGAGAGAGAAGCCAATGTATCTGTATTACATTTGAAATCACGCGTATAAACAGCATGTTCCCGATACACAATATTATTACTAACATAACACACTTTGTATTTTGCACCGTATATATTGTGTAGCAGTTTCCAGTAGGAGGAAGTGACGATTTGTGCAGTAGTGATACTCTAATAATTACATAACATGAGGTTTGATGATTTTTAAGAAAAGCGCACACAACTGATTAGTGCATTATAATATTATAAAACTTATATTTTCCCCCACGAAAGTACTTACTTTTTTGCAGAAAGAAGTACAGTATCTTTTGTGCAGTATTACTACGAGAAGTGATATCACTTCTCGTAGTCTTCTCTGCTTCTCATGACATGGTAGCATCGATGCTACAATGTCATGAGAAGCACAGAAGACTTTCATCTTGGATACTCGTACAGAATAACCAATTTACAACAGTAGTTGGGATAACCGTAACGTATACATTTCAGTAAATTCACTATTATAATGCGTACGTAGTAATTATTATTATTTTTCCGTTGCATGTTGCATCATTAAGTTTTCTATATCTACACCGGAAGTTAATTTGTGGCATTAGCGAGAAAGGCTCCATTCTGAATACTGAATACAGAGCAAACATAATATTTGTCTCAGTATTCTGGGGTAACGAATAACGCGCACAGTTAGTTTATAATGCATTTGTGTACCCTATTTAAGAAACTAAAATTACTGAATTAGTGCAAAATGTGTGCGACAGGTGCGGGAACGAATGTCCGGATGGACGCGAGCCACCGCCGCTAACGTGATCTCGGTGGAGACGATTCCCATGCGTGTATTCAGCGGCGCCGAGAGTTCCGAAGGATTCGACACGATGCATACGTGGAATAAGATCGACACGCATTCCCAATCGCATTACAACGATGACGGCGAGGGTAACAGTGCTGTTTCCGGCATGATGGCCTCGAGTACCGGCATCCATACACACACCGTGGAATCCAAAGGGACGGAAAATTATTTGACACTTTACCGGGTGTACTTGGACGGTGTGTATGTGGACCCACCCGGGTATGCTGAAGTTGGTACCAGTGTGGAAACATACATGCGGCAACCGTACAGTGAATGCAATATTTTATAAAATTATTGTACATCGTCGAATCATACAAATTTCGAATTGTGTGTGAAGATAATCTTTTCTTTAGCTGATCGCTACACTGTGATGTATGATAAACGTATCGTAAATTTTCGACTTCCGGAACGAATAAAAAAATATCTAATATTCTTTGAGAATACCTATTATTCTGCAGTGCTTTTTTTGTGAACTAACTATATGAGAACACAAGAAAGCCTATACGTAACAGCAAATTAACAAAACAACTAACAAAACACTTGATATTGTATTGCAAAATAATACTTAATTAAAATCTAAGTAACGATAGAAAAAACACCGTCCATGTTAAAATTTTTGGTAAAAGATACGATAAACGAGGATATTGCCGCACTTTTGTGTTATTTACGAAAGGCATGCGCGCCGACATAATTAACCATTTGACCGGAAAGTCCTTGAGCGACCGTGCCACTTTGTGCCTGTGTGATCTTGTTGCCGCTGGAATCTAGCAGCGTCTTGGCGGAATTGCTCGTGGACAGTTTGCCGTCATCCATGTACGCATCGGATGATGCGCTCGATCCCAGTTGAAAACCGGACTGGAGAGATTTCACCGGATAGTACCATGGCTCTTTATTGGGAAACGGATAATTAACGTAGTACAGCCGGGTAGTGGGGTCACTCCCGGGAACAGCACCGAAAAACCCTACAACGAAATCATAATGAAGCCGACACACACAATTGATACAACTACAAAGATGCACAAAAATGTACTGTATTTGCTTTTATATAGATACTTCTATAGCAATGCAGACATTCCTAGCTCGTATTTCAAGCAATGGCTGTACAGAGTATACTTGAAGTACTTGTATGCATGTTTTCTACAGTTAACCATTCAAGCGCTACAAAAGATTTCTTTCACTGGTGAAAATATGTGTTCATCTGTTATTTACGTAAACGGTGCTAACGCCAAAAGTAAAACCCAGAAAATGCATCTAATAATTATTTTACAAAATCGTCATATATACGTAATATTGTCTTATGATACACTACGCGGTATCTGCTTACATGCCGGCATCGTGGTGGCACAAGATGCTCCAACGGCAAGCACAACAACGACAGACAAACTATACAACATTCCCAATAAATAAGTTATGTTCTGTGCAAACAAATGGCAAATCTTATAACGAAACAAAATTGTAGTTTTGGGCTAAATTAAAAGGCTGATGGAAGGAATCATGAAGTGATCAAAGACAAATCTTATAATGAAACAAAATTGTAGTTTTGGGCTAAATCAAACGGCTGATGGATGGAATCATGAAGTGATCAAAGACAACTGACAAAGCCCTGTCAAAGCTGCTATGAATTTTATATTTTTCATGCATTTCCTTGATAAGTTTTTTTTATTTTCTTGACACGGTTATCTGAATGAGCGTGCTGATTATTGTTCGCATGATACAGCTTAGGACAAAATGGTCGCATACCCAACATCTCCACATTGAGTACGAATGCAGCGCAGTGCACTGTACGACTGAGTTCAAAATATCCGTTTCGTACAAGTGCACTGCACCGCTTGCGTACAGAATGGTGGGTATGGGGCTATGCGACCATTTAGTCCTACATTGTATGCTACGTTAAGATTGTTATTGCACCAAATATAAACACTTGATGAATGTAATTCACACATCGATGCTGCTGTAGTGCTGTATATAACTTTGCAGCACAGATCCGAATGAAAAGCATTGTCAATCGGTTTAGCAGCGGCAATAAACTACGAGTACTACTGTCGTAGAAAAATGAGTCAAATCAGTACTTTGCATATCTGTATATTTTCTGTTAGCATCTTCTAACTTGCAAGTCAGCATCACAATTTGTATGCGCACTTGATACCGGAAATAAGCGAGTTGACGCATCCATTTTCAGGAAACGAAACTTATTTACGAGCTACAAAGTAGAATAGTAAAATAAGCTATTTGGGTATATAAATGGGAGGGCTCTTGTACAGTATGACATAGTTTTCATGTTAAAATCTGTTAGTTTTATAGCAGTTGTTCGGAAAAAAATTGTTTGACTCAGAAACAGCAGGAAGCAACAACAAAAAAAAGTACCAATTCGTCAAGCAGCTTCAGTATAACCATAAAAAAATACTAAGAGTAAACACTATCGGGTTTTCAGGATCTATAAAAGCAGATTTACACCACGGATTTGAGATAATCTTTAATTTCTGTCGTCGATAACAAGCGGAATCCATCCTTGGCGGTGGCGATTCCCACTTCAATGTTGTTTTCATTCATCTGACCATCGAAGCTTTCCTTCAGGGTGAGTAAAGCGGTATGAACAGCATCCTCGATGACCATGTCATCGGAAAATCTATAATCATCACCATAATTCAGCGGTAATCACGATTTTTGTTGAGCGGAATAGGTGATCACAAAAAATTCCTCGAACAAACCTTTTCTCAAGAAACGTTTTGGCGTTGATGTAGTTCTTTCCCATTGCCGTCGCTTTCCACGCAAAATATGATCCTGACGGATCAACTTGGAACAGATAGGGGCGATTGTTGTCCCAGGAAGCGATTAACAGCGATACTCCGAACGGTCTGACACCACTGAAAAAAATAGCATATTTTAAAGTAAATTGGTAATACTGCTCTAATGGCATATTTTAAAATAATTTGTTAATGGATCTATAATATTTTCCTATTTTATTATTTTATTTTCTCTTCAAAGAAAACATGGTAGGATTAAAGCTGTAAATGGACTTCATGTAACAACTAACAAATAATGATAAACCAATAATCTATTAATAAATAATCTATAATTTTGATAGATAATTTGTAATTAATAAAAATAATGATTCCGTTACGCCGTAACGGAATCAACACCACCTCATCCACAATAACATTTCTTGAATTCAAACCAACAGAAATTAAAAAATTTTCCGCAGTAAGGTGAATTCAAAAACACCTGCACTCACCCAGACTGAGTGTACTCCTGCATAACCGCCGCGACACGCTGTACCAGCTGCACAATGGGAGCGTTCTCCTGATACATCATCTTATACTCCTGTGCGATTTTGCGGGCTTTCTTCACCAGGAGCCTACAGCAAAATACCCTGTAAAGCCCACGCTACAGATTCCAGACGGCAGACGACAGGAACGCATACCGGAAATCTGGACCCATACCAGAATAAACCATCCCGATGTTTTTGGTGATCGCCTCCACTTTCACAACTGTTTCCTCCTCGAACAACTGATTCTTCTGTTTCTTCTCCGTGGCCACCACAACGCCATCAGCAGCTGGTAGGATAAAACAGTTAATTCTTTACCACTCAAGTTTTACAGTCACAAGCAAATGTGCAGTATGCTCGAACCTCGGATGCCCACGGTAGGTGCTCCAGCGGCCACAGCTGCCAAGGCATACTCAATTTGCACCAGCTTTCCCGAGGGACTGAATGTGGTCAGGGAGAAGCTGTACTGGCCTCCTTCCGCCATTACGAGACTTTTACTAACTTGATGAATAAAGAAGACTTCTCAAATGTACCAGAACATTACAGTGCACAAAAAAGCGACAAAATTCTAAAATGTTTTGGTCTGTGTCACTCTGTCACTCTGGTTTAAAGCCGTGATCCTGACTGTATGAGTTAGCAGTTTCCAGTACGCACTTCTATCGTTGCTGCAGTCCCGAGTAGTAAGGAAATTTCACAGCAGCGTCATCTGCTTGGCCACCCAGAGGCGTCGGTTAGCAAAAGCCAAAATGTTGTTCCGTCTTCTCCGTTCGCACTTTGCGGATGAAAACAGAAACAGCCAAACCGGAAACTGAAAATCACAAAAATTAATTATTTTTATACTTATAATGACGCAATTGCGAAAACAAGCTGCCAGCCGTGCCGAATTGAAGCGAGTGCAATAATATTGTGCAGAAGTGGCGTCTTATTTGATTTTATTCGTGATTTTACATCGACACAGGCTGTTTTAACGTAAATCTGAAAATTCATAACTTTGCATTTTTTGTATAGTCTTGAAAAATGCAGAATAATACACAGTATTAGGCAAAACAAATTTTTTCTTGTTTTTCTTTCAGGGTTATGCACTGTTAGCCTGTACGGCTACCATAGCCGCCTATGGGGGATTTGTCATAGGCGGCTATGTTAACCGCAGGGGCTCCTAGTGCGTTACCCTGAAGAGGAAACAGAGAAGCATTTATTTTGTCTAATGCTGTGTATTATTCTGCATTTTTCAAGACTATACATAAAAATTTAATGCAGGAATGAACAAAGTTATGAATTTTCGAAGATTTACGTTAAAACAGCCTGTGGCATGGGCCCCCGCACGCGTGCTTCTGTTACGTTGTCACTTAACAACTGGAGGGTCCACAGATGGTGCAATGGCTGTAAAATCACGAATAAAATCAAATAAGACGCCACTTCTGCACAATATTATTGTGCACTCTTGAAGCTGCCTGGCGAAAATCTTTCGATTGGTCGGTTTATTTCATTTCTAATTAAACCGACCAATCAAAAGACTTTCGCCAGGCAGCTTCAATTCGGCACGGCTGGCAGCTTGTTTTCGCACATAGTCCAATACTTATATTTGGAAGACAGCCTTAGACAGGAAAGACATCTTTGTAGGTTTCCTGATAAATAAAAGTGAACACATTTTTCCCTCGATGTAAATCTGTGAACGTGCAGCATCCGTTAACAGCAATCTGACAAATCTGCATTTTGCAATAATGAGACCAACGTATCACTGCGATTTGAATCTGCAGTATGTCGATGCGGAGCAAGCAGACATCCTTTTAAACCATGTGGCATCTCTGGGATACAGTGCCGCTGCTCTTACTTATGACGCCTCATCCGAAGATTTTACCCTACCGAAATGTAAAATCGAGCGTAAAGCTCGTCAGTCCGAGAAAGTGCGGAATCCCATTGAACTCCTGCCCAAGTCGCTGGAGATCAAAACCGTGGATGGAACTCCTCTGCATATCTTCCGACGCTTAAATGTTCCCATAGAGGTACCGTAAATTCATAAGTATGTAATCTCCATCGTTGCACAACGTTCGGGGGCTCCGGTTTATGATTTTTGCAGTTGTGAAGAAAATACTTTAACTTGATAAATCAGTAAAATCACGAAGTTCGCCTTAGCTGTGGGAAAGTGGAAACTGTAGTGTACTTACTGCAGTACTCTAACACTGTGAAGGAATCACAGTTTTTACATAGAATTAAAATTCTAGAAAAGCGGTGTAAGTCGTTGATTATTAAATATAATGTATAAACTTTATTTTTTATAAAATAATGAATTGTTATTTTGAAATTACTAGTTACTAGTCTTGATAAAAGGCGGAGTGTACTTTGGAAGGAATCTTGATAATATTATAATATTATTATTATGCAAAAATCAAGGCTGAGTGAATTACATGCAGAATTAAAATTATGAAAATTTGTATTATGTAGAATTAAAATTATTTAAAACTATAGAATAGTAAATTATTATTTATTAACAAGTCGGCAATATTATTAACCATAATCTAAATTGGTAGGATCCTCGGCGATTTTTCGATTTGGCCCACCATGCCTTGTGCAAAACCTTCGACATCCTCTCCATTTCCACATCCGAGGAGAGGTATCTCCAACAGGCACTCGACGATCCCCACGTGGACATTATCGAATTGAATCTGGACATGAAGCGACCGGTCCCCGTCAACCGCAAACATGCACGCCAAGCCCAGGTTAATCTGAAGTCGTTTGAGATCTCTTACGGACCGGTTCTGACGAATCCGGATGATCGCTGCCGTTTTATGGGCAACTGTCAGCGATTGGTAAATAATCTGCAGCCCGGCGATCGAGGGAAGCTTCCCGAAGTGGTTATGTTGTCGAGTGGTACGGAGCGACCGGATGTGCTACGAAAACCGTCCGATGCTGTCTGTTTACCTGAGTTATTCGGAATTCCTGAAAAGTATGGTGTTCTGATGAATAAAGATACGGCCTGGCAAGCGCTGAATAATGCACTGTCGCGACGGAGGACGGCGAAAGGCTGTGTACAGATTGTTAGTTTTTAATATGTGTTAACATCGTTTTCCGATTTTGTAAAATTTTATGTTACGAATGGTGATGATCGATTTGTGCCACTTTTTTATTTCTGTTTCCTGATCTGTATCATGTTCGTTGGCATGTGATACAGTGATAGTACAAAACATTCTTAAAAATATCATAAAAATTATGTACTGTAGATAATGTCACCATAATGGTAAATTTAAGCATAAATGAAATGAACAAAATGTTAATTGATTTGGTAAGCCAATCTCCACTTGAAATCTGATAAAAATGTCGCCACGAAAACACAACGAACAATCAGTACTGTATAATTTTGAATTTAATGGATGTATGTAAATAAGAGACAGGATGGGGAAACAGATAAACTGATTGGGTGACAGATATAAAAATAATACGTGTAAAGAAGTACGATACTAATGGTAAAACGCGTGATGAAGAGAAAACAAAATACTGATTTACAGCCCTGCCAAGCCAAGTTGGGGCAGTTTTTCCTAAAATTTACCGTGGGTCACCCGTTAGCAAAAACATATTGAATAGTTTTTAAAAAGTATGACTGTATATGTCCAACATCTTCTGCACTCATGATTTCCGAACCGGAAGCTTGCTTCGAATTATAGTGAGATAAAATCTGCAACAGGGTAGCTAAAAAAAGTGGCTCAACCCAGTTGCTTTAAAACCAATCCTCACACTTAAACTTCGCTCTTCGGTGTGGTTGGTTCCAGAACCCCAAGATTATAGCTTTGAATAGTTTGGCAGTGAATGCTCTTATGGATTATGCTATGAGGGAGTCGATTCCTACCAAGCCTGTGTGACCTTTGCAGGATGACTGCGGACACTGTGTAAATAAGCGATGACCTTCTTTGCATGCTTGCCGTAAGGTTACGGGAAATCGTATGTAACTGGTAAAATCTGATAAAATCTGGTTGGCGGAGTATTGATTGAGAATCTAAACGTTTTCGCACACAGAATTTGCGTGGTTCATTTTGTTTCAAGAACTTCGAAGAGCAGCCACAACTTTTTTTCGTCATCGCTTTATTGATTTTTTGTTCGTATCTGGCCGCACTTGCAACTTCCGACCAATGTCCTGGACATCGGCCGGAATGCTAGGATCATCTGATGTGACCTATGTCTCATCCATGAAAAATATGAATTTAAAGCAGCCTTGATCTATGCGCTAGGCAACCTCATTCTTCGGGAGGTACTGTACTCTTTAACATAGAAGTCTATGGGAGATGAACCTTCTTCCGAGGTCAACTCAAGCACCAATTGCGTAGGATTATTTTGCTTACTTGCAACATATACCTTGTGGGTCACTTAATGGTTTCCAGAAAAGCCCAAGAAAAAATATTGATTGGTGAATTTTTCATGAGGTCAGTTATAAGCACACCAAAACTGACTGTTGCCCACTCCCCTTAATTCCCGCTTGGCTGCTCACAAAAATATCAAAACCTTTCGATTTTAGTATTTTTGAATCCGCAATAAAAAGTTACACTAGGAAAGTTTAAAAAGGAAGAGCAGATGGCATACAAGAATAATTTTCTCATTAATTTATGCAACTGTCCCAACTTGGCTTGGCAGGGCTGTATTTTGGTATCATTTCTCCGCTTGAAAGCTGGTAAAAACGCCCGTAATGTAGGGAAGAAAATAAACCTAGCAATCTTTATTAACTTTAAAACAGTAGCCGTAAATACAAGACACCGAAAAGAATACAAGCTGATAGGCAGACAGCCTCAAAGAAACATCAAAACTCCACGAACCTGCCTATCTATCGGTAACACCTTCAAAGCACAATCCCATACATTCTCCCATAATATTTCCCCCCAAAAAGTTCTCCCGCCACATCCGCTAAATAACCCTCTCAATTTGCGACCTACCTATCCCCGCCAAAACAAAACACTAATTTCTAACATTCCCACAAAAGAAAGAAAAAACACGTTTAACAAAAAAGCCACCACATGCGCCGTCCCGGAATGCTCCCCGCGACATCCCTCCTCACCAGCGTCGTCGTCCTCCACCTCCGCGCGGCGGACTCCGGCCGCGACTACGTCGGCCCATACCCCCACCGCCGCCGCGGTACCGGGGCGGTGAACGACTCCGCGGGCGTCGATATGGTGAGGAGCGCCGTGGCGACGGCCGGCGTCGCATCGGACCACCGCCGCCGCCCGCACTGCGCGCCCCGCGGAAATCCCGCTCCCGGCTGCGTGGTGATCGGTCCCGTCGGCCCAGCGGCGGGGGACTGTCGCGGCGCGGCAGACGGCGGTCTGGTGATTCGCGTGATCGTTCCTATTTAAAACGGGGCACATAAATCGAAGTTAGGAAAAACAACTGCCTAACAGGTTAAACTTACAGGAGCTTTCGGCCGGAAATCGTCAAACTGACGCGGTCGACGTTCCTCGAAAATCCCTAACCGACGCTTTTCTTCTCTGGCGCTGATCTGCACAAAACAGTTAACAGCGTTAAATCGCATACGATCGGAAGCGGTTTAATTCAAAACCAACGCCGAAGAATTACTCCTTAAATTTTTTTCACATATTTATATTTTTGCTTACTTCTGCATCAGTCAATCGTTTCCAGTAGAGTTGCGGCTTCGTTTCAGTCCGTTCAAACAATAACTCAAGGCGGTTTTTTTCTTGTGCTACAAACGAAAAAAAGGATCAAAATCTGTTTGTTCTTCGAAGCACAATAACAGACTTTAAATTATTCTAGAAATCTTCACAACAACAAAAACTTCAAGTTTTTTTCAGCAGTTATAATTCAATTTACATATTCAAAGCCGGTCGTCATTTTCAAGCTATTAGGAGATGCAAATACTGTACTTTAAATTACTTTATCACAGAAAGCAGTACCGCATAAGGTGCTATAATAAAGCCACGAACATTTATTTTCAGTTTTTATGTACCAAAAACAATCAAACGTATTTACAAAATCACTCATTTTAAACCACAAAAATTACGTACATCACCCAATTAAATAATAAACCCGGCCGGGTCTGTTCACGATGGCAATATGTCAAGCACTTACGAGATTTCGGTCGTTCTTCTGGTTTACTAGGCTCTTTCTTGGCCTCAGCTTCCTTTTCCTTCCCCCGATCCCATTCCCGCTCCTTCACTGCTTCGCCCTTCTCCAACCCGGTTTCCTCCTTCGAACTCACAGTATTACGGAGCGGCGGCGGCAGCTGCGTCTCTTCTTTGGTCTGAACATGAGTATCGGACTCCTTCTCCTTGTCGCGTTCCGCGCGCTCCTTCCCCCGCCGGTCAGCAGCACCACGCCGCTCCAGATCGCGCAGCAGCGCCACATCCCTATGCGTCTCCCCCGTGTCCTTGTTGCTGGCCAGGATGATTTTGACGTTCTCTAAGGCTTTCGTGTCCAGCGAACGGTTGTCGTGGAGACGGGGAGTGGTCAGGGAGCGGCGGGCGTCCAGCGCGGTCGGAGTGCTGGTGGGGGTTGAGGGGGCGGTGGTTTTCTCCTTGAACTGCAAACAATTCATATGAATTTTATTAAATGTTAAATCTCGCAATCGAAACTGCAAAAAAAGATGGGTTTTAACGTAATTCCCATAAAAATTAAATCACCAAAAATCAAAAATACCAGCCAGGTACACCAACTGCTATAATCTGCAAATTCTAAAAAAATAGACGTGATATTTGAGAAGCGTATTTACAGTTTACATACAGTAACTCGAGCCATATTCGAAATGCTATGACGGATACAAAACTGGTGGTGGTTTGACACAGTCATTACACTACGATGCATCTCCGCATTACAGTAGTATGCAAATCAAACCGACTTACGCCGATCAAACTTGCTGTCTTTTTCCGATTTCGAACCAGCGAGGCGGGATTTTTATAATTATCATTTTAGGCAATCGAAGACAACACCGTACTTTTTTCAAAACCTTCTCTGTCGTTTATAACAAAAATAATTTTAGAGTGCGACAGGCAAGCCAATCCACAAAACGGATTATTCTCAAAATTTAATTACCTCATCTTCCTTGATAAAATCCACAGTTAGTTCCTTCGTACTAGAAGAGGGCCATTTAATACCATACAATGCTTTCCTCGTTGCAGTGGCTTCCTCTTCCGTCGTATACTGCAATAAGGTCAACATATCAAATATCCATATCATTAATAATTCAATGCATTTCCGCGTTAAATCGTCATCACAGACTTCTCGAAACAGCTAATGCATTCCGTAATAATTCTATGAAGCACAGTCTGCTCAAATGCCATTGCGCAACTTACACAGGCTATACACTGGGATTTAATGGTATCAGTCCAGAAATGATCCGCATCATCGATGATGGTTCCGGTTTTCTTCAGTAACTCTTTTAGCGCCAGCACCGTATACGGCCGAACCAAATTTCTAATGTGCACCATCCGTGTTGGTCCGGTTTTCGATGGTGGCGGGCTGGAGCGCCCTTCCGACTGCTCCGGCACAATGGCACTTTTATTCTCATCGCTAACTGCAATATACACAGCCCCGTAGTAACACGATAACAATACCCGGTTTAACGATTAAAAAAAACACCTAAAATCAGGTGCTCCACAAAACCTCCAAATCTGCAATAACCATTATCACTTACCAGTGCCAAGGCCAGAACGCGCCATTTTTCTCGGAGGTTCCTTGATTTCACGATTTTCATCGGCGCCACGTTCCGATATCTTCTCACTCAACGAGGGCTTAATGGAAATTGAGTCAGATCGGCCGGTCGGAGCAGTGATCGACTGACGACGCTTCCGGTTGGTCGGTGTTTCCGGCTGAGCAGGCTTGACGACGGTAGTACTAGTATCTTTCATGATCACACTACATAGAAATAAAAAATCACATCAGAAGAACCATTCCAAATCAGAAAATAAAACTTTCATTTCGAATTCCTGCTTCTGACTTTTCAGGCCAACTAACAAAAGTTCTGCGCTGCAGGAAAGCTTTTGAAACTTACTCATCGTCTGCCTCGAGATCGCCATAATCCAGTTTCTCCTCTTCGATACTTATGGACTCCTGTATAATACAGTCCCATTAAAAACATATCTAACTTCGAAACAAGAATTCTTTACGGTAAAAATCCATTTTTACTCACGGTTAATTTTCGACCAACTGGAGAACTCTTCGGTTCCACATTCTCCACCGCAGAGACTTTCTCCTTGGGCTTCTCTTCCGCATCCCGCACCACGGTTTCAGTGACAACCGGTGGCGCGCTCTCCACCTTCTCCTCCTTCTTTTCCGCCTCTTTAAGCACCGGAACCGCGCTGCTGACACTTTCCGGACGCTTCTTTTTCTCGAACACCTTCCTTCCCGCTCCCGCCGCGACGGCCACTTTCTCCTCAACAGGCGCGACAGCCACCTTGTCTTCCACCGCCACAGCCGGCGCTTTCTCTTCCACCGTCTCCTTAGGCCCCGACTTCACCGTCGCTTCAGCAGCAGCTTGATTCAGCGGCACAGAAGCAGCAGCAGCAACCGACGGCACCTCTGGTGGAACATGATCGTGCACGACAACTGTATCAGGCACCTTGACGTCATGACGCGCATCAGCCGCAGCCTTACTTACCCTTAACGGATCGCTACCAATCAAACCACCCTGATCATCAACTGAGCTACTAACCGACGCTGAAGTACCCGAAGAACCTGCGAGAACAGCACGATCCGGCGACGCATGGCTGACGACGGTCGGCACCTCGGGACTAAGCTCTTTGGGCACGACAGCAGCAGCACTGCGCAGCGCCGGGGGTGAGGCCAGTTCAGGGGTGGGAGAACGCAGGGCGGCCATTTTGGGGGCGCCACCGTTCTCGCGTTCCTCCACGCCAGGGGACGCCGTCTCCGTGCGGCTGGGAGTGGTGCGGGACTGCTGGCGGGTCTTGCGTCCCGTGGGGGTGGGCGAGGTGATGGGGCGCTCGGGAGTGTGCTCCTCAGGGGTGGGCGCAGGGATCCGGGGGGACTCCACGCTCTGGACTGGCATTGCGGTGTTCTCCGTGTCTTCCGTGGTCGACTGAAGCTCCTCGGGTTTGTGTTCACCTACAATCGAATTTCATAGTTTCTTTTTACGAAATCATTTTATCGTGACATGTGAAGACTGGTTTTCAAGAAATATTATGGCAAATAAAGCTCGGATGATGATAGTCAAGAAATCCACACTTTCCAGGAAAATCAACAATTCGATTCAAAACTATGCTATCCTCGTTTAAAAACTACATTTTCATTCGAATCATAAAATTTCCACAAGTAATCATAAGGCTGCTAAATTCTATGAACAATAAACAGTGGTTCTATTCTAGATCTACTCATGGGTTCTCCGCGGCTTACCAGCTTGAACTTTCCGTTTGCGATCCAGTGCAGCAGCTAGCGAGGCATCTCGATCAGCCAGGTACTGTGCCACGATATCAACCTATGGATTATTATGGACTGTCAACAAATTTATAGCACGCAAATTTCGAAAGCACTGCTTCCGCGTTTCACGATCAATGAGTGAAGCGGGTAACTGATTCTTATCACGCCGCGACAAAAATAAGTATTAAAATTTAAAAAACCTGAAGACTGAAAATGGAATAGCAACTAGAGGCTGGTGATGTCACTGTAACTCTGTGACAGCCCATCAAGGTCGATTACTGCGCGGCACGTGTGTGAAAACTGTGATGGAAAATCAATAATTTCACATTTCATTAATGAGGTGTCTTCGTGCGACTAGCTATTAAACAAATTAAAATATAATAAGTCTTTTCGACAAAAACTGAAATTTCAAATTTTTACAGTTTTTCTTTTGGAAATTGTGAATCGCTCACTCATTATCGCTGACAGGAAACGCGTGGACGATTTTTACAAGGTGACTGCACGCGTCATCCGTTCAAAACAGCTCCAGCTCGCATGCTTTATTGCTCTCACACTGGCAGTAAGTAAAATTTGCAAATTAAAAATTTTCACTGCTCATATTAATTTTGATCTTCATATTTAGCAGGTGCCAGGCTCCCATAATTAATTATTCAGGTTGTTATAATTTTTATGATTCAAAATATTTGTCTGTTTTCAGTGCCTTCGTAAAACATTATATTTCGAACATATGAAGGATAATAAGGTAAGTAATTCCGTAATTCCTTTAAAAATTCTATGCGATATTGTTAACGTCGATGATGGTATGCATACGGCCGAACAATGCAATAAAATATAAAATCTATAGCGATTATACAAAGCGTTTGCATCCATTTCGTAGTTGCAATTTGGAAACTATTAAACACCGGTGGTCCAGAAGACTCATGACTAATGATAATTCCGAAAATAAACTAATTAAAAGTACTAATAACATAATAAGCAACTAAATACATTGAAATTATAAAGACAAAATCATGATAAAATACAGTATTAATCTCGCGAGAAAAACTGTGACGACCCGCAAATGAATTAACTAAACTTTACTACAAAATGTATTGCAAAAATCAAAATAAAAAAAATCAACACAAGTGCAAGTAACCAGTTACATTTACATACAATACGTACATCATGAATTCAACAAAGTGAATGATGGTAATTGTGCGTGTTCTTTCTTCATTTCAATACCAACAAGAAAAGAAATCAACTCGCATAGAAGTACACCTAGCAAAGAAATTAAGCAGCAACAAAAGAAAAGTCAAAAGAACGGAAAAAGGGATTTATGATAGTCGTTACTGCTGCATTAATCAGCACTATACTGCAGTTTCGTTGAAATTTTGTCAACGCCTCGTACAATGCTGCACATACCCTAATAAAACTTATTAATTTATCAAACAACTGTCTTTATGTTTGTTTTAACCTGCGCACATTTAGCTGAAAGTGAAAACACCAAGAAAAAACACAAATTCGTAATAACATTTTATCATTTTTGATTTTCATAATAAATTTTATGTACAGAAATTCAAGGCAAATGCGTCAAAGCTCAGTTATATTTTCCCTGTTCATTCTGGCGGGAAACTATAGAACCATACTGGGAACCCATGACAAGAGCCCATAGACTCGTCAGGGCGAGCTTACCTTGGCTGGTGATTTTTCTTTTTCTGGAACGGCAACACTCGCTGGTTCTGGATTCTCCGTAAGGTACTACAAAATAGGATATTTAAGACAATAAATTAAGTATTTTTACATTCTGATAACAGTAAAACATACTTCGCTAAGCCGCGCAACAAGCTGCTGTTTGTTGCCTGTTTTGGACAGGGATCGCTTTCCCAGCTCATCTTTCAGCTCAGTAACTTTGAGCTCATAGATAGATTTCCCGTCGACCGTTAGATTATCCATGCCTGCTCTAATATAATCGATTAAATCATAGCGGATGTGAATGAACACAAATAATTTAGCAATCAAAGCACCGAAAAAATTATATTCCCAAAATTAAAACGTAAATTACAAATACTGCAATCTAAAAGAGGTCGTTCAAGGTCGGATCCATCGTAAGTAAATCTTCTCACGGTGCGGGCATGTATGGAGCTTGGAAATGGAAACTTGGTAACTGGCGCCACCTTGCGCATGCAATGTGTTCAGAGATTGGGAAAGTAAATGCCGCCCTGGAGTGGTTCTGCCTCTAAGATTGCTTGGCTCAGATTTAGCCTCAGCACTTCCAGCCTCAAGGCTTCACACCCATGCATTTTACATTTCCCGCCTACTGCCACCGACACCAACCGCCGATGATTTCATTCCTTTGCGTTGAATGATCGTTTTCCGACACAAACCGCTTCAGCAAGTCGCAGTTTTTGGTGACTTTTGGATTTGCGTTTTATTGGTTTGCACTTGCTGATTGTTTTTCAACGTTTTGTTTCGAGTTTGTTAGCAAGGTTGTATGTGAAATTGTGAATATCATTGGGCTTTACCTTCTGAAGAATATGAACAGGCTTCTATCACGGTTTTCTTAAGCCAGAATTAATTTACTGCCGCTCCAAGCGTCCAGGTGACATTGGGGACAGAACGCCAGACTAGAACCGGAGCTGCAAAGCAAAGAACCCCGGAGTCCGAAGCGGTCACGTTTAAGGTACGCCGTTACGGAGCTACGTAGTTAATCTTTCCGGTGAACTACAGTGATGACTAATGATCGTCTCTATTGCCTTCTTTAATGATTAAAGAATAAAAATCTGATTTTGGGATTGAAGTTTTGGTTTTGACTTTTGCTAAAGTGGCGGTCGAAGTAGAGAATGACAACTTAAGGCGAAATGTGCATTTTGCCTTTTGGGGTACTCTGTAGTCCTTGGCGATTTTCGAAAAAGTACCAACGAAAGAGCAACAGTTTAGCTACCGAATGATGTATTGGAAGTAGCTGTGGGCCGCCTACATGGAAACCTATTACAGTAACAGAACAAGTTCTGGATATATGATTAGCCAAAATTCGTCCTGGTGACCTTGTCTTATGAATCGGTGCTTCTGTGTAAAGTTGTGAACGATCGAGCGATTATTTATTGTGTAGGAGTAGGAAGTTAGGAACATAATTTCATCGACTTGTCACTTGTGTCACCTATTGGTAAATTCGTAGTGTTTGAAGCATTAAGTTATTATAAATTAAAAAAACTAAATACTCGTAATATTGATATACTCGTTATTTTGATAAATTATATATAAATACTCGTTATTTTGATAAATTAATTATAAAAAATAGATAAAATTTTGGTGCATATAGTGTACTTCTAGTAGTACTTAATGAAATGTAAATACTAATTGATAATTACAGCACTTTAATTATTTAAGCGCCGCCGTTTTTTAAGGGTGAATACATTCACATTATTGTTGACACGTTTTTTAGCTGAAAAGTAAACGGCTGAAACAATGTGTGACCAAGTCAGTACGACGGATTCCTGGACATTAACAAGCGCGAATCCGTTTGCGGCGCTGAGTTCATCCCACGAGGAAACACCCGAAACAGGTAGAATTTCTGAATTCTAATGCATAGATACTAATACGTACTTCCCGACAACGCTCGAACGGCCCGGTCACAAACGACTAGTTACGCTGCAAGGTGGATTATGTTATTTAGCATCTTATTCGGCTTTTCAGGAGTTCCGGTGTTTCGCGAGATTGTCGGCACAACGGTGAAGTTCTGTCCGGTGATCGGAAGCGATATGTTGATTAAAGAAGACCCAGATAAGAACGTTACGCTGATGACAAAGAACATCTGCATCTCTATGATGCAAGAGTACGGCGAGAAGAAGAGCCTGGAAGAACTGCGACTGGAGGACTACGAAGCCAGTCGCAAGACGGGAACCGGCACCAATGCCGTCGAGGTAGACTTCGGAGGTTTCAGGAAGCCAGTTCCGCCAGATTCGGAGACCATATCTGCATTGTCAGTTGGAACACAAACGGATGCCGGTAAAAAAAATTTGAACATTAATGCTGCTTTCTTAATAAGTACGAGCACAATGTGAGTGTTAAATTAATAGCTCCAAGTTTTCTCTCATGGCCCAAGTACGAGGGTTTGTTCGGCGGATCCGGATTATTCCCAGCGTCCATGTTCAACGCGAATCCAGTGGGCACGACGGTGAAGTTTGCTCCGGTTACTGGCACAGATACCGCGATGAGAAACGCCGCGACTACGAATATTGCGACGAAAACGTTCTGCATTAGCATGATGAGAGAGTACGGGGAGAAGAAGAGTATGGAGGAGCTGCGATTGGAAGACTATGAGGCTAACCGTAAGACGGGAACAGTCACCGGGACACCGATGGGAATGTCCGGGCAAGCTGGAGGATTATTTGGTCCATCGCCACCGTCCCTGTTTAATAGTGTCAAGGCCTCTGTTGGCACGACCGTGAAGTTTGCCCCTGTCATGGGCACAGATACCGTGATGAAATTCGGCCTGAATACGAACATTCAGACGAAGAATTTCTGCATCAGTATGATGAAGGAGTATGAAGAGCAAAAGAGTATGGAAGAGCTGCGGCTGGAAGACTATCAAGCGAATCGCAAGACTGGCAGCGCGAGCGCGCCTTCGGTGGGGATAAACATACAAACACACCAACCAGCGGCCAGTGGAGGCAATAACGGATCGTTTATTTTCGCTCCATCTGCGAATCAGACATCGTTTGTCCCATCTTCTGATCAGCATTCTTCTGGCCAGCCTGCGGTTTCAGAGTCGCAGAGTGCGAACTTAAGTACTGTTATTGTCCTTCCTGCTTGTTTTCTTTCGGACAGATTCTAATTTCATATATTTTAATTTTTTCGTAGGTTTCTTTGGATCTCCGTTGGGAAAACCTGCGGCTTCACAGCCGCCAGGCACGAGCACAAGTACTTGATGTTATTGCGCTTTCTTTTAGATTTTTTCGTACAGACTTTTGCATGATATTTTTTATAGGTGTTTTTGGATCTCCGTCCGGACAACCCGCGGTTACGCCGTTTTTTACAGGTTCATCCGGCGCTACGTTTGGTAAACCTGCAGTTTCACCGCCACAAAGTGCGAGCACAAACTATTTGATTTGATTCTTGAATTTTAATGTTTGCAGGTACCTTTGGATCCCCCGCTCAAAATACGACGCCTGGGACAAGCAGTGGCGTTTTCACTGGTCAGCCGGCCCCTGCAGCTGCTACTGGAGGACTTTTCGCTGGAGGCAGCATTTTTGGCGGCAGCATTTTTGGCGGCTCTGTTCAGCCGCCACGTTCACAACCTTCGAGTAAACTTTGTGCTAGTTAACATAAGTACACTATTTAAACTTTAAAGAACGTGCACTTATTTTCTGATTTTCTTTGGAAGGTTTTTTTTCAATTTTAATGTTTGCAGGTAACTTTGGATCCCCTGCTCAGAATAGGATACCATTTGCAAACAGTTCCATTTTCACTGGTCAGCCGGCACAAGCAGCTGCTACTGGCGGACTTTTCGGTGGAAGCCGCATTTTTGGCAGCTCCGCTCAGCCGCCGCGTTCACAACATTCAAGTAAACTTTGTGCTAGTTAACATAAGCATACTGTTTAAACTTTAAACAGCGTGTTCTTATTTACTGATTTTCTTCGAAAGGTTTTTTTTAATTTTTGAATTTTAATGTTTGCAGGTACCTTTGGATCCTCCGTTCAAAATACGACGCCTGGGACAAACAGTTACGCATTCCCTGGTCAGCCGGCACAAGGAGCTGCTAGTGGAGGACTTTTCTGTGGAAGCAACATTTTTGGCAGTTCTGTTCCGCCGCCGTGTTATCAACCATCGAGTAACATCAGTATACTGTTTAGACTTTAAACATCGTGTTCTTGTTTACTGATTTTCTTCGGAAGGTTTTTTTTTTAATTTTTGGATTTTATTGTTTGCAGGTACCTTTGGATCCCCTGCTCAGGGTACGACACCAGGGGCAAACAATGGCGGTTTCACTGGTCAGCCGGCACAGGCAGCTTCTGCTGGAGGACGTTTCTATGGAGACAGCACTTTTGGCGGCCAGTCTTCAAGTAAAGTTTCTTTGACTTTGATTTTGACTACTGAACATGAGCGTACTGTTGGGGTAGTACACGTATCATATTCTTCTAATTATTCTTCGGAATGCTTGCTGTAAATATTATTTGTTTTGATGCTTCCAGATATCTTTGGATGCTTTGCTCAGAATACGACACCCGCGAGAAACACTTTCGCTTCAGGTAGTCAGTCTACTCAGCCACCTGCTACTGGGGGACTTTTCAGTGGAGGCAGCACCTTTGGCGGCTCCGCTCAGCCGGGACCATCAAGTAAAGTTTGTTTGACTTCGATTTTGACTACTGAACATGAGCGTATTGTTCGGGCAGTATACGTATTCCTTTTAATTATTCTTCGGAATGCTTTTTGTTTATATTTTAATTTTAATGTTTTCAGGTTTCTTTGGGTCCACTGCTCAGAATACGACACCCAGGAGAAACAGTTTCGCTTTCCGCAGTCAGTCTGCTCAGCCATCAGCTGCAGGATGGCCTTCCAATGGAGGCAGCTACGGGTTCGGTTTGGGTGCTCCCGTTCAACCGCCGCGTTCGCAGTCATCGAGTAAGGTTGCAGTTGACGGACATGGCATACTGTTAAACCAATATGCTCTTATTCTTCGTAATGTCTTTGTTAAATTTTTACATTTTAATATGTGAAGGTTTCTTTGGGTCCACTGCCCAGAACACAACACTCGGGGCAAGTCTGTTTGATCGGCCCGCGCAACCAGCTACTGGAGGATCTTCCAATGGAGGCAGCTACGGGTTCAGTTTTGGTGCTCCCGTCCAGCCGCCTCGTTCTCAGTCATCAAGTAAAGTTGGGAATGCTGAACATGAGCATACTGTTAAACCAATATTTTCTCATTCTTCGGAATGTCTTTATTTAATTTTTACATTTATGTGAAGGTCTTTTTGGATCCACTGCGCAGAACACGACACCCGCGGCAAACACTTCCGGTTTGTTTGGTCAGCCTGCACCACCAGCTGCTACTGCAGGATCTTCCAGTGGAGGCAGCTATGGGTTCGGTTTTGGAGCTCCCGTTCAGCCTTCGCATTCTCAACCATCAGGTAAAGTTGCGACTACTGGACATGAGATGCTGTTTTTAACAATGCTTTCTTAATAATTATTTTGGAGGGTTCCTGTTTAATTGGTATATTTTCTTATTTGCAGTTTTCTCGGGACCCACTGCCCAGAATACAACCGGGACAAACACTTCCGGTTTGTTTGGTCAGCCGCAACAGCCAGCAGCCACTGCAGGATTTTCCTTTGGAAATCCTAATCTTCCAGGTAGAGAATTACTTTTGTAGTTAGAACGTGCATTTGCAGGATCGTTTGGACTTATTACGCAGACTGCCGCGTTCTGAGCATCGTATCGATTCGCTCAGAGTACTGCAGTCCGTGTAACGGGTCCAAACGGGCCCGCCATAATTATTTCTAAACCTCTAGCAGGATAAAACTTATAACGCTCTGTGCAAGAGGAGTTTTTTTGTCATAATGAGCGAACTAGGGTAGCTGTTTTAAGCCGCTACCGTATTAGTTGTTTACCTTGAAACTGAATAATTCTTTTAACATGGAGAAATTTTACTTTAATAATTCCTATAATACGGAGAAATAAGTCTTCATCTTTAATACAGGATATGGATCCTACACTGCTTACCCGCCGGGACATGTTTTTGATCAGCCTCGAGCAGCCGCTGCTGGTTTGCCCGGACAAGCGGCTGCCGCTGCGCCACTGTTCCGGATTAACATCACCGCAAACGCTGCCGGAAATGGTTTCGTTGTAGAATTTTTACCTAACTAGGACTGCCGTTCGTTTATTCGACCGGATAGCCAGAAAAGCTTGAAGGACTGCAGCAGCAGTGGAAATTTAAAAATTGTTTGCACTGGTGAAATTTCTCGGTTTTTGTTTTGTTTTTCGATGGTCAGCGACTGCTACGCTTTTTGACCCTGCTTTTTTTGTACGATACCTTGTAAAGACGTAAGTGTGCAAAGCCGCAAAATTTTGTTTTGGAAGGTTGTTTCCGGCGTTTTCCAGTTGTTTTTGGGCGGAATTTTTCTGACGGTGTACGAATAAATTGCGTGCTTGTCTTGCCAGCTGCTTCAGCCTATTCCCAAACGACACTTTGAATTTATTTGACATAATATTCTTACTCAAAACAGTAGAAAAACACCGACTTAATGAGTTTAAAGAAACAACTTCTTGATACCGCAGCCGTGCACTGCCAACGCCGGGACAAATACTGTACTTGTATCTGTACATTATCCAGAATAATTCAAATTGTAAACCGAGTATGATGTATGTACTATATAATCTATATGAGGTTCAAACTTCTATGCCAATCAGTTCAGGAAGAGTGCGGCAAAATTTATAAGTAATATTAATATCTGGCCGCTGTGGCTTTTGTTGAAGTTAATAATGTTATGCCAACATTGCCGGTTTATGTAAAAGGTCCCACTCGTCTTGTGTAGGAATCACAGGGTACATGTAATTGCGCTCTTTCGTTTCTTTCTTCCAAATAAGTCGCCCCGCAGTTTTTTTTCACCAGAGATTACCGGCTTCAGCACTCTCTGAGAGGTGCAGTTCTTGTTGCGTCGGAAGCCTCGGAACATGGCGATACTTTTGGTTAGTCGGTGCGGCATCATTTGCATTATTCTTCATCGACCCGTCGTGATCAGCCACAGGAAGTGTTTAAAAAACGCCCGACCAGCGCCGCAATAGTCGAAGAATTTCAAGGAACATTGGCGCACATTATGTAGCTGTAGAAACAGCGATGGTACAGATAGAATAACGAGCTGCATCGGCCATCACCGATGTGCACCTGTACGTTCATTTAATTATAAGTATTGAAGTACTGATTCTTATTTTCGATCAGTTCTTAACAGCAGCCATAGTAAGCGGTAAAATTGTTAACAAGTTATTTTTAATCGGGGATTTACTTAATACTATCATAACCAAAGGAACCAATAATATTAATTACGAATACAACCCGTACAACTTCGTACGTATCGGTGGTACATTATAAATTAAATTAAAAAGTAGTGCGACCACAACGCTGCCTTGTTGTGGTGTACTGCTTTTAAAATCGGAGGTATTAATTGTTATTCAAATAAATAAAATAAGTAATAATAAGCATCGGCGGTATTATAATAGAAATTTTTATAAAACCACCGCTACGTACGAAGTTATACAGGTGATGGCATGTAAATTCTGATTCTCGTACACCGATGTTGCTACGCTTTTTAATCTCGGCTTTCCGATCTTCCAGCATCCAGCTGCTTGCCGCATGACGCATGTTCTTCGTGCACGTGTATGTAGAGTTCAATCAGACTCGTATTGTTAGTGGCTGTCTGCTTCAATTAAATGCCATCTTCGGTTTTTCGATTTTTAAATGTTTGATTTCTATTAATTGTCTGTAGAAGCACTTGTTGATTTTCAGTTGTTCGACCGCAGATATACTGACTTGTGAGATTTTGCTCAATACTACGTATGTACTACGTAAATACTTTTACTCTGTACTTGACGAGTTTTCACTTTCGTCGTTGTATGCTTATACTCTGTAGTTGCAGCTCGATAATTATTATGTTTTGTACTGCTTGAAATCGTCGTTGTATGCTTATACTCTGTAGTTGCAGCTCGATAATTATTATGTTTTGTACTGCTTGAAATCGTCGTGGGATGCTTTTGTACAGTAAAATTGTTGCAGCTGTAGTATCAGAACGAGGTGCCCTCAGTTTCCGGATCACCTGTAGAGCCGTAGAAAACGAACTGGATCTGCAAACCTTCGATCAACCATGGCACAGGCGTTCGAAATTAAACGTGAAGTTGGAGAAGCAGAAATTCAGTGCGCGATAGGACAATCTGAAGTTAAGTGTGAAACTGGACAGGTTACGATTAAATACGAAATTCCACTGGCGGAAATCAAGTGTGAAACTGGACAGTCTGGCTGTAGGTGCAAAGTATTTGTACAGAATGTACTAATACAGCTAAAACAGTACGAGTAAAAGTACGATTATGCCGTAAGGTTTTTATTGTGTGCAGTTTTATTGAACTTTGGGATGACTGGTTTACTTGCTCTTGCTAGTGCATAGTGGTGCGTTACCAGTTTTGCAAGATAATGTATTTCGTTTTAGTGAGCGTTGCAAATTTGCTGCCCGATTTCCCTGCGGAGTCTAATCCTGTTGCCACTGGCGGGAATTCTGACAATGCTGCAGTGTCGGTGTCCAAAACGGATCCCCAGGACTGCAAAGACCAGCATAACTCCTTTGCTAACCATAAGATTAGCTGCGAATCTCCGGATCCAAATCAAGGATATGACAAATTTCTGGTGGCAGCTAGACTGAGCCAGTACTGGTAGAAGTGTTATATAACTAGAACCCGTTTCCTAAAAAGTGTGCGTAAATCATAAAATTAACAAGGCAAGGCTAGGGTAGGAGTTGACAAGGCTACATACAGCCATTGCACTACGATAATTAACATAAATCTGCAAACGCACTCTATGTTGTCTGAATAAGTATTAAGTAGGTACTAATGATATTATTACTGTCTCGTATTCCGCGTGCATACGATAATTATGATTTATGTGCACTAGCGGTGGTTGTTAGTTCTTTGCTTATTAAGCTGCTAACCACATCATTTGCAGCAGTTTCACTGAAAAATGGTACTGTAGTATCTCGATCCGCTCGATGCAAATATTAAAATTTACCGTTGCCCTCATTAATTTAATCTGCTGGGACAAGCTTGCATTTCTATGTTACAGTGTGCAGCCACGCAGCTGGCACCAAGAAAATCACTTGCACTCGAACAACAACGCTGTTGATCGTCCACCGCGCTGTAACGGCAACACCTGGAATACGGCTGGTAACAACTGCAGCGCAGAGGGTCGTGGTCCCGGTGGATACGGGGAGCAGGGACGTGGCGGCAGTCGTCACGGTGGTGGACATTGGCAAGGCCGGGACACTCGGCGCTATGGCTACCGCGGCCGGTGGAATGATCAGCCGGTAAATTAGATGCTCAGTCTAATCAAGTACTTGTACATCAGTTTATAAACTTGTTTGTTTTAGAACTTAATACTTTTGTATTAATACTTTTGTGTTAGAACTTAATTATTTTTTTGTTTGGATGGCTTTTCTATTATTTTAAGATTGTTTTAGTATTACCAGCGACCACGCTGGCGAGGCAGGTGGCGTGGCGGTGCTGACTGGAACCGTGGCCGCAGCAATGCCGGATGGAACGATGGGAATGCCCGTGCCGGTCGTCAAACACAGCAAGGTGACTGGGACCCGAACGGGCAAACTGGAACGGTAAACCGCGGCACACAGAGAACGATGCCGCAGCAGGTGCCGGTTCACTCGCAACCAACCGGTAGGTTATGACGTTATGTCCGGTACAATATTAACAAATATCGCCACTACTGCAGTTTTTTATATACGGCATTTCAGTATTTCTCAGTGACAGACAATGTCTGGTGTGCATTTATTGTACTCGTAATTCTGGTAAATACAGGAATTGCGACCATTTTAAAACAACAACCACAAAAGGAAGATGTTGCTGGTGGAAGCACGAGTATCCTACCACTCAACCGGCAATCAGGAGTGTCCATGTCTCATGTCGTCTCCATCGGTACAACGGTCAAATTTTCTCCTGTTATGGGCATCGAACCGGTGATGAAAAATGGCACAAGTATGGATGTCCAGACGCAGCACTTCTGTATCAGCTTAATGAAGGAGTATGACGAGAAAAGGAGCATGGAAGAACTCCGGCTTGAAGACTATCTGGCCAGTCACAAGACTGGAACAGCCACCCAGGCAGCCAGCGTAACGTTCGGAGGTTGCGTTAAGCCAGCTCCCCAGCAACGCTTGCCACTGCTTAGTTCGGGGTCCATGTCTGGATTATCGGTTTTTGCGCACAGGAATGCGGGTAAGAAAGATTTTGGCCTTCAGTGCTCTGTCTCTCGCTTCTCCGTCGACATCTGTGGGTTGTATAAATTAATACAATCTGAAGTAATTAAATTAAATTTTAATCTTCATTTTTTTAATTTAAATTTTAATTATTTAGGCGGCGGACCGCCAGCGGGAAATACAGTTGGTGAACTGGCGCAGGCAGCGGGTAATGTCCCGGGCGGAAATGTGCTCTCATGGCTCAAGTTCGATGGTTTTAACGGCAGATCACTACCAGCGTCCACCATCAGCGTTGATGCCATTGGCACGACGGTGAAGTTTGCGCCGGTTAGTGGCGCAGATTCCGAGTTGAAAGACGGCAGAACTATTAACATTGAGACGAAAGCGTTCTGCATTAGTATGATGAAAGAGTACGGCGAGAAGAAGAGCATAGAGGAACTGCGATTCGAAGATTATCAAGCAAGCGGCCAGAGCGTTACTTTAACCGCTGCTAGCGTGGGCTCGTTGGGGATGTTCGGGCAGAATCGACAGGCAACAGCCTTTGGAGGATGTTCTTGTGGAGGGAATAACGGATTTTTATTGGGGGCGAATCGGTCACCATTTGGCTCATCTTTCGGTCAAAATCCTTTTGGTCAGCTTGCGGTTTCACAGCCACCATGTAAGAGCAGCCATACCGTTTGTTCCCGGCTTGCTGTTTGATCTCTGCTGAATACGTATTCAGTGTATTTTACAAGTTGTCTTGGTTCGCTTATGTTGTTTTTTTCTTGCAGGCTTCTTTGGACCACCTGCAGCAAATGTACCATCGTGGACGGCTAGTTTTGGTCAGGCTGAAGCGCCAGCTAATACTGGTTTTAAATCATTTGGTCTGTGCGGTAATAAGCTCGATTTCGCTGCTGCTCAGCCATCCTTTCACACCTATAGAAGTGCCGGTGGAACGGCTTCCGGCCAGTCGCTGTTTGCTCAGTCTCAAGGTAGAATTGCCTTTTAATCGTACGCTCTTATTATATCAGTAGTTGTAACTGATTTGGTTGTACTTACGGTTAGTTAATTTGTTTTACTAAGTACTCTTAGTTATTAGGCACGAGTAGCTGAATCTCATAAACGGAACCACTACCGCTTCTTACAGCCGCCGTATTCCTTTTATCCTGTTGTATGCGAAACCTTTGGAGTGCAGAGCGAGTCGACGAAGGAACTTTTTAAGTTTTTAGGTTGTAGAATTTTTGAAAAAACGGGTGAAGCGCGTTCGAGTTCGTTTTGAAACAGCGCTTCAGCATTGCCGTTGTTCGTGGTAATGCGGCGGCAGTTTTGGGCACTTTGCCGCGTGTTAAACACTTCAATAACGCTAATGATGGTATTGGATGTTTTGGTAGTACCTAATTTTGTAGCAGTAGTGTCTGGTTAATACTGTCATAATTATGAATCGAAATAAAGAAGAGAGTACTTAGTTATTTATTTACAGGCTCATTTCGGTCCAGTCCGTATGCGGCGCACTGGACCAAGTATTTTGGTGCGCAATCTGCGAATCATTCAGCTTCATCCAAATTCGCCTCATCTGCTAGCGGAGCGGTTTTCGGTCAATTACCGACTTTTCAGACTCGAGGTGAAGTAGTTGTAGTACTGTGGAAAGGATAATTCTTTAATTTCCTCCACAGTTTTTTTTTTAATTTTGACCTTTTAATGTTTGCAGGTTTGGCTGAATCCAAAACCTTTAGTGTTTTTGGTCAATCCCAATCAGCTGCTACTGGAGGAGTTTTCGGTGGAGGCAGCAATGGATTTATATTTGCCCCACGATCTGCTGATGCACTTGCTTCCACTCCTAGTGGAAATCGTTTCGGTGACGATGTGTCTAGTGTGACGAAATGAAAAATGTGGCGCAGCGAAGTCGAGAATTAAATCGCTGGCGGTCATGGAGTTTGCCGGTTTTGTTTTGTTAATTCGAAGTCACAGATTTTTAACTTTTTTTAGTCTGGTTATTTGTACGATAACTCAAAAGAAATTAGTTAACAAAGTCGCAAGTCTGTTTTCGCTTTTCGAAGGTTGTGTCCGATGTTTTCTAGATGTTTTCGAACGGATTTGGCTAGTGCTGTACTCGTACAGATACAATCGTGCTCACTATGCATGCACTACTGGTGTCTAATTGTCTATTATAAATTCTGTGGACTGGTTTAACTATACAGTGCAAATACTTACCAGTGTCAGCTGCACTTGTCTGCTCTCAAACGCGACCGAAGTTAATTTCACGTATTGTTTCTTAAACCAGCGTAGTCGCTTTTATCTTTACAGTCAATTAAGTTAATAAGAACAAATTGCTGAATAATTTTAAAAAAATCACTGACAATAGACTGCCGAATGCGGACATAAATAAGCAATTCAATTGACCGGAAGTAATGTTTGACACATACACTGATCTTTTTGTTACTTAAATTTAATATTGGGTAGTCGTAAAAGTGCCGGTTTTTAAGAGGTCACGTCAGGGTAGCGTTCATCTCGTAAAGTTAAACTTTTACAACATTCCTGTAAACTACAGTTCTCGATTAATCCATCCACGCTTCCTTTTCTTTCTTCCGAACAAGTAGTCATAGGAGATATCGCGCAGAGTCTTCCATTTCCGCAGAGATTACCGATTGCAGCACTTTCTGAGAGACGCGTGGTTCTTGTCGCGTCGGAAGGCGTTGGTGCGCGCTCGTTTGCCTTTAATCTCCATCGGCACGTCGTGATCAGCCGCAGGAAGTGTTTAAAAAATGTCCGACTGACACCGCAATATACGAAGAAATTCAAGGAATATTTGGCATACGTAAACTGTAGGAACAGCGACTGCAGAATGACGAACTGGTCATCGCCGATGTGCACCATGCAGCGTTTTTCCATCGCCAGCAATATGTACCACGTCAAATATGGAATGGTCGTCACCAAATAAAGGACAACTGATGCCGTCAGTAGTGTCATGGTTGTGGAGATGATCGTATCTTTTCCGTGTATACGTACAGGGAATTTCCCTTCCAGGCACTCCACCTGGAATATCACTCATGATGATGATGTACGAGTACTTAATCCGGCAGATTTTGTTACATAGAATTTCATTTAGCAGTGTGTGTAAATACTTACTTCCGGTTTATGCATCATTTGGCGCTTAAACAAGATCAGCGCAATCACCATGTTCGCTACGAAAATTATGAGAAAGCTGGACAGCGCATCGATTGCCTGCAACACGTAAAGGTCACCTGTTAATAATTTCAGTGTATTGCGAATGTACATTCGTTGGCTGCTTCCTTACCGCGCCGATCATCTGGATCTGCCGCCAGTTTCCCACCCAAGTAATCGTTGCAACCTTATCGTCCCGAGTGACATATTCCACCACTGGATACAGTGCGACAGTGCAGGCCAATGGTAGGAAACACAGTATGGCAATAACGACCTGCTTTCGCGAAATGGACAGGCGCCATCGCAGCGGATCGATTGTAAAGAGTAGACGCGTTACACTGAATGCTACCAAAGTCCTGTAAAGGTCAAACACGTTGCTGACGCATCACGTCTAGACTAAATCCTACACCGGTAGTTTTATTACACTGGTAAATTAACCAGGCAAAAAGAAAACGACCTAGAGGTATTGTCTTACCAATCAGAATACCATGATCCGATATTGCCGAAAAATTCGCTCGCAACGAGAAATCCGCGTGTGGCTTCGGTACTGAAATTAGAATTGAGGGATCTGGACGGAATTCCGCCAGGCGTGGTGTAACCGACGTACACCTATTAAAACATCATTAGAACATACGTAAGTTCTGAAAACGTTACACTCGAATTGGTTGAAAATGTTACATTTTAACTATTTCCATAATTTTAGTATACTTCAGTATAGTTCTAGTGGTACACAAAACTTTCAGCAAAATTTTTATTTTACTTTTGTTTGGCACGGAAATCTCGGTTGGGAAATTCGATTTGAAATACAGTGGTACCTGAATCGAACGAAGCAGCCAGCCCCACCTGCAAAATTAGATTTTCTAAACTGATGCATCAGATTGGTTGTATCCAGATTAATAAAACTTGTAGCCAACTAAGTCTGTACTGTGTCGATCTTACATTGCTAATAAGTCAAAATGTGCCACCGCTGTCACAAATATTGCCTGGAAAGTATGGATTTTCCGCAACAGAACAATGTTCAGGATATTGCCGACAGTACAAATGAACAGCCAGATGGGATGCAGAATGAGTTCCGTGTATTTAAAGCCATCAGCTTCGTAAACGTATTGGAAATCCCTTTCGGGCCAGCCGCAGCCGGGCATACTGATATTCCGCATTGTCCGTAAAAGAAACTGAACCGTATAAAAACTTAAATTTTAAGTTATCTATAATCTACACGCTGAATAAGGAAAACAAGAATATTAATCTGTGAACAACATGTGCCAGGCGAAAATGGCGTGAAATTCACGATCTATCGAAAATTTGTTGTGGTTTCGAGGCAGTCTGCATGCTGCACAACATAGTCATAAAACATACACAGCGCAGCAAGGTAAATTACCGTCTCAAAGAATTTTGAAAAAAATGTTATTGTTGTTAATCACCAAAAAGAACATCGCATGAAAGGGAAAGATGCCGGTAAGGCTACCGTTCATGGTAGCAAACAGTGTAGCGTATGGTACACACGCAATATCCTAGAAAAACATTACCAAACAAACATTGCTTACGGCGCTGAAACTGCGGTTTTGTTGCTTAACACTGTAATTATTCAGCGTCGTATTCACGAAGCAACGGCAACAGCATGGTGTTTACACCGCGTACCTGCGTACAACCATGCTCCGGCGGGGTTCGGAGAAAAGAATTAACATACCGGAAACGCTTTGAGCCAACGCTAGGCCAATTATGAAAAATGCCGGAAAATATGACGTCAAAATATTCAGACTGTGAGTATGTCTTTAAAACGCAGGCTATGACGACATAATTATTAATCATCATTCTTCGATTTACCGGTAAATGGTAGCGCAATCAATGACCTGTACAAGTATGCTTGGTGCGCGTAAAGAGCATCGGTATCATTTTTCACAAGTCGCATCATATACTGATTATGCCACAAAACCGCACAACATCATCGCATGTGACAAATAATAATAGTATTATTTGTTTTTGACTGTAAAATACAGTTGATAAAAACCGACAGGATGTCTATTACTGACCTGCATAACGAAACTAAATTTTAATGATTTCTAAACGTTAATTGTTTCTTCTGCCTGTTAAAGAGGAAATACAGTATTTAATGATTAGGCCGTTTATCATTATCTGAGCGGCTTTCACACACATGCAGATCAAACTCGACGGTTCCACCGGTCGGCACATCGGACACCGATGTCGTCACACCGACAATCTTAGTGACCACTTCAGGGTTGCACCAGCAATACTTCTTTGCCCAATGCAAAAATCTCTTTAAAAACGTCCGACTAACACCGCAGTAAACGAAAAAATTCAGGGAATATTTCGGATACAAGAACTGTATAAAAAACGACTGGAGTATGGCAAAATGCTCATCGGTCAATCGCACACGACAGCTCCGCTCCAGCGCCAGCACGACATACCACGATACGTAAGGAATGGTTGTCACCAGGTGGATGACCACGGAGGCGGTTAATAGCGGCATCGTTGTGGATATCGTCGAGTCGTTTCCGTGTACTCTCATGCAACGTGACCCTTGCCGGCGTCCTACCTACAACGTTTATAACAAAAATAATTATATCAACAAACATCAAAATATAATACAATCCAAATATTACAGTGAAATAATACAAATTACATATTTTATAATAAATGTTGGTCTTAATAATAAATGTTGGTCTTAATAATAAAGGTTGGCCTTCAAGTATATCATACTTTGAACAAAGTTGTACTTGAAAGAATTGTGTATAATGCGGTCTTACGTCAACACGGAAATTCCGATGGCGTCTGCACAGAATCATAGCGATTATCATGTTGGTTATGAGTATCAATAAAAAACTGGCAAATGCGCCAACACCCTGTAAACAATGGAAAATTTAACCGGATCTATTTAATATGCTGATTTGTCAATCACGTACCGCGCTGACAAAATTAAACTGACGCCATTTGCCGGCCCACGATGCTTGTGCCGCGCTATCGTGTAACGTAATGAACTCGATGATTGGATAGAAGGATAGAGCGCTAATCAGCGGGAAGCAGCACAAGATGGCGATGCGAATCTGCTTTCGGGTAATAAATAATCGCCAGCGAATGGGGTCGATCGTAAACATGAGCCGCGTAATACTGAAACCAACCAGGATCCTGCAAAAATGTATAAGGAATAAAAAATTTCTTGACACTGCATATTTTAATTTTTTATTATGAAATTATAATTATTACCAGTCTGAATACCAGGTGCCAATATTGCCGATAAATTGACAACTGACGAGAAATGCTTTGAGAGAGTCGGAGGTCACATTATTTTCAATGCCCCATATTGCCACTTCATCCTTGTTGGTTAATCCAAAATATACCTGCATAATTAGATACCTGAGTTTTATTATTCTTTAAACTGTGGACGATGCTTACTTGGAGTGATCGTAGAAGGAATCCCCACCTATGCTAAAAAACATTAAGTATAAAACACCAAGTTAACGTTAACAAAGCATACTCGTATGGGAGCTCTATTTTTAGCGCACATACGTATGTCAAAAACGATGTATCGTACATTGCAAGTAAATCAAAATGCGCGACTGCGGTGACGAACATCGCCTGAAAGGTTTCCACTTTCCTTAGCAGGATGATATTAAGTACTTCGCCGACAGTGCAGAGGAAAAGCCATATAGGATGCAAAATCAGCTCGGTATATTTAAACTCATCGAACTGATAAATGTACTGAAAATTCCGTTCCGGCCAAGCACATCCGGTCCCATTTACAGTTAATAAAGTAAGCTCCGACATCATGTAATTATCAAAAATATTAACCACGATCTACTAGCGTGCGCGTTAAAGGCGTGGCACAAATCGGCGTCCATAAAATCCGTCCGTGGCGTCCATCAAGATCTCCATAACGGATTCCAGTTTTTCCAGGCATATCCGCATTGCTATTTAACCGGATTTTTTTTTAAATTTCATATTAATCCAACATAATTCATAACCGTTCTTGGATTATACATATGTACAAAATGATAGGCAAAGCTCCAAGAATTTTAATCCGCGAAATGAAATCTGTAGCTTTGGTATAAAACAAATGCACCACTGGAACGATTATCGATCACAGCTCGGTTAAATGCACAACCGCCGGTTCTAGAGTATGTGCAGTTACATAAATAATGAACTTGAGGATTTAATATCGATACTTACGAATGCCCTGGACAAAAATTATTAGTGACGTATATGGAATAAATAAATGGAATATGCCTTTGAGTACTTGTTAATCTAGTATCTGTATACCAATAGCCGCAGTTATGTAGATACGAGTACCTACCGTACCGATTAAAAACGTGATGCATTAATAACTATAGAAAATCGTAGCTGTTAAACGTGCTGTGTACTCCGGGAACCAAATCAGACAATCAAAAATGTGCCAGCAAAAAAAAACACACGTAGCGCCGTAAGCAATTCTGAATCTCTTTACAATTTTAGTGATACGTAAATTTCAACGATGAAGCGGCAACTTTCTTGTGAGCTATAGAACTATAGCAGCAGTATATATATCTTTTCACTATGGAACTATCAAACTAACTATCAAACTACTCGTAAGTTTTATTAGCACCAGCAATATGCTTTGGGCACTTTATTGTGTACTTTGTATGTACATAGTTTTTTATTCACGTATTCGTATACGAGTACACAGTAGTGTATACTCGTAACTGTAGTGTATAATACCCGTAGGTATTTGTACAATTGTACTGCGCATGTAGTAAGCAAGCATTAGAAATGCTGGAGTTGCAGGAAATTCAATCGCTGATTCACAATCATACAGCTTCAGTCATAATAAATTAAAAAATGTTAGAGCAGTTAATGAAGAAGATGCTGATTTTTTGAAATTTTGTTTTGATGATACCTGCCCTATGATATTTACGCTCGAACTTTTTTACGTAATTGCACTTAAACGTTTTAGCAGCTATAAAATGTTTTTTATGTTGAAGTATTTTTATTGCTAATTTTGAAGGATTAGATCGATCGGTACGTATCCAAAAAACTGAATACAGCAATGCAGCATCAGGAAATAGCAATGTTCAATAATTTTGAAATTCTTTAGGTAAAGATCGTCACAACTTTGGTGGCTACATAGCCTACGTAGTACGTACGGTAAAGCTTTATGGTTGTCGGAAGCGTCAACTCATAAATCAGTTAATGATAATCATTCTATTACGACTAGAATGACATTTATAACGACGATATAATAATTACGAAAAACGTAGTACGGCAGCATTATTACAGTGTAGATTGCCATTGGGAATAATGAACTCTACTGATGCAAGAGTGCAGCTTACAGAACTACTGTTGGAAATCGATTTAAGACGTATGGCAGTACTGACAATGAGTATTAAACAATGAAGTAACTGAAGTATAAATTTTAATAATATTTTAAGTGAAAAATATTTCATCGTAAGAACTGACTGTTTCGGATGATCAAAAGGAAAACCTGTAAAGCCGCAGTAGATCCCGATAGTTTTATCGCGCCAAATTTAACGCAACCGTATATAAAACAGTGGTCTTCTATTATGATACTACGTACCGCACTCGTAGGTGTTTGCATTGTACATAAATAAAATAGCCAGTTACACCACAAAGCATTCTGATGACAGCATTCATTAACGGCATAAGAATGTTGCGCCCATGTTACTTTTTGTTTGTACACAAATATGCCGTAGCGGCAGTAAAGGGAGAAATATATGTGCGACCATTTACTCTACAGTTTAATTACGCATTCGCTGGGCATAGCACTAAAGGAAACATGGGGATGGATCCGATTGAATTTCAGCTTTCACACAGTATTGCATACTTTGAAACACATTGAGCACTGGTCACCGCAAGAAAAGTTAACACGGGATTTATGATTGTTTGCCCGGGCAAGGAAGGCGGCATTTGTAGCATTTGATAACGGACGGCATATCGTTCCCGTTAACTACGCACGAGACACCTCCTTCGAGTCCAGTTTCCCCAATTTAGGTTTAACGCCAACCAACCAATACGTGGACATGTTTCCTTTGCCCTGGACAACAGAGTGCGAAGGTCAAATAAGCAAGAAGTCGTAATAATTAATAAATAGGTAGCAGTAGTTTTATTATCACCAATCTGCTTTGGACCGGTTCTATTATATGTACTGATGGAAACTAACATATGCGTTGAATCACAAGAAACCAAGCCATAATTATGAATTTTGTTAGCAAGGAGATGCAAATCTAGAGTATGAATCACGCACGGTTAAGCAGATAACCATTTAAAAGTCATTAATTTTACCTTTACGAAAATTTCTCCTCGCGGTTCAAATATCAGGTCAGACGATTCCGGAACAAGTGTAACGGAAGCTGAACTGGCTTGGATTTTATCCCCTAAGAAATGTACAAAATCTCAGTCAATCCCCATTACGAAAGTTATCGTGCATAAACTGATCGGCTACTTATTGGTTTAATAAAAACACGATTGAAAATCTGCTTGGTTACCGACAAACAATAATATAGATGATTTATGGGTCTCTGACAACTGCTGTACCTTCAGAAGTTGATTCCATTCGGCTTGCTGTATTAATTGTGTCACCGAACCTAGCAATAAGATTATTCATACATACATTAATTTTTTCCTGCTAATTATTTATGAAAAACTCCAACTTATTTAAAATTGTATTGCATGTGTACACTGCATTTATGTTAAGCATTTCGAGAAAAGGTCAACTTACAAACAATATCTAGGCAGGCGATCGCCCACAACCCCGGTCACAATCGGCCCTGCAGAGTTTGCAAAATTTAAATTGGTTTTCGTTGCAATGCCTTCAAACAGTTCGTCATCGCATTAAACACATTTTATTTGATACTCGCACACAAATTCATCTACTACTGGGTAACTAACCGGTGTGAAAGCCTGTTACGAATTTCAGTTGCAGTTCATTGGATCGTATGTTGACCTTTCGCGCCGCATTCCGTAATGTTAACGCACACGATGCAATTTCCGTCACATGTTTCATCCCATTGCGTTTTGGCAGACCACTGGCGATCTGCAGTGCACCAAAATTATACACTTTTAACGGAATTTAATCGCTTTATTTATTACTGTAACCGAGTTATGATTTAATTTGTGGCGTTAACTGTCGAAAATTGTCAGAGGGGGTGTTTTTGTACCAAATAGACATCATTCGTTGTTTCCACTTTGTACACATCAAACGTGGAGATCTCATTATCGATGGTCAGGTAAAGCGAATGCATAATGGCTATCAGTTGTATAGGTGAGCTTTTGGAAGCAATGTGCGTGAAGCCTTCGATGGCATTAAAGAGAATTGTCACCGATTCAAACTGCTCCGGCAGTATCACTTGTCCGGCTATTAAACTCAGCGCAACAGATCTACAAAGAAGCACCTTTGCTTATAGTTAATAAGCCATTCTTCTTTTAGACTAAATAAATAACCACGAGTCCTATCAAAATATTACGAAACGTACGTGTGCTTTGTGATATTTCGCTGTCACGTTTCAATTACTGTAAAGGTTGTGATACATTAATTGCCATCTCGTAGCTGGCATTTACAAACCTTGGGAGAATTTCAAACAAGAGCTTCTGAATCTTTCCTTTTTCTTCCAGTAACTCTGTCGTGCGTTCGGCTACCATTTGTTCTAGTTCATCCGCATATGATTGCATACGCTTAATAAGGTCATCGACCATGGTGCCAGCAGCTCTACCGCGGATGCGCTGAAATATCTTCTCCACATCGGCCATGGTGGGCCGTTCCGCTGGGTTTTCTTTCCAACACATTTGCGCTAAGTTGCGGAGCCCTTCGGCTTTTAATTTATCCAAGGAAGTTTTCTCCAAGTTTGGCCGCTTTAATGGCGGCTTTCCTTCTTTTATTGCGTCAATAATTTCTGTCGTAAATTAAAAATAATGATGTTAAATTTTTTGCACTGTTTTGTCATAAAAAAGTTAAGCTACTTTCTTTGTTACGCTGATTTTAACTCTGGAAACTCACCAGCATATTTGCTAAAATCCTGGGCGGTATTATAAGGATCACTCAGTAAGCATAGTTCGCTTAAAATAATGGAGAAGCTGTATACATCCGCTTTCCGCTTTACATTAGCAGATGGAAAACCAGGCGTTCGCAACAATTCGGGCGCCATCCAGATTTGCTCTTCCGCTGATAAATGGCTTTCCACATTTAAATCTTGCAGGGCATAATCGGTTATTTTTACCATGAACCGCGAATTAATCAAACACTTGGTGCTACGCAGCCGTCCGTGACAGTAAATCCATGAATGATGAATAAAATGTAGTCCCTGTAATTAAGACAGATGAACAAAGCCAGTAAACTGTTAGTTTTGTTACCCGCACGCGTTTAATTTGTACCCACACGCAAAATTAATACTGTATGTCGAATATGTGCTTTGCAAGCAGCGTACGCACTAAACCTTTTTAGGTAACCTGCACTGTCTTTGAACAATTAACTACTTTACCTCAATAAGGTCACCGAGCATAGACAACCGGAATGATATCTCCAGCATAAACGAATCGCCACTACGTGTTACTTGATAGATCGACCCCTTTGGACATGACTCGTACAGAACGATGCCACGGTCTTCTTTCAGTAAAATGCCGAAAATTCGCACCAGCTTGTCGGATTTGGTTGTTCTCAACTAAATAACGATGAAATATTAAGTATGGCAGACAAGAGGAACCTTTATTTTTCTTTATCGAAACGTAAAAGCATTCGAAGGCTGCAATTTATTAGCGGAAGTACAGCATCTACAATGTGGTTGCCTACCCGTTTCAGTTCCGAAAGTGTTCGATCAGAAATCTTTGCCGGTGAGAAATGTTGCATTGTAACCGGATTGGATTGCACCATGGCTTGTTCTCCGGTTTGTTCTTGATCCTGCGAGAAAAAAACAGTTTTTGCATTTGTCGCCAAAACGCAGAATGCATCAGTAATGCGAGGAAGCACAGGCCCTCAGTTTTCAGCGACTGTGCACAGTGGCGCACACGTGCTGATTGACCGAAAATGGTCCGAAATACGAAGTACTGTAAATCTGCTTACGGCAGCTCGCGTAACGACGGCGTAGCATCGATGTATGTGACAGTGCATATAGGTATGTATACATGATTTGTTGCATGGGAAGTAAGCTTTATGGATTCGGGATTATACCTGGAACTGGTCAGGGGGAATTCTCCACCACTGAGCATCTGCTTTAGCAGCTGCTCTGTTCCTCATAAACCTGCAATAAGGCATTCACTCTGTGCATGTGTACCAAGTAAAGTAAGTTTTTAAGTAACTGGAGACGAAAGACCAAAGCTGCGTCCCGTTTACGGAACATCGTAATACATTGATTATTACTCGCATCATGTATGTGCGTACATACATTAACGTTCCAATTGTCGCAGTAACGAGAATTATGACACCAACAGCGGCAGATCCACCAGCAATGTACAAGGTTGGACTTTCTGGAATGCAAAAAAAAACTTGTATTGTTGTGCTAAATTAATTCTTCCATACTGTTAGCTGCAAAAAGCAGCAAAAATTGACATCGACATAAGTACTTGCAAGTTGCAGTTTTAATTAATCAAGAAAAACGACTTACGAGCCGGATCACATTTAGGGTTGTTTCCCGCGAAACCACAAAACGGTTCGTTGGGCGGCGGTCTATCGGAGTAGGGCCACTCGATATCAGCCACAATTTTGGCTACTGTAGCCGTCTCCGGAAAATCAACCACTTTCTGTCAAATTCAAACGGATATCATAATTAATTTTCTTACATTGAAAGTCGCGCGAACACTTGCAAGATTACATTAGAACGGCATAAAAATTATCGCTATGTATATATTTTGCTCTTTTTTCCCCTAAAATTAAAAAAATACAGCGTATATGTAATATAAACTGTGTAGACGAGTATACATGTATCTATGTATCTATGCTATTTTTATTATGCCGCGGCATTAGTATGACAACTCAAAACTAAAGATTTTGTAAAAAAGGATAATTTATTTGAAATTAAAATATACAATACATTCAACTTGTTTCGAGCCTAACAGTAAAAGTGAGGGATCTTCCGAAGTTATGAATTTTCTTCTTACCACAAAAATACCGGCATTATAGCGGAAATTGTACAGTTCAAAGTTGCCAACAAGATTATTTTGGGCATCCAGCGTGATTTCGCCCCGTATTCCATAAAATGTCCGATTAGTAAAACGCTTGGCCATCTTGCGTCCATCAAAGATATCCTCACCAGCCGCCAGGGTTTCGTTAGCCACTTGACCGTACGTCAAGATAGCGTCATGAAAACCAATAGCATGGATGTTGACCTACCAATGCAAACTGCAAGCGTCTGTGTCATTCGATCGATATTGCGCAATTCAGATGGAAACTTTGTGTGTGTATACACGCACACTATGATTATACACACAAACCGCTTATGCTAATTATGAGTTTGTTGATTTCCGATTGTAAATATTTTTGTGAATTTTGCTATACCTCGTCGTATGGCGGAATGGATTGGTTGTAATCGCGTATAGCCATTTCTTGTACCGTTCGATTGAACTCGCGAAATTCCGGTGAGGACGGTACGCGTTGTTTCACCAGGAACAGACTGCGATACGCCTCCCGTGTATCCTACAACCGGAAGATTTTACGCAAGCAACAACTATCGACCGCATCGATCGAAGCACGCAGGCTGTAGTAATACAATAATGAGCCAAATGGTTTTTTTAGAATTTAGGTGTATACGTAATATGCACAATGATTTAAGTGTAGAGATTGCCGTAAAAGCAGAATCCGCTAATAAAATCGCGAATTGTAACATAAGAGCACGGACGGTTTTGCTAGCTCGTGCCAAATGGAAAAACAAACCAATAGCGTGCAATTAAATACGGCCTACATACGTTATCACTGGCTGAACCCATATCCCATCTAGGCGTGTCGAAGTAGTTCTTCGTTTTGAAGTAAGCACCGGCAATAAAAATCTACAACAGGTACCAATATTATTGTAGGTGTGCATAAATCTACACGCACTTGGAATTTTAACTTTAAAGATCAATAACTAGGGTACATGACGTAAAATATTAAACATTTTGCTGGACACAATTGCGATTCTGTGCAGATTTTAGACTTTGATGACAATTATGTCATATACATAATAATATGTCTTACGTTTAAATAAATTAATTATTACTACTTACATGATCTCCTTTTGTGTACCCCAACGAATATGCAGCTAACTGCAAATGATATCCCTTAGAAACAGTAGTAACTTGTTTGAATTAATGGACGTTGTCATAGCGCGTTTGATCGTTTCTCTTCCAGTATATTTACAGTGCTTACCATCACCAGTCGAATTGTATTAGGATTTCCCAAAATAAAGATAACTGCAGCAAAAAAACAACATTAAATTAGTTCAGGCATTACGTGCTACGTCATGATCACCACCTACTTCGTGACCTTTGATGAGCTTCCCGGACAGCGCGCAGGATATCCGTGTACATGTCGTTCTTATTCTTGGTAAGGAAGCAGGGCCGCGCTTCCAGCCGGACATCCGTCTTGCCGGTAAAGTACTCGGTCATGGTAAACATGGCTCTCCATACCGCGTCATCCGCGTCGTAGACGACGGTGACATCCGTCCAGTTGAACAGTTTAATCACTTGGTAGAAGAACGTGCCCACTCGAACGTGCGTGTAGGAGAAGCCGAGGATGTTCGGATAGCGCACGCGATCGGCCAGGAAAGTGGCGATACTTGAGCCTTCCAGAAGTAGCAGGTTCCAGTCTGCAATCAGTGCAATGCATAATTATTTATATAGACACAAATCATTTTATGCAGCATGTTAACATAATTCTGTAGTTGTATCTAAAACACACATATTTTATTTTAACGCAGGAAAGTTTGGGTGGTCTGTGCATTTGGATTTGTTAGGCAAATAATGCGAGCATAAATTTTCCAGACATGCAGAAGACATATGCTAATGGCCTCAACGGTTTAAAATTCAAAATTATGTGCGCGTGTTCGAGCAGAGATTGATTGAACTCTCTGCAAGTCGACATCTTTGCACTACAGTAGCTAGTAGCTAGTACTGTAGTTTATTTAAATTGCTGTGCGACAAAACGTCTTAAATGGAAAATTTACGGTTTGTGGCAATATGTGTTTAAGCAGTGCTGAATTTTCGGCTCATTACTATTGCTGTCTAAATCGTTGGTATATACTGTAAAACGGAAATATGTTTACCGCTCTGCAAAATTAATGTAATTCGCCAGATCTGCAACCGAAATTTTTGTAAGCGAAAAATTTAATGGTGGCTGAAAGTTTGACCTTCCAATTTCAAAGGTCAGTTTGAATTTCAAAGGTCCAACCGGACCACGCCTAACGCTTAACGGCATATCAGAATATTTGCACGGTACTACACACCCCCGTGTTATTCGTTATTTTATGCATATACGCAATTTTAACCGAGCGAGTATCGGCAAATAAAAACTTGCTTCGTAACTCAAAGTAGATTAACAACAACGAGCTGACACAGTTCTCCGTTAACGATTTTCTCGGATAGACAACACACGTACACAGCACAATTATAAAACTTTGTTTATTATGATCGTGGATAGTGCCCGTTATCGCTGTAAGGTCAATCCGCCTACAATATGACCTTATTAATCAGAAAAATTTAATCACCTAGATCCGCATCAGATGCTTGACTTTTCAGTGGTATTCTCGCAGTCAGTCGATAGCACACTTTACTGGGTACTCATCGTACGCGGTTTCTATATTAAGGTATCACATAACCGAGAGCAAACAAATTGTATCACACTTTATGGATAAGAAAAGAGTAATCGAAATGACCATCGATTACTGTTACACATGGCACGCAATTAATGCGTACTGTTACGGTAAGTGCGTTGTGGTCGAATAATTTTCCCACCCAAGGGATATTTTCTGAATTTGTAGTTTTATGCGCTGGGCCTGACTGGAGTCCACAGGGACAATTAGCTGCTCTTACGCAGCACACACTTTTGCAGATCCTGTATGCCAAAGTCTCCTGCGACGCCCTCATCGTCAAACGTCCAGGCATATATGTGGCATTTGTTAATGGAGTTTAAATTACCCCAACCGATCAACACACAGTTTAGGAAACCAGGCTGCCTTTCATTACTTTTTGATCACGTTTATGGTCAGGTTTCGATCGATAAAGCAGGGAAACGGTTTCGAGTTACCGGCATCAGAATAAGAGCAACAGTTAACTGCGAACCAGATTATCTGGTAATATCATTGTTGATAAGTACAGAGTCCTGTAAGTTGACTGTAACTACTAATTAATGTCATTTTAATTTATGGACAATCCTAAGGTATACATATTGCAAAACGCTCACCACCATACATTACGTTCTCAATAAAATATTTTTGTGGAACCTGCAATAAAACTTCTAAAAACCACTTCCAAATTAAGTTGGAAATTTTTACGCTTTATAATGCGGCATTTCAGTTATAACTGCTGTCAAAGATCGATACAAAAAAGCTGCTGCATTTTCAGTAAGAAAACACAATAACATTAACCTAAAAATATGAATTAAAAAACCTATCTAAAACAACCGAGAAATTTTCAACTTATCGCTCCAGCTAAATTTCAAAAATATGGCAAGAACATGCGAAAACTTCCGAATTGGTCTGTACATCTTACGTATTGTTAAATAACGGCTAAGGGTAGCCAAACGTACTTTGCAGAAGATCCATAAAAACCTTATTGGCAAATGTGCAGGTCAAACCGAACATAGCCGCTAATGGATGCGTTCCATTCAGAAAACTGTAATACAATTCTCCTGAATAGCTCATAATAAAATCCTCAATATCCTCACAGCCATCCAGCCAGCCCTCTTTTGGCTTATAGGTCATAATACTACATCCGCTGAGCCAGGTGTGCTGAATCTTCTCAAACGCGATATCAATCGCCGGACCGACGATATGCTGATCACTGTACACCTGTGATTTATACGGCGCAATTGCTATCAACGACATATTACATGCTAAGGCACCGGCAAGAAATCTCATGGAGATCAACCATAATAGCATTTTGCCTGCCGACACCGATGCTGCCATCCACTACCCTCATGATCATCGAGAACTGCCGCAAGACAACTGAGCAGACGTTTTCCGTATTTACGGTTTTGGCTTTTCAAACAAGAGAAATATCGAAATCCAATATGTGCCATTCGTGGACACCTACAAATACGTTCTAGCTTATTATATCATCCCCGCTGCTAACAACTTCACTGCCACTCGGGAATGCTCAGGTAGCGCAGGAAATTAATATCCTGTCGGCAGTGTCAACCGCCAGTGGCAGATTGCAGTCAGCGATCAGTTTGATTGCGGGAGAAACTGCTGCGGTCACCGGACTATCGATGTATTGACAGAAAAGAGCGGGGGCGCTTGTACTGTACACTTACAGCTACCTATATACAGTCTGCTTACGGTACATAGTTAAACCAGAGTGCTTAACCGTCTCTAAAAAGTGCTGGATGGTCAGTTTACCTAGCTGTACGATTCGCACCACCTGAGTAAATTCAGTTTTTGTTTAACAGTACAACAATAAACGCTTAGCTGTCTTAATTGAACGCCGATTAACCCGACGTGGGAATACATGGGAAGAAACGACAGAAACAGTGGATTTGCATTGCTGTGTTATGCTACTCGTAGATTCTCATGGTCACATTTCGATGATGTGGTATAGTGAGTGCAGTCAAAACAGACACTCATTCAATGTGGCACAAAATCCTTATTATTCAATCTCTCAGACGCCGCAGATACTGTAAATGCAGTAGCATGCAGTAGTCTTTCCCAATGATCCAAAGTCCCAAACCCAAGCGTTCGGTTGTAATACCGTCCACATCTTTTCGTCTTTTAAATTTTGAGAACGAGACTGCAGTCGTTGCCATGATTTTAGCCTCTGTAGGTAGTAAAGTTTCTGTGTCACATTGAAGCGGCGTTTTAAATAAGTACTAGAAGTGAGCAGTTCTTCCAGAGAGGACTCTGGAGGATCTAAGAATATAGAGGGTTGCAACCGGCTTCCGCGCTAAACAGAAGTAGGGAATTTTGAACGAACACGAAATAATACAGAAAACAACTGCAAACGTCATCGGATTCCACATGTCTGAAAAGTGCGTTGCATCAAAACTGGCACGGCTCCTGAGCATTTATTTGATGACTAAATAGACGCTCTGGAGCCACTCTGTGGATGAAGATAGAACGGCAAACTCAAGGCGATATTTGAAAAGCTGTCGTAATACGGCATAAATACAAATCCATATTCTTTTATGCAGGCTGAATTTACCGTGTCATAAGCTATTCGCCGAAGTACTAGAACTTATACTTTAGGCTTACTGTTAACGTTTTCCATAAAGACCTTATTGGCAAATGTGCAAGACAATCCGAACACCGCAGCTAATGGATGCGGTCCATGTCGGCGTTCATAGAACATTTGGGCCGAATAACTATTAACATAGCCTTCAAGATCTTCACAGAAATGTTGCCAGTGCTCTTTGACGATATGCACGTCGATACTGCAACCTGACAACGACATGCTTTGAATTCTACCAAAAGCCATGGTCATCGCCGGACCGACAATACGCAGATCGGTGTAGATTGAAGAGTTATTAGGAACAATCGCAAGTAACGTAAGGCCACATTCCTCGACATTCGTAGTGAAAACTGTCATTAGCAGAACCCAAACCAGTAAGCCATCGTAGTATTCCATTCTGACTGTCTCAGAAACTACGTAACATTTCAAAAAATTGAAAAATTGTCAATCTGAGCTGCTTCAGGCGCCCTGGATACTAATCTTTCGAGCTTCGGGCTTGCACAAGGTTGGATCCAACCATGCGAATGACCGGCAAACGAAAAAAACCCCCTTGCTGCTTACTCTTGCCGATGAAAATTGCTCAGCTCAGCTTTTTGGAGTGTGTTCCCTCATGTATTGCAAAATTTTTATCGAGATCGTTAGACCACAGGAAAAGGGAGTAAAAGCAACTAGCAACAACGAGTTCAACATAATATGAGTCAGGACATGATAGGCCGACTACTCTGGGCAGCACAGCATTTCTTCTGTTGCAACATACCGGCAGACGCTCACTGAATAATTATGCCTGCATTAATTTGTTTTAATATTCCTATGGTGTGGTTATTTTATTCGGAAGAAGTTTGTATGTGTGGATCGGAAGGATGGGCAGAAATTGTGAGCGGAGTTTTTTTAAGCCATTTTAATAAAATTCGGCCTGCTGCTGGTAAAACCTAATGAACGTGATTAAACCTCCAATCAGGACGTTGTCTTGTAGAAGATGAAATAAGACTACTGTCTTCAAGTGTGTTGTAATTCAGTAAAGTAGTTTAAGCTTGGATAAACATCACCTGTGTTAGGGTTTTTATTTTCTAACTCCATTGCACACATTTTGCAATCAATTACCAAACGAATTCTCGGCTAATCACCGCATGGTGACATGGTGCGTCTACAAACTGTCCTCGGCGAAATGTGGCGGTGCCGACTAGGGGACTACCAGTACTGCCAACTTGAGTCAACTCTGCAACATTTCACACGGACTCACAGGAATTACCGCGGAATTAGGGACTTTGCAGTAGGGTTGAAATCACGCTTTCACCATTTCACATTTCACTTTTCATTTCACTTTCATTTCACAATCACGCGGACCCTCGCGTGAAACGTGAAAGTGAAATGAAATGAAACGTGAAATGCATGAAATGGTGAAATCGTGAAATCGCTTTAAATGCATCAAAAGCGGACGAAATTAGAGCGATTCACTATATTTCTTGCAACGAAAATGTTCACTCCGTTGTATTTTTTTGTGTGACCCCTTCTAATTCGATTCCCTGCATTAAGCAACACTGCGCGTAAGCATTAATGTTGCAACTGGAAGAGAAGAAAACGTTTTTCGTACGCTTTTAGTGCAGGTAATTTCAGAATTCAGATATCTAAATGCATAGGTAGCCAAAACGCCTAAGATTCATTTCTACTGTTCTTCCCAGTAATACTGAGAATTCGGGTTATTAAAGAAAACTATCCGTGCCAAGGTAGAAGAACTCGGTTTGTCAAACTGGGATCTCGTACAGCGGATAAGAAAGAAATAATTTTTTAGAGGTGTTTAGAGTGCAATTAAGATCAAATGCAAATAACGAAATTTCTCGGCTACTTACAGTTGGACCTCGTGCGGACAAGCTCAAAAGAAGCGCCGCGCGTCCAAATACGACTAGTATCAAACTCGAAGGAAATTCCGTGCCGCAGTACGCTACTGCGCTGATTTCTTGAACAGAAACGAACATTTTCTTTGTATGCCTTGTTCTTATAAACCGATTACCATTTTCAAACTTCTACTCCTAATTTTAGTTTTAAATAGTTTTATCTTATTCTGTAGTAAAAATAAAAGCAAATTGAACGATCTTCTTGCACTTACTGTATAGTCTGTACTGAATAATAAATTTAGTAATCCATTTACCGAGTACAACGAATATTTTTGAAATATTAAACTTCTACTAGTACCGTGCAGTTGCAGTATTACGTAGTGTTTTAACTGCTTTCGGCTGTTTGCAACCCTAATAAAAGCTAAAATAATCAATTTAAATTTTATTTTTTATTTCACGTTTCATTTCATTTCACTTCATTTCACTTTCATTTCACTTCTTTTCACAAATGGGTCTAAGCCTCGTGAATTTCAACCCTACTTTGCAGTACGTGAACCTGTCAGCCCCATGTAAGCTGTAAATACTGCATCAGATGTCCAAAGTGTGCAGCACCTTACAAATATATAACAGAAGCTACAAATATGCTACCAATATGTTCCGGTAGAAAAACAATTTTTAAGACCCTAGAGTAACTGAATGGACCTTCAGAAGCTTTTCAATAAATCTGCCACAAGCGCAGTAGCAGATGCACACAGATATAAACACACATGCAAAGCCGTCAAAGGATGACTTCCGCGAACTAACTGGTAATAAGCGTTAGCAGGTAGCTCGATGAACTGTCTTCGATCCCGTTGCTGTTCCGTTCTCCCCAATTTTTCACCAAATGTGCCTTTTTGCTGCAGCTTACTGAGTACCGAGTTTGGTGAAATTTGTCTAGGTAGCAAGATTGCCGGGCCAGCATTGAGCTGGTCAATCAGGGACGGGTACTTGAACGGTGCAGCGCTGAGTCCCGAGTATCTCCACTCATTCATGACGAAACTGGCATACAAATTACGACACTCGCAGACCCATAAGCGGGAGCCCGGGAGTATTTAAATCAAATGTAAGCATGGTAGTGTATCGTATTATGCATTTGTGCGTTCCTTCTACTATGGAATGTACTGTAGCCGCCCGCACAAGTTAGACCACAGAGTCGGTATACGGGAAAAGAGCGTAGCAAATATACCTACTCTAACCGGGCAAAATGCACGGCTTTTTGACTACGTTCTCAGACGTTCTAATAATTTTTAAATTCACAATTTCACTGAAGAGACTGTGTTTTCTAGTATTAAAACTTAAAGGAAGCAAAAAAATTTAGAGCTCTGATCATTTTGATGATAAACCTGATTTGTTGTGGTTTTTGGGGTGCCCCTGGCAGGGCAGGGGTGAGTTAGCGTTGCACCAGGGAGCGTTACTCTGTACGGGGATGATTCTTGCGAGATGCAGAACGGAATAATTCCATGAAAATAATAAAGAAAACGAAGAAGTCGTGATTTTAATTTCAGTCACTCAGTTTTCCAAGAAAAAATAATCACTGACAATCAAATGGTTGCTTGGTACGGCAGCCGTGCATTTTGCCCGGTTAGAGTAGGTATATTTGCTGTGCTTTTTTCCCGTATACCGACTCTGTGGTCTAACTTGTGCGGGCGGCTACAGTATTTGTAGTAAGTTCATGCTACTACATACATAAAAACGCTGGCTCAATGCTCTTCCTGCGAAAGTTTTCGGCAACTTCCTGGATGATCAGACTTTCCGCATTTCTGTTGGCCTGTGGCTTGGTGCTAAGATCGTGGAGCAGCATTCGTGTGCGAGATGTGGTAAAGAGGTCGCGGAAAACGGATACCATGGGCTAGCGTGCAAGAAGTGCATCGGGAGAAGGGAACGTCATAACGGCATTAACGATATCATATTGCGAGCACTATGTAATGCCGGCATTGAGTCATACCCGGAGCCCATTGGCTTTTTGCGCGAAAACGGAAAACGTCCGGATGGAGCTACGCGTTGGAAGTG